AGCTTGGGATGACTCCCAGAGCCTGTGCTCGCTTCCGTGACACAGCATCTTTTAGCATCGCCGGCAGCAGCAAGTGATGTAGACTTACCGCAGCCTTTGCGGCTTTCCGAGAAATGCAGAATCTTGAAGTGTCAACCGAGAGCATTGAAATTGATTTGTTGCTCGTAGTTCGATATCGAATGGTGAGTAATTGGTCACAGCAGGTCGGGCTGCTGCAAGAGTTGGGCATACAGTCAGAACCCTATGTGCCGACTGTGCCTTGCGATTGGTACTGCTTTTCTTTGCCAAGTGCAGTACCTTACCTTGCAGACTTCGCGACCTTGAGCTGTGACCAATGGGTCCCTAGTACAGCACAGTACATTGTTCAATAAGTCTCTCTGACGGTTGACTCCCACCTCAACCTCTTATTGTTATTCGGTGCAACGTACAGCGCACCTGAGAATCCTGAGATTGCAAGAGCTCTTGTGTATATAGTCTTGTGACCGTGCAGATGGCTCCAGCCGGCGCTTGGCTCCAATTTAAAGAGCGAGCGCCGATTTCAAGCTGGCCCAGGGGTGCCACTCACTTGTCGCCTTTCTCAATTCTCACACCCACGTTCCTATGCTGGAGAGCACACAGAGCTGCTCTGCTGTTTTGTTTGTGCCTTTTGATCTGGCACAAGGAAGCAGGTCCAGCGCATCTTCAGGTCTTCTCAAAGGCCTCCTGGGTTTCGGAACCTCCTCAAGTTGTGTATGCTTGTAGGTTTCCTGCTACTGAGAGTGGAGGTGATGTGATTTCCTTGTGGAGGAGGCTGTATAGTGTACAAAGCCGTGGCATGCCTAGTGCAGCTTCATGCAAGCTACCGCCTGCCCGGAATCTTGGCCGGACAGCTGGATGTTTTGCATTTATGAAAATCCTCTTGGTGTCGACTCTGAGGGTGGCTTCTTGGGTTCCATCTTTGAGGAGGAGCCTTTCGCTGACTAATCATCTAACAGGGAGTTGATATCTGAATGTCTCGACTCTGCTGATGCTTGGAGGTTCATGGGTAGTTAGATAGCAGTTATAAGTCCCTTACTATGGGTTTGTAACTATAATTAGCCTATATTAGCCTACTTCGAACCCCGCTTATAACTACCCATGAACCTCCAGGTGTTAGGGAGGCATATGACGGCTCTCTCACAAAAGCATGCTGCTGGTAGGGCCTACGTTGGGACCCCTCTATTTGCTGCAATCCCCGTGTAGTATAGGGCCGAATAGATACTAGTACTCTTCTTCAGGGTTCCTCATCATAAGAAGGAACAGTTTTCACGACAACTTGAAACCCTTATCATCAGGCCCGTGATAGGTTTGAAACGCAGCAGTGTGGACCCACATACCATCAACAAACCTTTTGGATTTCTGAGCGAGTCTCAGAAAATAGTAGGAGAGTTTCAGAAGATATTGGGGGCCCAAAGAGACTTCGAATACCAAATAAGTAAGCGCTCAGAAAACGGCGCTTAAATTGAGTCTCATGTCCTAAACCCAACCTTCAAGGCCCAAACCCTAAATCTTGGTCTTCACGCCAAGAGCCTCGCCTGGCGTGTCCGAGAGCCCCAACAGGAAACCAACCGGCAAAGCCGCAATAGTAGGCTACTAGTGGCCCTTGCAGGAACCCCTTTAGGAAACGCTTCAAGGAACATTCAAAGGAAGCCAGAGATTGACACCCCCAGAGAGCCCAATACCCCTTAATTAAGGAATATAGCTTAAATCATAATATGAAGCCCTATACAATTTAAGCCATATTCCTTAATTAAGGGGTATTGGGCTCTCTAGGCCAGGATTATTCCTGAAATTATCGCAGGAGCCCCAACATGAAATAAAGTCGAGTCCTCAATGAGGGAGTAGGCCCCCTGAAATTACAATAATCCCAACATGACATAGGGTAACATAGAGGCCTCAATAATTACCAACATCATTCCTTTGGGGTATACCAAGGAGCCGCAAAACCCGCTCCAATTATGAAGGCCCCTCTAATTAACAGGTGGGTGATGGTCAAAATTATGGTCCCTTTTTGGGTACCCTAAAAATTAGGTGCCGTACTATATTAGGGACCCAAAAAGGGGGCCATAACTTTGACAACCGCCCATGTTCTCCTTAAGCGAGGGGGCCGGCGGGAGTGTCTTCGAAAGCTCAAAGGCAAACCTTCGGTGCGCTGGCGATCTGGAGCGCCTTCATGATGCCCTTCACAAGGCGAGACCTTACTGAGAGGATCATGGGACTTAGTAAGTAAGTAATAATTGGGGTTATAAGTCACCTAACTGGGGTTAACCTAATTATAACCTACTTATAACCTTCCTTACTAAGTCCCATGAGCCTTCAAGTAGGGTTCAGGGTCTGGGCTTAGGGTTCATGATTAGAGCTGGATTGAGTTTAGGGTTTAGGGTTTATGTTGAGGCCGGGGTTTAGAATGGGGTTTAGGGTTTAGTGTTCATGATTGTAATGGGGCTTAAGTTTAAGGTTGAGGGTTTCTGAGAGCCTCATGATTAGACTAGGGTTTAGTACAGGGTTTAGGCTTGAGGGAGCCTTCGCGATGTGCTTCACCACGTGCTTGGAGGTTCGTGGGTAGTGATAAATGGGTGGTTGTTCAAATTATGGTCCCTTTTTGGGGACCCTTACTAAGTCTTGGGTGCCGTCTGATATGAAGGACCCAAAAACAGATCATATTTTTGACAACCACCCACAACTCGATTCTGATCTTCAGACGTGGTTCTGGGCTGCTTCTGCCGGCTGCTCTAGAAGTATGCTTACAATCGTTATGAATTCGCAGTCTTTCTTCTGCGGTCTCTTTTCTTAGCCTGGTGACGTCTGCGACGCTTGCTTGTCACTCTACGCTGGTGTTGCTTCTTATTTTCCAGCTTCATGTCTTGACGTGATGATAGAGGTTGTGTTTTCTGGTGCTTTGTACATCTCGTTCATAGTGCACAGCCTAAGTTTCAGAACATTCTCAGATCGCTTGGGCAATACCGCCAGGATCTTGGCATTTGACCTGCCGGTAGAGGTCCCAACAAATCCAATGAGAGCCCCATGAGTGTACCTTTGTCTTCATTTGCACCATTCGTTCTGAGAGGAAGCAGGCATTGTGGCTATGGGCTGCACCATGCAAACAGCGCAAGGAGGAACCATGTCGAACCTCCTAAGTGGGAAGAAACAGCGCTCCAGCATCTGGTATCACCCCAAAACACCTAATCCCGAACCCTTGTCCGCAAACCCAAACCCCTTATGCCTCGCCTGATTTGTCCGAGTGTGAGCGCCGAAACCCTTAAAACCCGACACCCTGTGTCTCCCTAAACCCGAACCCCGAAACCCGAAAGTCCGACACTTTAAGCTCGTTGCCTGCTTGAGGCGTATAACGGGCCCCAAAACCCTATTCTAATCAAACAGGGCCCCCCAAAACTAGGTACATGCACCTCCGCGCCATGCGACGGTGCTATTTCTCCACCAATCGGATTGACATGGCCCGGGCCTCCACGCTTCGCCTTTCTCAGGGTTTAAAGTTTGGGGTTTTGAGGGTTTTGAGGAGGGAGCCGAGGGAGTCCCCGGGCGAGGAAGCAAGCCTGCTGCAAAAAGGGCTTAGAGGGCCGGCATACACTGCAAGTCCGTGCTTAAAAGGAGGGTTGAGGGTCTTGGGGCTATTGTACATTAGGGCTTCGAAGCATGAGGGCTATAGATAATTTAGGGGCCTTGCTACGTAGAATGGAGTTGAGGACAAAATAATAGTATGCTCAGAAGGGGACGATAAACTATGCCATTGCTAAGCTTTCAGGCCCCTACCTTTTTTCCATTCGCAGGGCTTGTGGTGTGTTCTCTCAGATACCTTAGGGTTGAGACCCCTCCGATTTTTGTGGTCCTTAAAGGAACCTGGGAAAACGCCCTAATCATCCCCAATCAAAACTCCTAATCCCATGGTATGGCTTTGGGTTTTGTGTTCCAGCCCCTACGAAGAACCCCGCTTAAAGCAGATGTAAGTTACACGCAACACCCCAGCCGCCCCTACATGAGAACAGCCCTTCAAACCCTAAGGGAAACCCTTGAAGTCTAGACCCTGAATCCACGGCGAACGGAAAAGGGACGTTCAGAAAAAGGGAAAGACCCGAAATCCAAGAAGGAGCTACAATGAGCTGTTGCCTCGTGGCAGGATGCCCTGTTTGCCTGGGGCTTCCCACTCTCCCTGGTGACAGCCCCGGTCTCTCTGTTTCCTGAGTTGAGGTAGACGGTCTTGCAGGGTTTCATGCGGGACTTAATGTTTATTGGGAATAGGATTAATGGGTTTTTATTACATATTACAGGGATAATGTAAGCACGGGCTCGCAAAGAAACACATGGATTTTCAGGGCTTACTATCGGAACCTCAGCCAGCTCCCTGAATGGTTCAGGTAAGGCTCGTTTTCAGTGTCCAGGGCTGGGACGGGCAGAGTTCGGTTCAACGCCTTGCTCACTACTATAGGCCTCTCCGACATAGGGGACACCAATGTGGTGCCCGAAATAGTAGGATTCTTATTATAAGGACCCCAAAATAAGGTACCCCCAATTTTTGGAAACTCCCATATGTTCCGTTCGAAACCCATAAGGCCTGTACAGTACCTTATCAAATCAAAAAGCCAGCCAAACCCTCCAAAGAACACCATAAACACGCATAAATCGGGCATAGATGGCAAAGTACCCGACAACTTTTCCGTATATAAATCTTGGGAACCCGAAGTCAGAAACTGGGCTCAGTGGGGGAGGTTGAGGATTCTTTCAAGAGGTTGTGAAAATCAAACGGAGCTTTGTTTGGGTTTAGGCCACTGAACCCCTGCATGACGGTAGATGGGTGATTATCACGCAGGCCACCCGCCCCGAGCCCTCACGCGCTTCATACTTGCAAGAGTCTCAAGGCTAAACAGGCCCTAACCTCTCCATGTTGCATTTTGGCTCCCGAGCGCCCTTAGTTCCTCAGCCTGATCTCCTCGGCCTTTTGCCTTGCTTTCCGGGACCTCACCGCCATGTCCGTGATGCGTGTGCTCTCCTTTGTGCTCCCACTCGTGGCAGCGGAGCCCCAGTCGCTTCGCGGAGCCTTTGACGAGGTCGCTTGCAGCGGCAACGGAGGCCTGGCAGAGCACACTCCGTCGTGCTACGGAGGTCAGTTCCTTGTCGAGAAATTCTCGCTCCATGTCCTGAGCTATGACGGCTCCACGGGCATTGTGGACATGAAGGCGGAGGGTCCTCAGTCGGCCCAGTGCGATGGTGCAGAGTTCCAGAGTGACGACAACATGATCACCATCGAGAATGATCAGGGGTGCGGCTTGGGCAACTACGAGTACACGGTGAGGTACTGCCCGGATCAGGACCATGTCATCGTAAACCTGGTGAAGCCCTACAACGCCCGCGTTGTCTTGCAGAGCCAGACTTGCCCCAGCGCCGGAGAGGTCTGAGAGCAGCCTCTTGAAGCAAGCTGCGCCGAAGGTGCGCAGGGAAGTAATTCATCAAGACAATGTCAGCCCATTCCTGGGCTCTTCCTTAATTCATCAGGCCTTTTGCATCCCATCTCCTTGGAGCACCTGGGCTGTCACAGCCCAGATGGAGGGAGAAGATATGAAACTCCAGTCAGATCTTTCTTGAGGTCCGACAAAAAGCCAGGGCGACCTGCAGATCTTGGCCTGCTTTTGTCACGCTGTGACTCCTTTAAAGGAAGATGTCATAAGACTGGTGCCGCCATAGTTTGCGATGCATGCTTCAATTTAGGATTGTTGTGGCATATCGCGGACCCTTTCGTCGGATCCATATAAAGAACCCTAATACAGACCCAGGGTTTCATAACCGGGCTCCTACATTAACTGAAACCCTGGGCAGGTGCTGGCGGCCAGCGTCTTTTGGCTTGCGCGGATACACAACTGGTGCCTTGGCAGAGCATCGTGTGACTTCGATCTCCCTGTGTGCTTGGTGTGTTTTTCTGTTTTTTGTTTCAGGGCCGCGTGATAGTGTTGTTTCTTTGGCCCGTGGCGTTTCGCAGGGGGTTGCACATGTTTTTGGCTAGATAGGAGATGACTGGGACGGTTCCCACGAGGGCTTCTGGGGGCTTGGGTTTGAAGGCTTCGCAGGTCTTTTGAGGATTGGGTTCGTCGGTGGACGCAGTGGTAAGCGAGGTTTTAGATACTGCATCTGGTTTTGCAGAGTTTGCAGGGATTCGTAGATAATGCACAGGTAGTTGAAGCATTGCAGCTGTGGTTGCCGTCACTTCAAACCCCGATTCGGGAACTTAGAGCTACCCACGAACGTGTAAGTAGGTAAGCATGGGGAGGCACTGTTCAGCCGATGCAAAACCCCCATAGCATGAACCCTTAAACCTAGAGGTCATGTCACCTTTAGACCAAAGACAGCGTTTTCCATATTCAAGCTTGCCTCCTGTTGTAATATGTTGACTTTAATGGTGTGGCTCGTGATTTGTTGGACATTTCGAGGCTGCACCCGATTCATGCCAAGGCTGACACCCCCCGGGTGGTTTATGGTGTTTAGGTTGTGACATGCTGTACTTGGTTTCTTTGTGTGCTGTCTTGTGCATGTTTTTGCGTCACACATGGTTTCGATGAACCTACTCTTCAGGTACCGTCTACAGCGGTAGTCTAGTTTCGTTCAGTAGTCAGTATAGTGTAGTGTTGCATAGTAGAGTCTAGTCTAGTATAGTTTGTAATACTATCGAATCTCGTATAACTCATTACTAATTCTAGCATCCCAAAACTCCATGTGGAACGCAGCAGAGAGAAGGAGGCCCAATTTTGAGATGCTTGACAATCGTTTCAACATGTGGCGGTGGGGACGAGGAGACACAGTGTTGCCTTGCCTCAACTTCGGGCACACCGAGCGATTGCACCAAAGTCTTGGACTTGCTGCAGTTAGGGTTTAGGGTTTAGGGATGAGTAACCCTAAACCCTAAACCCTAAACCTGTAGGGTGGAGGGTTTTTAGTTTTGCGGCCATGTGGAGCGACCAAGCGCATCACGCCCCAGCGAGAGCTGCGGAACCGCCGCTCGCCTCGTGGGGTCATTAACCCATCCCCGCATATCCTACTCCCTAACATAAGAAGTTCCAACCCTAAGCCCTAAACCAGCTTGCCAAGTAGGAGGGAAAAAGAACCAGCTAGCCGGCATGCAACCAAAGCCCGTGCTGCAAAAAAAGCGCTTAAACCAAAGAAGCCGAGCTCGGGCTGGCCCAACGGTGTGGCCGAGGACGCTGCTGGTAGTGCCGCTGGCGTGCGGAGCCCAGAGCACGGATCAATGGCAATCAAAGACACGAAAGCTCGGATGCATCTTGCGTTGGGCACGGCGGTTTTCGAGTCGAGTATAGTTTTTTCAATGAAGCTTCTGGGGTTGCGCAGGGTGAAGTCGCACAGAAGGCACGTTGCAAAAGGGGATACTTCTGGAAGGTTCGGGCTCGGCTTTTTCAAGGAAGGCTTAGTTTTAGGGTAAAGTTTCTTCAAGGACGGTTCAGGGTTTAAGCTTTGCGGGGACACGATGTTGAGACCAAGCTCGGCAACCGTGCCCGAGTTTTGAACTCAGGGCTCAGGGAGACAGAAGAGCTGATCATTTTGGGATGTTAGATAAGCCAGCCCAGCCCCACGGCACACAATGTGCACCATTTTTCGAACCTTTAAGCCGCATCCAGGCTGTTCATATGAAGGCATTAACCTACAATTGTCCGGTGGACGCTCAGAACGAGCCTTCGAATTAGCCCGGTTGAGTCAACGGCTTCGGCCCAAAGAATCGTGGCTGTACCTGGAAAGCCATACCAGTCTCGATCACGACTGCTGTTACCCTCATCATCATGACCTACTCTGGCCTTCACTGCGAGTGCACATGTGTCTAGCCTGGATCGTCCGAGTTTCGACGTTCCAAGCCCCCTACCCTTCAGGGCGGCATGTAGTTCAGCTTGGCAGGTAGTTTAGAAATCCCGGGCCAATGTGAGGAATGATATGAACTGACAATGACAACAAAGAAACCCCATTATTCGCTATAGATCCCCCCCATTAGGTCAGGTTCACCAATTCAAGGCCCAGCTGAGGTACCCGGCAGTCGCAATAGGCCTGGATGCAAAAAGCCCAGCTGAGGTGGATCGCTGCGCTGGCCTTCTACCATGTTCTGCTGGCCTTCTGTGTGAACCCTATGGTGTTTCCAAAGGACACCATCCTTGTACTCCCCCAAAACCCTTAAACCCTAAACTTCATCCCTTAACTCAAGCCTCCATGCATCCATCCATCCATCCATCCATTCATCCATCCATCCATCCATCCATCCATCCATCCTGCCCCTCATCCATGCACCCATGCATGCATCGGCACCAACATCCATGCACACATGTCAGATTCGTGTAGGTTGTTGAATAGGGGGGTAGGCAGGCACATAGATATACACTCGTATACGTACGTACACACCCAGATGCAAACGTACATGGGCGCTCGAGGTCACTGGAGGTACCCGATGCCTTGCACCCCTGCGCATGAGCCTACTTGGAAGTAAACACACCGTCCGGGTACCTGACACGCCCGCAAGCTGCCACCGCGACAGCAGGTGCCTAGGAGCTGGTTTTGCAGTCGATGTGTTGTGTGTTGCTCAGTAGAGAGACAGGCCGAGTCTTCCTGAAATTCTGGATACATCTGTGCACCCGGAACACACTTGAACACACATTTCACCGCCGGCACCTCCCTAAAATCTCGGCTCTGAGTAGCGTTACGGGCCATTCCGGGCCGGCGGATGGCACCGCTTTAGTCGCCAGAGGCAGGCCTATCTTGAAAAGGTTTCAGACTCTTTGGTTTAGGGTTGACAGCCCGTAGCTCTGGACGCCCAGCCTCAAACAAGCTGCCAGATGGCCCTTGCGCAACGGCCGCTGGGCTTTTTCTTGGGCCACGTAGGACGAGCTTCAGTTGGGTTTAGGGTCTCTGTGGGAGTTTCCGAAAATAGGGGACGCTAACATAGCACCGTAAATAGCAGGATCCTTATCCCCAAAATAGGGTACCCCAATATTCGGAACCTCCCATGTAGCCTCCAGGATTACAATTCAGGCTTTACGGATTGGTTTAGAGTCGAGTCTTGGATGGCGATGCAGTTGCAGTCGCGCAGCTCGCTACCTGTCTAGAAGGCAGCAGCGGCTTAGTGTTAAGGGGCAGTGTATATAGATTTTGGCCTTGCTGAGGCTGTTGCGCGGCCTTCTTGACCTCGTTGTGGGTGTGGTCAAGGACCGTGCATGCACTGCTACGATTGGGGTTCTGGGTGTGCTTTTCAAAGTCCAATAATTTGGGAGCCTCGATAGTCAGATACCTTCTTCCTTTGTTTTCCTAAGGTCTTATGTTTTATGCGCAAGAACAATATAACATGCATTATTAGTTAAGGCATTAGAGCATCCCGGTACCTTTAAGTCTCAGAGCCTTCAATCTGAAACTGGTACCATACGCAGAGGTGATAATTACCTCAGCCCACGGGGCCCACGGACCCAGAGATTTTGAGCACCATAGGCCGCCTCAAGAGGCCTGGCTGCAGAAGGGTTTAGGGACGAGGAACACGAAGACTAGGCCACGTGTGAGAGTGATGGCTGCAGGCCGTGATCCTCTTTGGTGCTTGTCTCTGGGCCTATCGGATCCGTCTCCTCTCCGTGCAGCGGCCTGCCTTGAGTAAACCTTAAACCCTAAACTCCAAACAAACCCAAAAAACTTTTAACCCCAAAATCCCTAAACCCTAAAGCCTAAACCGGCTCTTGGGCCTTAGGAGCATGGGCTTTGGAGCGGGGTCTGTGGGACTTGCGAGGTCATCGCGGAGGGTGAAGGACTTAAGACTTAGTCATGCCTCGGTCAAGTTCCCCTGAAGTGAAAGACTTACCGTTGGTTAGTCAGGAATGGAAGAATGGTAGTAATAGTAGTTATATCGTAGTAATATGATAGTAATATAACATGATAGTAATATGGTAGTAATATGGTAGTAATAGTAGGTATAATTGTACCCCATTCCTCCATTCCCTACTAACCAACGGTAAGAAGAGGCTGTTTCTCGGTCTCGTCCTCGCGAAGCCCTCCCACCCCCAAAGCGACCCTAAACCCCCAAAACATGCCTTCCGGGTTTGGTATCTAATATTGAGAGATGCATTGGTTGCTTTGGCGTTTCGGAGCTTCGCCCTGTAGAAGTGAAGCATCCGAAGCTGTGCCTTGAAGGCATCATTAGCATGGGACCCCAGGCGTGATGCTTGGGGCTGGGGGAGTGCACAAACCCAGATAAAAACAAATTTGAGCCTCTTCCTGTCTTTCGCTCTTCTGCTCAGCATTCGTGCGTCAAGATACCCTAAACCCTAGCCCCCTAAACCCCAACCCTTGACCCTTGAACCCCTGCAGGCCCCAGGCCACAGACTCCAAGCCTTCCACCATCTCACACCCTTGGGCGGACCTTCCGGATGCAATGGCAGAGACAGCTGTGGAGATTTGTGGCTCTAGATTTGAGGGCTTGCGTTCAGCTCGTAAGCCAAGGAAATATGGGTACTTGATCCACGAGTTTGATCCCTGGCCCCTCGGCGCTCGCAAAGGATGGGCACTTCTCTTGTAGTGGGTTGCTGGCTTTGGCAAGCTCGGGCTATCTGAGATTATGAAACCCTAAACCCTGTGGAGATTTTTCGGGAAGTTCAGCACATGCACACTGAACTTCCCGTCACGGCTTAACATTCAGGGTGAAGGCTCTATGGACGTTTCAGAAAATACGGGGTGGGGGATGTTCTTCCTAGAAAGAGATCGCAAGATAGTTTTTCTTGATGCTACCGGCTTTCCAAAGCGGTGGAATGGATACAACCAGCATACATGTTTTATGGTATATTTCGACAAATACCATTATACAAAATGTTTTGATATATGTATATGTGTGTATATGTATGTATATAGTAATACATGTATATATATATACATATACACACATACACAATATAACTACTTTCTGATCAGTGTTTTAAGCCCTGGGCTTTTATTCCGATGCCCCAAGCCCAAGGCAGGTCTCAAATTGCCGCCGTCCATTTTCTGCGAGACCAGGGCATCATTCCCCCAGTGGACTAGGCTTGAGGTATATGGGCAGTGGTAAAGGCAATTGCAATTGCTGGTAGCGGGAGCAGTGACAAGAAATAGAGGAGGCGGAGGCTGTATCTGTAACGGGGTTTGAGTCCCGGCAACTTGCGGCGTGCTTGCGGAGATGCGCTTTCTGTCTGATTGTTCGTCTCGAAGATCTCTCCAGTTCTTTGGTGAGACAAAGAAGGCAGTCTTTACGACAAGTAGATAGGACAGAGCAGTGGTGCAATAGAGTCCTTGATTAACCTCCTACCCTAAACCTCGCATGCATCAGAGACAAGATTGCTCCTATAGTGGTGTCGTCACCAGTTTACCTTCAACCCGAGACTCAGGTTCAATGCGAGGGCCACGAAGTATCTGGCAAAGCAGGGCTGGCATGCCTTCTTCCACTGGTACGACTACATGAGACGATCGGCCTGTGTTTGCGGTTTAGGGTTGCGGGTATAGGGTTCACATGCGTAGTCCAGGTGTAAAAAGGGCCCACTGTTTAGGGTTTAGGCTCATAGAGCCCGCGTTCAAACAAGGCTGTTTGAGCTAACGCACCTTAAAGGGGTCCATAAGGGTTCTATGAAGGGTTTAGGGAAAAGGGTTTTTACATTGATTACTGAAAGTCTTGTCTGTGTTAATGCAGGGCTATCGCACACTGCACTGCAGATCGCTTCCAGTGGTTGAGGCCCAGGTTCTCGATGGGTTCGTACGTGCGGAGGGCTGATAAATTTGGTCCACAATCAGCCCCGCCGTGGAGTTTCTTGATTCAGGGACTTGCCTGGCGCCTCATCCCGAAACCCTAAACTCCTAAACCCTAAGCCTAGAGACTTTAAAAATGCCTAAAGCTTCATGAGCCCCCTAAACTCCTAGACCCTAAAGTGTAGAGACCTCAAATAAAAACCTACAACCTGATGAGCCTCCCCAGCCCCACAGTGGCTGAGGTTGGTATCCGCTCGGGCGGCCGATCGGGACAGTTCGGGGAATCGTTTAGGGTTTAGGGTTTGGGTGTTAGCTTTAGGGCTTAGGCGCTCATTTACTTCCCAGCATAGGCTTTGCAAAAGGGTGCTTAGGCTTTAGGGCTTAGGGTTTAGGGAGGCTCAGGCTCAGAAGGGAGGCTCAGGTTTTGGGGCTTGAGGTTTAGGGTCTCCCGCTTCGAGTGCCTGTGAGAGAGAGAGAGGTTTAGGGTCTCCGGTTTTGGGACAGCCTCTGGCATGTGCCGACAGTCAGAAAGCCGAGGTCGGGGGGGCGGGGGGCTTGAGGATGTTGGGATAACAGGTCTGGAAGATCCCAGAGTCCTAACCTTTTCAACAAGGCAGAAACGGTTGTAATCAATATCAACATCTCTTGCTAGTCCCAATAATTGTTACATGAATCTACCGTAGAAGCCCTGTTCGATTTCTGAAGGTCCTTGATTGTCAGCTCTGAGCATTTGCTTTGTGCTTCACAGGGGGCATTCATCGGTCCACGCCCTCAGCACTACACCCTATGTCCTCGCAGAAAGCCTTGAAATCCGATGCCCCGACCTCTGGACTTCAAGAGCTCTGGTTGATGATGACCCGGCGACCTCACAAGAAATTGAAAACAGGGATCCCGAAGGAAGGCCCTTACAGAAAGTGATGTCGTCGACCAGGGGTCTATGTTGAACTCTAGGTTCTGGAACCCGAAACCCTGTGTGCTTTTCTTCAGCTACGCCCGATCACAAGCAAGTCCCGGCCTCCCATGTAGCCTTGAGCCAGACCCGTTTCAAGGATCCAGAAAAGGGAGCCCTTTAGTTTTAAAACTGCCTGGTAGGACACTGTTGGGGGGTTTCTGTCTGCTAGATTCTTTTAAAAAAAGGGGATCTTGATTCTTGGGAGCCTGACTTCCAAAATCGACGATCTGAGAGGACCACCATTTACCCAGGCATGCAGATCCTCTCTGCAACTTCAGCAGCACGGAGATCCCGAAACCCTATGTTCGGGGATGGATTGTTGTTCCCGAGCTTCGTTGCGATGATATGGCGTCTCCTACCGGTCGTAAGTTTGCAAGAAGCCGCATGCAGACTGTGCAGGAACCCGACGCCCCAAGCTTGGAAAGACTTGGCTCCCTTAGCCCAAAGCCCACACCTAAACCCTGAAACAAGACGTCCGGAAGCTCCCAATAAACCTACAACAACCCATGCCTTGACACCCGCTAAACCCCCAACCCACGAAACAAAACCAAGGCACCAAATGAACCGCCCAACACTTACGTAAAGCCACAAACGCCACCGAACGAGCTCTAAACCCTGAGCCCTAAACCCTAAAACCCTGAGCCCTGAAGGCCTTTTTGACTTTGGCAGAAGGAAAAAGGAGTTAACAAAAACCCTGAGCCCAAAAAGGTTTGGATCTGGAGGGCCCTGAAGGTCTTTCCCTCGCCGCCGCCCGGCCAAGCCTTGTGGGTTCAGGGTACACGGTTTGGGTTTTGGGATTTAGGGTTTGGTGTTCATAAGGGTTTAAGGTTTTAAGCGTTGAGCTTTATTTAGAGTTTTGGGGTTTGGGTTTTGGGGGGCTGAGGTGGCAAGTTTAGGTTGCTTTATTGGAGATCCACAACAACCCTACTTTTTCCAGCGCCCAGAAACCTTCAACGCGCTTTCATGCGGTGCAGTCCCCCTAAACCCTAAACCCTCGAGCCTCCAACAGCGTAAAGCCTAAACCCGAAGCTTCAAGCGCAGAGAGTGCTCCCCAAGCCCAGGAGGTCGCCTTTGAAGTGGGAACTCCCAAGCTCCCTGGTGGAGTCCCTGCCTGCGGGATGGATCTCCTACCTCCCAGGCTGGGTGTGTCTTGGGAGTGCTTCGTTATGTTTGTAGTAAGTGGGGCTTCTAAATATTGCTATTGAGTTATGATTACTGTTACTACGACGACGACGACTATTACCCTAAACCCTCGTGAATCCCGAAGGATCCTCGCAATCCCTGTGTAAACCCGTGTACTACGGTGCTATCGGGCTTTTACTATCTAGGGTTCCTCAAGATGCCATTGTACTATACCCCCAGAACCTGGTTCTAATCACCCAGGTCCATCTAGCACACACCGTGCAAGCCCTGGTTGCAGGTCACGGGAAGGCGGAGTTTTCATCGATGAACGTCAACGATGCAGGGGCCCTCAGGGTTCCCGGGGTCTTAGGGCCTTAGGGGTCTCTTGCGCTTCCTGGGGTCGTAGGGTTCTGGAGGTTTGGGGTTTGGGGTTCTAGGGGGAGAACGGAAACGCTGTGACCCAAACTCACGGTCAACCCAAAACCCCCACGTATAAACCCCTACAGTCCCAAATCCCAGACTACAAGTTTACCTTTCTCGAATTTGCTTTGAACGAGGTCTGCGTGATGGTGCCCGCCTGGCCCTGACCTGAGCTTCCTTTGGGAGTCGGCACCCTAACACCCTAAACCCCAGCCTTTCAACCCGTTTCTGAGAAAAGCAGAAAACCCTAAGCCCTAAGCTCTGAACCCTAAACCCCTAAACCCCTAAACCACCCCTAATTCCCTGAGCCCCTAAGCCCCTTAGCCCCAGATGCCTGAGAGCAACCCTCCCAGATGAGGCTTGCAGCTGTGGCCACCTTTGCCATCTTCCTACTCACCTGGGAGGCCTTGAGCAAAGTGTGTCTGCGTTTTCGTGCCCTTGCATTGCGAGACTTTGGATGATGGCACGGCAGACAGAGAGAGACAGAAGTCCATCAAATGGTTGATTGCATTGTTGAATAATCAGCTTTGTTCTTGTGGTATGTGTACATACGGTTATTCTTTTCTTCTTCTTCTCATGATTTTTGCTTTTGTTTTGGTACAACTATGACTGTAAGGAGACAACAACAGCAACCGCAACAACAACAACAACGACAATGACAATGACAATGACAATGACATTGACGATGGCAATGACAATGGCAAGACCGCCACCACCACCAACAACAACAAGAACAACAACACTATCAACAACAATAGCGACAACAAGAAGCACTTACAATAACATCAACAAGAACAACAACAGGAACAGCACCAGGAACAACAAGAAATTCATGATCATAATAATAAGAACAGCATCAAGACTAGCACCGCTTTTCTGATTTCTGTTCTTCTTATTCGCCTCATTATTCTGATTGTCTGTCTAGCCTAGCCGTTTTGCAGGGCTTTGATATGTTGCTTGGTTTATGAAAGGGTCTAGCCTTCATCTGGAATCTACCATAAGTTCTACTAGCGGGATGCCATATTTTAGGCCTCAGCGCCCCATGGAGGCCACCACTGAAACGATGATGATGGATACCGACCTTGGTTTATTGTGGTTGAGGTGATCATCAACATCATGATAAGTTCAACAAGAATTAGTTCCAAGACTCCAGAACCCCAATGGCAATCGACGAGTGTATGGGGCGTAATAACAGTCGAAAACAGGAATCTAAGTTTGAATCATTAAGCCCACAAGAGGGGCTGTTGGAGAGAGCCACGCTTGGACTCATCATACTCGGATGTTCATAGGTAGTAAGAAGTGGTGATGTATGTAGGGTCATTTCAGCTATAGCCGGTAAACCCTTATAGGGGGGCTTCTACTCCATTTATAGCTGCCCATGAACCTCCAGCGGCATTATGGAGGTCCCTGAATCAAAAGTGCCCCTGGGGTTTAAGATTCGGCGCCTAGGCGTTTTGCGATTTAGGGCGGAAGGGTTCTGAATAATGGGGCTGGTGTTGAGGGTTTAGGGCTTACAGGGTCTCAGCCTCAAGCTGGAGGTGTCGGAAAGCTCCGGCGCGGGTGTAGCTGCCGCAGTGGTGATGGCCATCATTCCCGCGCACTTGATGCGCTCGATGACAGGACCCTATGGTTTCGGATGAGCACTTAGTCAATGGGTTGTCTCATTCGGCCGGAAGTGGAAGCTTTGCGCATGTTTAGGCTTCGTTGAAAGAGACGGAGAGCGCGAGAGAATTGTTGACAGCCGGAGAAGAGAATGGATGCTCCAGTTGGACCGGGCCTGGCGGACAGGTTAGCACCAGCATGGTTTTGTTCCTGTTAGTGATGTTTTTGGTGCCTTCATCCCTCGGGTCATCCCTCCTCCAGTGCTCCAGAAGTGTTTCTGCACATCCAGCCCCTCGGTTGTGTGGCTTGGAGGCAATGGCCTAGTGTGAGTGACGAATTCGATGACCACGGCTCAAGCCATCGGGCGCATAAGGATGAAGAGACATAGCCAAAGACTTTGCAGCCAAAGACCAACCAAAAGCCTTGAGCGTCAAGATTTCCTGTGCCATCTCTGAGCCTTCACCAGCACAGTCTAAATAGCTCTGAAGTCAGAGCCTTAAACTCCTCAAGTCCCTGACACCACGGGAGATCCCAACCGATAAACTTGCAGCTCCACACCTCCACCTGACATTGCCCTGCCTTCGACCTGGTTGCGAACCAGAGGCTTGAACCTTAGTATAGGGGCTTTAATAATTAGCATAGGACCAAAGAGTATAGGTAATTATTAAGGCCCCTGTATTAGGTTTGGGGGGTTCAGGGCTGATTGCTTCGTGCCATAGTCGGAAGTCCACCTCTTGAGTTCTCGCCGTGCGAACGCCGGAGCTTCGTCGAAAGAGGTGGGCGGATCATGTTCCTTGACTCGCCTAGCATGCAGAGTTCACTTTTCTATAAGGGTTTGTGTGCGAGCTAGTCGAAGGGGTACTACACTGGAGTGAACTAGAGACAAGAATCCCAAAAAGCAACTCTTTGTATTGCCCTGGGAAGTTGGAGAAGTAAGGTTCTTTCTGATGCAGCTCGAGACGTACCTCCTAGTGAAACCGGAGCACTGTGGGCCCGGGTATCACGAGTATCTCCTAGACCAGTTGCGTCAAAAGATAGAAGGCACCGTCCAAGACAAAGCCGGGCTCATCATCAGTGTCAAGGAGATTGAACCCACAGATAAAGGCAAGCTGCATGAAGGGACTGGTTTGATCATGGTGCCCATGAAGTACAATGCCCTGGTGCTGCAGCTTTTCAAGAATGAGGTGGTCGACGCAGTCGTCACGGAGCTCAACAAGTTGGGTTTCTTCTGTGAGGTCGGCCCCGCCCGGGTATTCGTCTCGAAGTCGCTCCTACCGGAGGGCTGGAACTACTCCGAGGCCGAAACCACCGGGAGCGCCTCCTTCATGTCCGGCGACGGCACCTCCTGGATACGACGTGATGTCGCCGTGCGCGTGAAGCTCGTCGCCACCAAGCAGGACCAGAATCGGATACAGGCCATCGGCACCACAAACGGAGAGTTTTTGGGTCCGTTGCCGTGGAAGTGAGGCGCTGCCAGGAGCAATGACCCAACTGAGCCAATGATCCCGGGGTAGACGAGTACATACATGGCCCGAGTTTTGTGGTGCTATCGTGTATTATTGAGGGGTCCAGATACCCTCGCTGCGTGTACAGACGAGTTTTGATTTCTTCACCCTCCCTGCTGCAGGTTACGGATGGTGAAGGTTTCCGGTTTGGGATTAAGGGGTTGCGCAGGTGAACCTAGTGGTACAAGATGCTCCGTGGGGTTCCCTATTATACTTACAGAACCATCAATCCCAAAACACCTTTCCAGTTAGAAAGGCCCCCAAAATGCAGCTCGTTTCTGAGCAGCGAGAGGAAGGAGGTGATGGTGTCACCCGGAGTTGGAGGTTAGAGCCTGGGAGTGTGCAGCAAATCGCGAAGCCGGCAGAGTCCCCTAGATGCCCAAGACCCAGAGATCCCAATACCCCTTAATTAAGGAATATACCTTAAATTATATAGGCTTTAATATTATGATTTAAGGTACATTCCTTAATTAAGGGGTATTGGGTTCTCTGGGGAGGGCTACCGGAAGGGCCTTAATAACATGTTAGGAATTTGGGGGAGCCCTGAACATAGAAGCCTGCATAATTGCCAACCCTATCACTTGGGGTTCCTTGTTCTACCCCTACATGATACACTCCCAATGTCCGCACTTCAGCAAGCCCCCGACCTCCGAAACCCTGTAATGTTTGGGGTTGAGGGTTAGGGTTTTGGGCCTGAGGAATTAGTTCGGTCATCTCCCTGTAGCACCCCAAAACCTATAGAATAATATGTCGCGAAATACCTTTCGAATTGCAAGGTCCTTTTTGCGAAGGAACGGTCCGTGAGGTACAATAGATACAAGGCCTTTGAACTTCTTGCCGTGGACGAACGAAAAAAGTGCTTTTTATGGGTCATAATATGGCCTTCATCACAGCCCTTAGAAGGTCAGCCCTAATGACAGATACAATGTCCGAAAGAGAACTGGCCCCCACAACTTCTTCGGGGTGTACGGAGTAGGTGGTTTAGGCTTCTTGTAGCGAGAGCCCTTTCAAGATTGGGTCGTAGCCACAACTCTGAACCCCAAAGCAGTAAATTGGAGACAGTGAAGACGTAAACTTACAAGCCTAACACACTCAGCTGAAACTCAAAACCCCCGCCCTGCACCCTTAAGCCCACCGACGTCGAACCTCGCAGACCTGCACCTCTGAGCCCAAAAACCTCAGCAAAATGGCAACCCGATGAGACCCTTTATCTTCTTCAGCTTTCAGCCCTGATTGTACCCTCACTACACTGTATGAAAATCACCCCGGCCCAATGCGCATTTAAGCCGCAAAGATGCGCTGCCAGGAGAGTTTGACAACGAGTGCGTGGCAATGGCCGCATTCTGTACAGCCTTCTGGCACCTTGCCTTCTTGCTTCTCCGACGTAGCTTGTGAGTTGTCCCACGACTTTTTGGGTAGGGGTTTTGCAGGCTTACCTCTGTAAAGAGCTTTGGAAGCCCTTCATCCCCTGAAGCTTTGCCTGCCTTGTGTGTCGAAACCCCTGAAGCTAAAGCCTGTCAAAATAAAGACTCTCATCAAGGACGTTTGTTTGCAAACCCCCTTATAAGAGCCCTCGAAGTTCCAAGCACGCAAACCCCTGAACTTCACATGGGGGTCTTACTATACAGTCGTCTTAGACTTCACGTCCTTGTCGTGGTTTCAAAGTTATGAACCCATGCATGGGAAGAGCACCTTCTCCCTGAACTTAAAGGGAACTCCAGAAAGTTGGAATATGGTTAATGGTAGGATCCCCTATAATTATTATAATTTACCTTTAAGGGGTTACGATAATGATATTCCAACTTTCTGGCTTGTACTGTACCCCTAAACCACCGAACCCCAAACCCCCAAACCTCCCAAACCCCCAAAACCCCTAAACCTCCGAGTGTGAGCGTCAAGCAAACCCTAAACCTCTAAATCCCTAAACCGAAGCCGGACAAGCCCGCGTGAATCTACTTGAGAAGCAAGCTAACGAAGCTTCCGTCCTCTAAATCCCTAAACCCGCAACCCTAAACCCTAGACCCTAAACCCTAAACCTCTAAATCCCTAAACCCAAAGCCGCCCTGTTGAGAGCCCCCGCCAAACCTTAGGCAAGACCGAGAGTGAGTTCCGAAACCTTAAACCTCGAGACTCCATATCCCTGTATTAGGGAATATACCTAAAATTACAGTCCTTACCAGATTTTAACGTATATTCCTTTATTTAGGGATATTGGAGTGTCTGGGAACCCTGAATCCCAAGGCTCTGGTGCCGCTCGGTGCGCGCTCCCTCGTCCTGGCCCTGGGCTCTTCCGGCGGCCTTGGCCTACGCCCGGGGCTCAGTGGATTATAGTATACTATAGTATACTATAGTATATTATAGTATATTATAGTATATTATGGTATTTTACGGTATATTATTTCATATTATGGTATATTATAGTATATGATTCTATATTATGGTTTAGGGTTTCACTTCAGAGAGAGACATCGTTCACAAGAGTTTGGGGCAAACGGGCTGATCAACAGGAACACCGAAGAACCTTCAGGCAAGTTTGTCAGTGGACATCTGGGACACATGCAAGTTAAGGTTGTAGGTAGGGCCTAGTAAGCCTCGAGGGCACACGCGTGGCCACACGACGAGGTGCGCGAGGTGTTTTTGACAGACCAGCAGAAAACCGATGCACACAAACCACCGAAGCTGTAAACCCAACACCGCAGAGCTTTGACCCCATATCCCTGCAAGCCTAAATTGCCGCATCGAACCCTTTGAATCCTTGAAAGCCCCTATTAAAAAAAGCCGTCCACCCAACAAGAAAGGCACGGGGCGGAACTAATTTAATAAGATTCTGCCACCGAAGCTCTCAGCCGCCGAGGCGAGTGCCGTGGCGACCTGGGGCGGGTACATCTTTGCTGCTCAGCCCAATCCGAAGACCCGAGGTTGAAACCCTCAACTTCGGCTGCTAGGGGTACTTAGAAATAACTTTTAGTTTTGGTTCCTACAATCCCTAAGACCCTAAGAAACAGCCGAAGTTAGAACTTGCTAGGGGTCCAAGTTCAGTATAGTCAAAAGAGGTCAGGGTTTGCTAGGGGTTTTGTCCGTCTAGGATGGTTTGTCAAGTGCAGCCCCTCCTCAAAATTGGGTGTTTGGGGCTTAGGCTTCAGCTTCGAGGTTTACTTCAGAGAGACCTCGTTGGGCTTTAGGGAATCACTTCCAGAGCCCACAGCACCACGCCATAGGTGAATAACTTGATCGGGCTCCACGCAGCAGTGCTAGTGGGCCTGGGCAAGTACAACTCCGGCCTCTACCGCGCCTACTCGCTGTGGCCCCTTGGTTTGGTAAGGCCCAAGTTCTAGGTTCTTGTAAGTTACCATAGTCAGGAAACCATGGTGACTTAAATTTCTAAACAAGAACCCAGTCATGCCTCCGGCTGGGTAACAAACATCTGTCGGGTAAAGTTTGCTGGAAAGGTTCAGAGTTTAGGGGAAGGGAAACGGGCTCAGGGTATGTTGGGCATTGACAGGTAACTGGGCAGCACTGTGGCAACGAAGCAACACACATGTGCACGAGTCAACAGATGAGTATGTGCTCAATCAGAACAGGTAGAAGGTAAATGACGTGCAGAAGTCGAACGACCGATTAAGTAAGAAGTGAAGAAGTCAATAAACTCAGGGTTAAGGCTTTTGCTGTGCTGCAGAAACGCCCGAGACACCTCAATCCTGAAGCCGAAACCGTAAGCCTTAGGAGGAAAAGGGCCCTCAAAAAAAAACAGAACCCTAAACCCCTAAACCCTAAACCCTAAACCCTAAAACCCTAAACCCTAAAACCCTAAACCCTAAAACCCTAAAACCCTAAACCCTAAAACCCTAAACCTTAAAACCCTAAACCCTAAAGCCCTAAACAGCCTAGTAGCTTCAGACTTCAAGGCCGCCCCGAGTGCTCGAGGTACGCCCTGGGGACAGCTCTGGCGACCCTGGTGCCTGTGGTCAGCTGGACCGGGCTACAGTAGAAGCCAGAAAGTTGGAATATCATTATCGTAACCCCTTTAAGGTAAATTATAGGGGATCCTACCATTAATCCATATTCCAACTTTCTGGAGTTCCCGTTACTTCCAAAAGCGCAAACCTGACGGATGCAAGCCTTAAGCCTTAAAGCCTATCCCCAATACCTTTACGCCGCACAACCTAAATCCCGAACCCACTAGGACAAAGGCTGCAGGGGTTTGGGGTGTTGCAGTTTCTAGAGTTTCCCCATGTACCAAGGCTCCTATTCTCAATGCCACCCTTAAGCGTACGATCCTGCCCCCCACAGGTAGGGGTGCACATGGAACCTCAGTGGGGGTTACTCGAGAAGGTGCTTTGCATCTGCTGCATTTCCATGTCTGCCTACAGTCTTGCTGGGTCGGGACGCCCCAAAGTCCGCTCATGTGCAAGACCTGCCCTGCCGCCGCAGGACGCCACTTCGCTCGATCGAGCAGATGCCCTCGCTAGCGGTTTTCCTCGGCTTTCAGGCGCTCGGGAGGAAGCCTTTATTAGAGTTACCTTGGCTGTCCAAAATGCAGAAGTGCATGGGGTGGAATGCGAAAAGATGCACCGACACGAGTCCCGATTATCTCTCCAACCATTTGCCTGCAACAGACAAGAAGTGCGGACGGCAAAGGCATGGGTTCGCAGTGTGTGGCGCTTTTCAATCCAGGGAGTCCCGAACCTTCTCAGCTTTGCGTGCGTCTTCCAACGCGAGGATTCCTTCATCTTAGCATTAGCTATTGTTTTTGCTGACTGAGAGTGGCTTGGTTTTGATTTGTGGTCATAGCTGCTATGCGGGCCTCGTCCTGGCCACACAGCAAAGCAGCCTTGTACCCTAAAACATGAACCCCCTGAGCCCGAAACCCATCGTAATTCCTGAACCCTCAGAAGCTAAAAGACTCCATCTTAGCTTCCCAGATGCAGGTTTTAGAACTCTGCGACCTGTACCGTCGGCGGCGAGCTCCAACCATGAGCGGTCTCAGGCCTTCTCCTAAATGGTTTAGTGGGACAGCACTGTTCTGTGTGCGGCTCGCGTGAGTGAGCCAGTGGACACACATGAGTAGCAACCTTTCGTTTGTAGGCTGTGTTGAGTTCCCACATGGGTAGTAGTTGTCAAAATTATGGTCCCTTTTTGGGTTCTTAATATATTACGGCACCTTATATTTAAGGTACCCCAAAAGGGACCCTACAGTAATCTTGACAACTACCCACATGATAGCATGCAATGTGGAAGCGTCAGGCGGCTTCAGATGCATAGTTGCAGGCTTGATGCCCTGCGGAGTTCAAGCTGAGAATTTTCCGTAGTTTGGCTGACAATGACTAGGATGCCCAGTAGTACCCTTATTCCCTTTCTCTAGTCCTAGGTTCCTTATAAAGTTACCCAACACCAAAAAGAGAGGCCTTTTTATTCTTAGGTTACTGGGTATCCTAGATGATACAAAGCCAGTCCTGGATGTTGTGGTGTTTGTTGGGCACATGACGCAATCTGGGGCCCCTTTGACCTACAGGAGCCTTCAGTTGTGAACTTGGAATGTGTGACGAGGGGCCACATCCTCAACTCTCAAACTCTTGCCCTGGCCCCAAGCTGGAAACCACTTCTGCCTCGGCCGACAGATTCTGCCTTCTCCGGGTGGCCGTCTTCGTGTCTATTGGAGTGGTGCTTTGGCAGAGAAGACCCTGAACCTAGCCACCCCCGAGGCTCGGAGCCCTAAATCCAAAAATCCCGAGCCCAAAGCCCTGAAGCCCTGCAGCTCCGCCGCTCGGCGGGATCTCTAGAGCTTCAGGATCAGTCCCTGACCCTCCTTCTTGGGCAAGAGTTTATGCTAAATCCTGAGCCCAACCTTGTTGTAGTGCGGTTCGGCATTCGGGGTTGAGTGTGTTGTGTGGCCAGTCCCCCTGTGAGTTTTCATTTCGCCGTCATCAAGACACAAGCCTCGCCTGAATTGTCTGAGTTTGGGGCTTTGGGATTCCGTGGTTGGGGCTGTTGTCGCAGGACCTCGGGCCGGATGTCGAAAAAATTGGGGTCAAAGAGGTAGGCTCACGGCTCTGAAAGACGCGTTCCTTGAACCCCCAAACTCAAGAGCCTAGCACCCTAATCCCGAGTCAACAGCCCCCAGCTCTCAATCGGAGCACTTAGCGCAGACCCCAAATTAAAGCCTAGGACCCCACACCCTTTGTTCCAACCCCCCGAAACCCTTAAACCCCCCCAAACCCTCAACCAGAACCCTAAATCCCAAGCCTTAAACGCGAGCCTCCAAACCTTAAAAACCGCGAAACCCTAAACCCTAAGGCCTGCTTACCTGAACCCGAACCCTACTTCTTAAACCCGAACCCCCAAACCCTAAAAACCCAACTCCACTGCTCCGGGCCTCGGCGATTTGCTGAGGTGGCGGCCGGCGTCTGCTGGGCGCTGATGCAGCCCCTTGTGATGCCACCATCTCCCTAGTTCTGAATAGGGTTTGGGGCTTAGGTGAGGGTTTCGGGTTTATGGCAGCCCTGGAGCAGCAAAGAAGGGTTTGTAGGATTTGGGGCCTGAACGTCCGTGTGCTCCATTCAGGCACAAGTCCTGATGCAAACAAGGGCTTAGGGCCTGGCGCTGGATGGGGAATGGGGAAGTAATGCCTATTTATACGGTTCTTGGCGGTGATCCCATAACCGCCAATAACCCACCGCCCTACCAAGAGCCAGGGTGGGGCTTACCTCTGTTTGTGGGGCTTTGGGGTTGAGCTTTGAGCTTTTTAGATGTGGAGCTTAGGGTTTAGGGCTCGCAGGCAGGCTCGCAGAATGATTTTGCACAACCCCGGGCACACGTCTGCCGTCCTCGCTGTGTAGTGTTTCAGTGTCTTCATCTCCCAGACATGCGGATTCGTGGAGCCCCAAGCCTGTAATTGTAACACGAAGCGTGCCGGGCCCTAAACTCTCAAAGCCCTCGAGCCGAGGCTCAACTACTTCTCGCCGTGGTCCGCGCGAATCCGCGGCCTCTTTCTGAAACACCGGAAGACCGGGTCGCTCGGACTGATGCAGAGACTCCAAAAGGGTGTTTCGGTTTAGGGCTTCGGCGACTCTGTTCCGGGCGAGAGCAGCCTGTCGCAAAAGGGCCTTGATTAGGCAACATGCCTTAAATTTTACAGAGATCCTCAACATGGTTGAAGGGGCATTCCTGACTTAACAGGAGGTTGGAGACTCCGGGCGCCCAGATCGGCATTGGGGGCTGGTAAGGCTTTAGGGTCCGAGATGTAATGTGGTAGGGTGACACTCTAAACCATGAACCTGCTGGTCAAAGTTTGGCAGTTCTCGCATCAAGGTCGAAGGCCTCAATGTCAGCCTGAAGTGTCCGCCAAAATCTTCAGGAACCCTCTGGTGGACTCAGTGGCGGAACATCAGGCCTCTGCCGGAGCTCCAAACTCTTGTTCGCTTCAGAGGTCTATAAATGGGGTTTGGCGGCTTTTGCGTTTAGGAAGCAGGGTTACGGGTTCAGGGTGCAGGGTGGTGCTTTCTAGATTTTTGCAGCCTGCTAGGAAGAAACTCCCCATGCCTAGCCATCGCAGCTTCTCAGGTGACTTACTTGTACTTGGCCACAGGGTAACCTTAATGTACAGTTATTATGGTTGAGATGAGGTAGATATGTTGTAGCGACATTCACGTGCATACTCCATGAGTTGCCATGTTGCGAAGGGCTGGTCTTGCACATTCGCCTAATGCATGCATGGTCCACTGGGTCAGGAGTTTTCGTGAATCGGATCCTTGAATACCGATACAGGGCAGCCATGACCCCACGAATACGCGATTGTATCATTTGCCTTACCATTGCCATTGTCATGTTCATCAGTGTCATACAACAAGAAGTGCCATTGCTTTTGTTGCCAATGGCAGTAAAGCTAGTTTTCCACGATTACTGCTCTTTGTACTGACTACCACATACTGCGCACCTACGTACGTACGTACATATGTATACGACGACGACGACTACTACTACTACTGCTGCTGCTGCTGCTTCTGCTGCCGGCTGCTACTGCTGCTCACCATCATCTTTATCGTTATTGTTATTGACAGGTCTTTGCAGGAACACTTGGTCGTGAGCACGTTACAGTGCGGTGTGAGGGTTTGAAGTTTCAGGTTTTGGAGCTTAATGTTCCGGTTCAGGATTTAGCGCTCAGGGCTCGAGATTGGGAGTTTGCGGTTAAAGTCGTGGTCTGGCTAGACTTGAGTCCAGTAGCACAAGGGGCTTTGGATTTGAAGCTTAATACAGGGCCTTAACAATTTGAATAGGGTTTCGGGGCATCTTCTACTATATAATGGTCATAAGGAGCCCCAAAAGCCCCATTCTTATAGCGCGCTAATCATGAAGGCCCGCTGCATTAGGGCTTCGGGGCTTCTGGCAGACATCCTGAGTCCGCGCGAGGCTGCGAGCGATCAGGCCTACGACATGTACCTGGGCACTCCGAGGCGGGCTTGAAAAATGTAGGGGCGTTAATAAATTAGAACAGGGTTTGGGGTATATTTTTCTAAAGTTACAACAAGGAATCCCCGCAACCCTGTTCTAATTATGAGGCAGGCTAGTCCCCAGGCTTTGTTGAACAAAGGATTTCTCGGTATTTTCTGTAGGATATCCGGATACACCCATGTCGGACCTTACAATGAGCACTTGGTTCTAGAAGGATAGGATGTGAGAGCCCTGGATTGTTCCTTGAAGGGGTGTGGCAATCGTGTCGGATGAGAAGTTCAGGGTTTGGGGGTCTTGGGTTGAGGGTCTAGGATGCGAAGTTCGGGTTGTGAGGCGGCCAAGAATCTTCATCCGGCACAGGTCTGATCTTCTAGGATGCCCAGTAGTACCCTTATTCCCTTTTTGTAGTCCTAGGTTCCTTATAAAGTTACCCAATACCAAAAAGAGAGGCCTTTTTATTCTTAGGTTACTGGGTATCCTAGTCTTCGATTAAGTGAAGCTACACTACTGCAGCTCAATGTCCCTGCAGTTAGCGTGCAGGTACTTCTGCCTCCTCTCCGCCCATCGATTCAGACCAGAGCCTGACGCCCACAAACCCTAAGGCCCCAAGCCCTGATATAGGAGTTTCCAAAAATTGGGGGTACCTTATTTGGGGGTCCTTATAATGAGGATCCTATTATTTAGGGTGCTATATTAGGGTCCCCTGTTCTCGGAAACTCCCATATAGGGGCCTTAATAATTAGAACAGGGTTTTGGGACCCATCATACTATAACTATAATAAGGAACCCCCTAAAATAGTATTGGTAACTATTTAGGCCCCTAATATGAAGCAGTCTCGACCCAAATGCCATGTCATCTGAGAGGTACTTTGCCTTCGTCGGTCTCTTCTTCTGCTGGCACCAGCGGACACCGTCCAAGATATTCCCTGTTTTGTGGCTGTGATGCAAACAATGTTTCAAAGCTGCCAGACCTGTAACCTTTTCCCCGAACCCCGAAGCATATCGTAGAATTCTCAGCAATCATAAACAATCTAATTTTTTCTTGCTGTGCTTCGTGTAGAGTCGCAGCGTGCTATGCCCTTAACCTTGTTCTGATAATTAGTCTCGGCCGCTTCAGCGGATGCTCTGAGGGTGTTATCGATTAGAGTCTCTTAGCTTTCGAACGGCTTACGAGTGGCATCTGTTTTGAGCTTGATAATCATATCAATATCAGACCACGCCTACCTTGAGCAGCATCCCGAAGACTCAGCTTGGGTTGCCATCGTAGCCTTCCAGCTCATGGGTGCTGGTCTTAGGTGAGGCGCCCCTACCAAGCACGGACGTACCCTGATCCCTGAACCCTAAGCCTTGAGCAACTAAGCCCCAATCCTTAAACCTATCCATTTTTTCTGGCCTAAACTTGTTGATGGATGCCGTTCTGGAGACAGGGTTGGCAGATGTAAAAAAGGAGGTCCGAAAAGCCCTGTCGCGGTCCCGACCCAGGTTTGCAGCAGTGGCCTACCACTTCTCGCTGCATCTCGGCGGTCCGGCGTCGGGGAGTCGAGATAGTGGGAACCTTCATCCTGCTCTACTCGGAGGTTCATGCGTAATTATACTTATAATTGGGATTACAGGTAGGGTAGCTAAAGTTACAACTCATCAAGAGACGAGACCCCAGTCGCGAATGAAGGAGATTGAGTTTTGTAATCAAACAGGTGCTCATGGTCTTGCTGTGAGTACCTTTGAATTTCCATTTCCAACCAGCTTTCAGCCCACCCGAAACCCTACTCGATGGACATCGATAAACCTTAACCCTGAGAATGTAGAGCTGACACCTCAAGCCTTGGGGCCTTGGCCCCACACCCGGAACCCTGAAACCTAAACGCTACTCTCAAGACTCCACCAACCGGACTTACCTGACAGTCTTCTTACCTCGGGTTAGTAGGGAATGGAGGAATGGGGTACAACGATAACCACTACTAACTACTACCACCACCACCACCACGACGACGACGACGACTACTACTACTACTACTCCTACTCTTACTCCTACTCCTACTCCTACTCCTACTACTACTACTACTACTACTACTACTACTACTACTACCATTCTTCCATTCCCTACTAACCCAAGGTAAGCCTTGCGCCCAGGAAGATGAGTCGTCTGCTCATTATCTGCGGCCCCATCGTGTCGATCCTGGCAGGCGCTGCGGGCTTTATGCGGCTTTTGGGTCGGGCCGGAAAGGGCTTAAAGGGAACTCCAGAAAGTTGGAATATGGTTTCAGGGTAGGATACCTTATAATTTACCATAAAGGGCTTAGGATAATCATATTCCAACTTTCTGGCTTTTACTTTAGGGTTTGAGGTCCCTAAACCGCTAGTCTCGAGGTTCACAGGTCCTTAAGCCCTGCACCCTAAGCCATTCTGTTTTGGGAAGGCGTAGTTTGCTGACGTGTCACGAATCGCGTTTCCTGCGGGGCCAATTCTAGACGCCAAACCCCAAGTTCCGAACCAATGTAGCGCAACGTAGCTTCCCAGCCCTATGGAAAATATGTTGGGGGACATTAGAATGATGCCTCAAAGCCGTAAGCTTTTGCATGGTTTCGAGCTGTTCAGACTCGAATTCTCGCCAAGCTTGTCCTAGCTGTGAGTGCTGAAACCCTACTGGGAGGATCATGGGACTTAGTAAGTAAGCGAGGTTATAAGTACCTTAATTGGAGGTAAATATATGATTATCACTATAGTTACCTTTTGATAACCCTAGTTACTACGTCCCATGATCCTCTAAGTAGTGACTTTCAAGGATATCCGGTCGGCATCCTCGGCGACTGGTGTGTCGAGCAGGCACCTGCTTCCAGGTAGAATTCGCGGCTTTGGGCCGCAAAGACACCGGGTTTGCTGAAAGGGTTTAGGGTTGAGGGGTTTAGGGGTTTAGGGTTTGGTCTACTAAAAGGGTCCCTATGGCTGCAACCTGTAATTGACAAGGCTTCAGGGCCCCACCACCGTTGCTATACACATCAGGGCTTTGTCGGGTTTTGCAGGCATCTTGGGGGTTTCACACGACTTATAAGGATTGAAATATGGGGGCCTTGGTGATTAACATAGGGCTTTGGGTGTACGTTACAGGGTGGTCGTTGTAGAGCCCATCAGGCACAGTATTCCTCAGCGTTCCGACCCCTATACACCGGGGTTAAGCAGAGAGCGCAACAGCTTTATGATTAGAGGCATCCTTATCATGACTTCGGGGAGGTCAAGCGTCTTCTGTGTGGCCCCCCAGCGGCTGAAGTCGAGGAGGAGGTTCCGAAGCGCACAGGCTCGGCGTCGTAGTGATTGCTGAAAGGAGCGGGGTTTAGGGCTTGGGGCCGTCTTAGGGCTTGCTGGAAGGTGAGGAAGGTCATAGGTACCCTAAGTTGCATTAGGAACCCCACCCTAACTCGAACTCGAACTCGAACTGGAACAGTTCCACTTCCACTTCGAGTTCGAGTTCCACACACCCCACCCACCCTCCCATTCCCTTCGGCCTTGGGCCCTTCGAACTCGAACCTGCGCTCGCCCGGTCGGTGGTCGAACTCGAACTCAAACTGGAACTCCAACTCCCCCCCCCCCCCGGCCGAAATGTTGCTGCTGCTACTCCTTGGAACTCGAACTCGAACTCGAACTGGAACTCGCCCCCCCCCCCCCCGCTCGAACTGGAACACTTCCCCCTCCCCTGGGGTACGCTCTGCTAAGTTGGGGTTATCCACTTATGTCATAACTTACCTTCGTACTACAGTAAGTCCCGAGGGCTGGATGCTGCGGGCTTCAGGAATTTAATTTAGGCGTTAAAGGTTCGAGCTTTTGAGTCTAGGGTTCGGGTCTGGGGTTAAGGGTTTAGGGTTGAGGGTTCTCCCAACAACCTGGTGATGGTCCAGGTCCCAAGGACGAAGCCCGAGACCATGTTTTATTTCAGCGTTTCGGGTTTGGGTTCTGGATGTATTGCTGTGTTTCCTACTGGACTCCTTCCAGCAACGGAGCCCTGAGTGGACAGGCGGCATGGGATCCATATATCGCATCTGTAAGATGCTGATGTGGCCGGCGGCCCGGCAGTGCGAAGGGGCTGGTGATAGTGACCAACCTCGGTTGAGATTCCGCCTCCCAAGTACGCTGCGACGGAAAGTTTGTTGATCTCTTGAAACAGATACCGAAGTGGAGCAGGGGCGTTAACACCCGTACACCCTAGATTCCCCAGCAGGGTTGAAGGTTTGGCTTTGTGTGTGTGAGAGTGCAAGTGTCGGGTTTTGGTACAGGGAGGCTTTGGGCTTAGGGTTAGTGTTGCGACTAAAGATTGTCAAAGATCTGTGGGCAACCTTCACCGAAAGGTCAGGTCGTTACTACCATCCTGCACGGGACATCGCTTTTGTTCCTTTTTCGAGCAGCTCATGCCGAGCAGCCGAGGTAACCTACACGGACGAAGTCAGTGCAGTGGATGCTTGGCTTCCTTAAAGAAAAGGCCGAAACCGTTTAGGGAATGGGCCAGGGGTTTAGAATATATGATAAATGTCGATTGCCAGATGGCAATTTCTCTGGAAAGTTTAGATTCGCCGATTCGGGGGGCCCTTGCTACGTGGTAAGGATGGAAAAACTAGGCAGGGAAAGAGCCAGAGAGAGCGAGAGAGTCCAAGGAGAAAGTGCGTAAATCCGCGGTGCCCCGAGGAGAAGTGGTCAACCTACGTCGCGACGAAGCTTCCCCTTTTAGATCGTTCCACAAGGCCGGATGACGTGGGTTCAGGGGTTTAGGTGTTTAGGGTTCAGGGGTTTAGTCTTTAATCCTGGCAGTGTAGGGTGCCGTAGTGGACCTCAGTCCGTGGCCCAAGCAGTTAAATGAGTCATAATGTAGTTTTCTTTAGGGCTTCGTGAAGGAATTTAGAGTTTCTACCGGAGAGCGCAAAACAGCTTTTTGGGACCATTTACAAAGTGTACGTCGACTACTTGAACTAGACCTGTATGAAAGAATGTAGTTAGTCATGCAGTACACTGTGGTTTCTTCAGTTCGTGAGTGCAATCATAGGTCTCGCAAATTTGTGCTCTTAGAACGATGAAGCCGTATGACGGCTTTTTTTTGATTTTGGGGAGGAGTCACTGCAGATCATTCAACGAAATCGTTGCCAAAAACCCACCATGTTGAATCTTTATGTTGTCCTGTAGGATTCTATACGGGTTCTTGGAGGCTTCTGCAAGGGATTTTGTCAAGGTGCGAGAGCGCGGTTTCTTGAGGATTAAGAAGATGATGTAGAAGCATGAATAGTTCCCAGCAGTATTCCTGAGGTTCCTTTCTACTGGTACGCTAAAACACAACCCCAAAAACTGGTCCTAATCAGTAAGGCACTTATATTCTGGCACGAAGCGCGCCTAGGCAGAGCAAATAGGTTAGATGTAGAATCATGGAAACCCAGATTGGGGGTTAAACACATAAGCCTACTGACAGCTTACTTGCTTGCTGTATCCTTCATCCTTACATCCAGGAATCCAAGCTCAAAACCCTCCTTGAAATGGAACCAACACCCTAAGTCTTAAACCCAAGTTGCGAAGCCCTGCAGGGTTAGTCGTCGCCAGTTTGCTGAGTTGACGTTGCCATGTCTTTCATGCACAAGGATATGTGAAACCGGCCCAAAAACAAACGAACCACAAACCCAACATACCCTCCAAGAGCAAACCCCTAAACCCGGACCTTATAGAACTGTGAAAGCGGCCCAGAACCCTAGTCCTAATCCCCAAACCCCAATCCCTCAAGACCCTATAGAACCCTTATCTCAGGCTAATAGACGTTCGTATAGCGACCTTCTGCAACCCGATACCAACCGCGACACAAACAGCGAACCCCTCCCCAGAAACTGTCTAAGCCTTCTCCAACCCCTTGAGACACCATGATACACCCCAGTACAAACCCCATATAACCCCCAACTCCTTCAAACAACCGCAAGACGAAATAGGAAGAACAAGAAAAGTGCACAACAACCAGACAGTTAATTTCAATTCTCAAGCTTAAAATGAGGAAACTTCAATGTGTACAGAAAAGACACCCCAAACCCTAAACCTCTAAACCCAAGCCATGTGAGAGGCGAAAACCCCTAAACCCTTAAACCCTAAACCCTGAACCCCTAAACCGTAGCCATTTTGGCTCAAGACCTGAACCGGGCACAGCAGGGGACACCGTTTCGATCCTGGGGCTAGGAATGGCGGCTTTTGGGTCCGGCGATTATCGAGTTACGGAAAGCGATCGGAGCACCAACAGCGACGAAGAAATGTCGCGGGCGATCGCTGCGTTCCGCGACATGGCGGCTGACGACGAGCTCGACTACATGTTCGCCACGCCGGTGCTCACCCGACTACATGTTCGCCACGCCGGTGCTCACCCGCCAGAGTCATGCGGTCCTCGTGTCCAACTCCGTCACCCGTTTGGCGGGTCATACCGCGAGCGCAGCTGTTGGGGTCCGCTTCCATATGGATCACATGTACAGCTCCATGCTCGTGACCGAGAACGGAGACGGGACCTGGGCTTTCACTCCCGAAGGGGGCGCTGGCTCTGCCCTTGCGGGCTTGGACGTCGACGACGCCATGCTCGCGGAGGCAATCCGGGGCGACGATCCGGCGACGTTCTTTGCTGCCAGCATGGTCAATTGCGTGGCGTGCAGGATGCCCGCAGAGGTCCTGAAGGGAAGGCTCCGGGCAGACCCCGACATTCGCCAGGCGCTCATCGCCTTGCTGTCCAGCGTCCCCACGATTCGCCAGAACGAGTACAACGACATTATGGTGTCTGCGGTGAACAAAGCGTTCGAGATAGCCCACAGGCTCCTCCCGGGGAACGACGGAGTGGAAATGGTTCTTGCTGCGTTCAACGACGCACGCCGCGTGGGGGGGTGGACTGCCCGCAACAGAGGTGCCCAGACTGTGAGGCAGGGGGACAACAGGGCCACTATCACCGCGGTGATGGGCACCTCCGAGACCGGCAATCCTGCAGGCGCTGCCCCAAGAATGCTGGTGGACACGGCGTATCAGGTGATCCAGTCTGTGATTCCGAGTCACCGCGTGGATGGATTTGAGACTCAGGAAGAGAAGGACCGGGGCTGCACAGGGACCTTCGGAATTCTCACTATCCACAAGCGGTTATTGCCTTGAGTGAATTCACGGGGGGTGAAATTTGGGAATCTCCTTCAGGCACTGTACAAAAAGACTATATGGGAGGGATCCTTCAGGGCTATTCCCAAGGAACTCGACGGCGCCCTTAACTCCCTAGGCTTTGTTACACCGGATAGCCTGGAGGTTGATTTCTACTCTAGAGTACTAATGGGCCCTGGACAACTTAAACAAACTACTCTATGCGACTTCCCAAGAACTACATCACGTCAAGTATGGGGAGTGGGAAAACTCAAGCAGGGTCTTCCGGTAACCTTAGTACTTAGCGATAGTGAAGAAGACTTAACCAACAACACAGGAACCGCTGAGCCACCCCCCCACAACACACTCAGATAGTTTAAACACTGTTAAGCGCCCCCGGCCCACCCAAGTAGACTCCTACACCTCCGACTCCCAAGCCACATTACCCTGGCCCATGGATGCCGTCGCGGGGGCATAACCCATATCCAACAGGTGGCAGGAGTGTGTGCAAGATACGCTCCAAGGAGGGCCCGGTCTGTGTGGGGTCTTTCTTTGAGGTCTCTGGGGCTTTGTTTTTCTATTGCAACTCTCATACTTTGCTGTGTTCTCTGTATTACAAGTCCACTGTGCCTCCATCCCCATTAACCCCTCACTTTAGCATGTTTAATCCCCTTCCCTTTGGGTATCTATGGCTAGCTTAGCGTTATCTTCATATTGAACACACTTCACATGGGCTCTTAATGTATTCTACCGGTATTCCTTAAGAAACCATTAACCCGCGCCCGTGCTGAGAACATGGAACCCTGCAAAGTGGACCTGACGTGCTGGAAGGCACACGCTGCATGCCTGTCGCCTATGATGGAATGCATGGAATTTACAACTACATCTGCATGGCCTCCGCTGCCACATGACGACGAGCCTGAATATATGAATCTGCATGCTATCCATACAATGTGGGTGGAACGATGACTGACCATGAGCTCTACCTGTGGGTCCCCGCTACGAGCACAGCCCTGCTGGCTTTTTCTGGAATTTATTGCACGAGGCGGGGATCTGAGCGAGTAAGCTGGCACAGTCGGATGTTGCTAGTGGTGACTCCCCACGGATGGCTGCATGAAAATGGCCTCCCATATACCACCAACAGCCTGGCCAGAGACACAGTATATGGGGAAGTCACACCCAACCAGAGGGTTACCGATGAGGCCTGCTAGCTGGTCTACACTGCATGACTGCAAGAGATCGAATGAAGGGCTCTTGAATTTATGGTATGAGTTTGTAGCGATCTGCTGCTCAAACCCTGCATGCTCCTCTGCTATTAGCGCCGCGTCTGGCTGCTCTAGCAGACGTGCGACCGAGCTGAAAATGCGATGTACTCTGCCGTGAGGTGATTAGATGTGATTGAGTGCGATGTCCGCGTCACATTCAACCATGTCTAAACACCCCCAGTGAGCATAATTCATCAACTGAGGGGTGCATGCTAGAATTCATTGGACCAAGCGCCGGGTCATGATACTGAAGTCATATTTTCCTAGGACTAGGGGGTATGGACTAGAAGGTGAGATCCCTTTTCTTAAAGTAAAGTTTGGGGCGGCTTGGCAAGCAGCGAAATAACATGTAGGTCACTCCACGTACTCCACAGTTTCACTCTTTTATAGTGTCTGAATTAGGTGCTTGTAGCGTCGGTAATAAGCTGACTACGGGGATCATGCAATACCTGATCCCCACAACAGATCGCAGTGCCTGAGTCAACCCGGCTCTTCCCTCTCGTATGTAGCTACTGAATATTGTAGGGCTAGCTCCCTATACCTCAACCCTGAGCGATCTGCCTGGTCTACTGCCTTGGAATCCAGTGTTCCGAATGCTTTCAACAGAGAGATTCCAAGGACAGGTTTCGCAGACCGGTACAGTTACTTTAAGTGTTGTTATTCTTTGTTGCTGAGACGTCGTGACGAGGCCTCTTAGTGTCGTTTCACTCTGCAGACTCGAACTCATATGCCTCGCCTGGTTTGTCCGAGTGTGAGCGCCGAAACCCCTAAACCCTTTTCCCCTAAATCCCTAGACCCCTAAACCCTTAACCCTAAACCCCTAGACCCCTAAACCCCTAAACCCTTAACCCCTAAATCCCTAAACCCTTAAACCCTTAACCCCTAAACCCTTAACCCTAAACCCCTAAACCCTTAACCCCTAAACCCCTAAACCCCTAAACCCTTAACCCCTAAACCCTTAAACCCTCAACCCTAAACCCTAAGCCCCTAACCCTTAAACCCCTAAACCCCTAGACCCCATAGACCCCCAAACCCCTCAACCCCAAAGCCCTAAACCAGTCATTTCGCAGAAAGGGTCCATTGCACCTAAAAAAAAGTTACGAACTCACGAGCTCAAGGCTCCTCCTGGCCGCCATCCTGGCAAGCTGGGCCTGGCGCGAGGCCCAGGAGCGCGGGTTTTGTCTAGCAGAGGTATGCATTGTTTTTTTTTGCGTTAAAAAACATGCATTGGTTGTAGTATAGATCGCATCCTTGTGGTTTTAGATAGATAGTATTTCACTGCTATTTGTTCTTGCCATTTTTTCCTAATTATACTTTTAGTCGGGCCGTTTAGGAACGCTTCGGAAGTGTGCGAGGTTATACAGGTTGGATGAGGGATGATGAGGGCTGTTCAGGGTGCAGTTTGCAGCATGTTGGTGGGTGCTTCAGGGTTTAGGAAGCTTGGGCTTAGGGCCTTTGGAATCTAGGTATGGTTTCAAGTTTCCAGGCACAAAAGAGGGCATTAAGGGTTTCGAGTTTTAGGTTTAGGGTCCAGGGCTTTGGCAGTTTCGACAGCATGATACTCTAACAGTAAGGCTGGCGAGCGCTTCGGTTCTGAACTCTAGTGTCTAGGGCTGTAGGGGCTCCTGTACCGTAAGCTCCTTATTATGAATACAGTATAATGGCCCAAAAACACTGTTCTAATTATTAAGTCCTCTATATTACAGATAAGCTAAACAGCGTCATGGGAAGCTTCGGGCTTGAAGCACTTAAGTTTAAGTGGTAGAAGCCAGTTCGCAAGGAGCCTTGGGAGAAGTTCGTGCACCTGTGTGTCTCGGCAGCGGCACTTGTGGAGTCCCAAATACCTGAGCCGAAACAGTGCATCTCAAAGATGCTTAGCAAGCCTTGCGCTGCCAGCTGCCAACAAAACCATGAATGGCGGACTATATGTATGACCTTCAAAAAAACTACAGGGCACCTGCTATTTACCCCTGAAAACACACCAGAACAGCAAGAACTCTCGTGCCCTATTTGGGTATGCGGCCCGACCACATTCGGAATTGTCACCATGCTCTGGGCAACGGGAACTCAGCTACTAGGAATCTGTATACGGAGGGTGGAATGTGCCCATGTAATCTCGGGTGTAGGGTTCAAGGTGTGCACTTTATAGCAAGCAGCCGTTGCTGTAACCCTACAGGCCCTACACCTCACAGTCTTAGAAGATCTTAGAAGTGTTTCACCTCAGCCGCCCTGGCTTGTCCGAGTGTGAGCGCCGCAGACAGAATCGACTTTCCGTAGATACTACAAATTCCCAGGCCCTAACCCCTACACCTCTCCGCTTAGCCCGTCATCCCTAAACTCTAAAATGCTAAGCCCGAAGCCCTATATAGGCCCTATGCCGTAGCCGCCGTAGCCTATACCTATCGTCTTGTCGTGACCCCAGCAGATGCACGAAGGCCTTCCGTGGCCTGATGTTCTGTGGCCTTTCGGCTCACCGAGTTCTAGAAGCAAGGGTGTTATGGAAGAGGGCCTTAAGGGTGCACCGCATAGTATAGGGTTCTAAAGGGAACTCCAGAAAGTTGGAATATGGGTTAATGGTAGGAACCCCTATAATTTACCTTAAAGGGGTTACGATAATGATATTCCAACTTTCCGGCTTCTACTGTATGTGGGTTTAGGATTTAGGGCCATGCGCTCGATCTTAAACTTAGCTCACGCTTTTCTTTATCTCTCGAGGCTACTCGCACGCGGAGTCCCTGGCGGGCCCCGGCTTGGCCTACGAAGCGCGCAGCTTCGCTGAGAGGAAGATGTCAGGTTCCAAGCTAAAGAGAACTGCGCCCCTTGGGGTTTCAGAGTCTCTTGGAAGGAAAGTCACGTCGGATGTTGTTGAGGGTGGGCTGAATTGCCAAAGTTGTTCGTGCCAGGTAAGGCAAGTCAAAGGTTTTGAGCGCTTGAACTGAAAGCAAAGACAAGTTGTAGAAGCTTGAAGAACTAATAAGACCCTCGTCTAATGATGAATATGATGCATTGAGGTGCCCTCTGACCCAAGGCCGGAAGCCTCACAAGGCCTTCGTTCGGAGCGAGTTGGCTCGCTCCCCGATGCCCCCGCGGAACCATCCATGTAGGGTTTCGGGTTTAGGGTATCAGGCCGCAGAAAATCCTGGAAGGAGCCATCTCTGACTCCGTGAACCTTAGACGTCGCCCGATTTCCTTCTAGAGAGGCGTAGACATAGTGCCAGAACTTGCTTTCACACCCTGTGGTTTCGGGTTCAGGGTTCACTTGGGGGCTCGGGAAAAAACCTCTGAGGACTCCGAAATGGCAAGACCATCATTGTGGATGACTACTACCAAGGCCGCTCGGGCTTATTTCAGAAGCAGCGAACAGCATCAGGAGCGCGCATAAAGCGAGTGCAACTCTGGAGGGGAGGTTTTGTGTTGCGTGTGGATGCAGGGTCTCTGCTTCAGGATATCTCTGGATCGACAAGAACACCCCGCCGGATTCTAGAGTGGCTTGCCCTGGGTGATGCGTGCGTACCAGGTTTGACGGTTGAGACCGCGGCCTTTTGACTTTGGTTTTTCTGGAGGCAAGAAGGCTGCTGCACGTTTTTGGCAGGTCTGTTTGAGTGGATTTATCATCATACTGTCCTGAAACCCCTTTTGCAAATCGAGTGGTTAAGGCTGCTATCTATATTACGTACAATCCACACCCTCGCAAGTCTCTCGTCGGTCGCGAAGGTGCAAGGACTGTTAGCTGGCACCCTAAACCTTAAACCCTGAACCCTTATCATCGGCGGTGCCCGGCAGTCGATGCAGTTGGTATCCGTCATTTGCGTGGCAGACTCGTTATGCTGAAGCCCTCCCAGAACTTTCAACCCGAAACCGCTAAGCCGCGGTTATGCCAATGAGGTCCCAAAACACAACGACCCAAACCCTGAGGCTCGGGACTTGAAACCCAAACCATTGCAAACCGGCAGCCAGTACCCCTTATTGCAACGCTTGAAGAAACCCTTATAGTTGCAACCTGCCCTCAAGGTTTTGGCATGGTGGGACTACGGCTACCAAATCACCGGAATTGCCAAGCGGACCTCTGTCGCTGATGGCAACACCTGGAACCATGAGCACATCGAGCCTCGACCTTCTACATATGCGGTTTTGCAGGTTCACCCGAAGGAGCTGTTTGGGTTTGGGGTTGAGTGTCTGAATGTCTGAGCAGAGATGGATCTGGTGAGTGTCCGAATCTTCGAGCCTCCGTTATTCAATTTTCGCATCGTCGCTTGAAGGCTCTCAGAAGAATTGGAGTGCTCGCTTTTAGCATCGTGTGCTTCGGGCGACAGCGCAGCAAGGCCACAATTGGTCGCATCTTGTCCAACCCGGTGAAGAAGTCGCACAACATCATGCGGCTTGGCAGAGGGTGCAGAGCCCCGTGGCCTAAAGTAGTGTCCGAACAAATACTGATATTATTCAGTTCCTCCATTTTGATCCTTCATATCATGAAGTAGTACACCCCAAACCCAATTTACATTCATAGGCTGCCTCGTACCTTTTAGCTATACATGCTATGCATAGCCTGACGACTGACATCCTCTTCCGCCAGTTGGAGCCCCTTCAAAGCCCGAACCTTAAACCTCGAGCCCCAAACCCTTACAGATCCTCCATTTCAAATGGATACAGCACAACGGTGGACACGTCAGGAATCTCGTGACATTGTTTGCCCAAAACCCTAGTCCGAGTTGCGCGAGTCCAAGCAAGTTCAGCTCCAGGCGGCACCTTGCCGACTATGTGCTCGTCTGGGCCGGCGAGAGGGAGACAGACCTCAGGACTTGTAGGGTTCAAGTGCAGATTGGTGTCCTGCATCTGTTCAATTTGAGGGTTTATTGATTTATTTGAAGTGTCATCCCTGGAAGGAGGCCTTCAAGCATATGCTAAGTAGCCGGGCACGACACATGAAACAGATTCTCGCTTGGTCGCAGTCACCGAAAGTATATGCCGAGCTGACCTTTTTGCTTTGACTGGAATTCGAGGAATAGGTTTGGGCATCTGGGAGTGGCTTGCATGGTTTAGGCCTGCGCTGCAGCATGGCAGTATCGCATTGCTTCAGCTGTCAAAGGATCTCGACCCACTTTGCGCGGATTGGGATGCCGGGGCGGCAAGAAGGCAGTGCAAAGCATAGAGATTTCCGCTTGTGAATATTTGCCGGAGTGGGCCACCTACCCGGGCCCGAAAACCCCAAAAGACATCTAAACCCTGAGGCAAAAACCTTGAACCCCTAGACACGAAAACCGAACCCTAGACTAGATGCTAAACTGACCACTATCTGAGGTCCCTGTGTGCGTTTCTGTTTGCGAGCAGGTGTAGCTTTGGATGTAATACGCCCCCGGAAACCTCGCCCGACGTCGTCGAGTGCGAGTGTCAATATCAAACTCACACTAAACCCCTGAACCCCTGAACTCCTAAACCCCAAAACAAACCCTGATCCCTCAACCCCGAATCCCTAAACCCGAAGCCCGGAAAAAAAAAAAAAAAAAACGAAACCCAACGCCTTAAGGAATTCCGTGTTCCCGGACATCTGCGGGCCACGGGATCCGACTTGCAGACGCTCGGTTTGGGGAATGACGGAAAAAGGAAGCCACGGGTCTAGGGTTTGGGGTGCAGGAAGTTTGTGTTTTGAAGCTTGGGGAAAGCTTGCCGGAGAGCCCTGAAATCAAGAATGTAGTTTGACGTTTCAAGGTTTTGTCAAGGTTAATGTAGTACCCCATAGTAGCCCTAAATTGCGGATCGTAGTAGTTCTATGCAGGTTTTGTAAGATTGATATGGAGTTAGAGTTTGCGGTTGAATTCAATTAATGTTGTTTCCCATGATCTGGTTTTACGTTTATAGGGCGTTTAGGTCTTGGGCTCTTTGGGCACCTCCCTAAGACTGTGCATGCTTCTCGGCTTCGGGTTTAGGGTTCAGCGTGCTGTAGAAGGAGGTCATAGTAGCGCATTGAAGGAGGCCATGGACAGGACGTGTACTTTCGGCGGAATCTAGGGTTGAGGACTTTTGCGGATTATAGGGATGAGGATTTTAGCATAGCATTGCGGTTGTTCCGTCTAGAACCACGGTGCTGAAGGTAAATATGCAGCGTACCCGCAGCCAACGCCGATGATGCGTGAGCCTCCTGTCTTTCCGGCATATGCCGAGTTGAGGTAGAACTGCAGCCATCTGAGTAAAATCAGTACTTTGATTCCTCATATTGCTTGCCTTGCATGTGCTTTCGAATTCCCAGCATGGTTCCGAGTCCAGAGCTGTGACGGTTCTGAGTTACCAGCTCCCGAACTAGCATACGAGCATCTGTATTGTCATTGCTGTCGGTATCATTTTTATGCTGAGCACTGCTTCCGTTTCTTGCATGTCTCTTCTTCTGTACATGTTTCAGTTTTCTATGTGTGAAACCATCACGGGTAGCACTTATAAGTAAACGCGGGTGATCCACGCAGAGGTGTCGTAACCTTGAATCCCTGCTTTGCGTCAGGCAGCGGGCCCGATATTGCAGTATTCAGATTTACAGTCCCAGAGCCGACGAGTTCATATGATTTAGACCGTACTTGAGCGCTACCAGGTCGTTCCCAGAACCCCGCCATGTATGGAATAGTTTCTATGGCCGCAAGTTTCGCGAACGAACTCCGACTAGTAGGAGGCACCTCCAGCCTGAAAGCCGAACTTTCGAGGTCTGACTCTGAAGAAACTGACCTTGAAAGGCGGGTTCCGAGACCATGCTACTTTCAAGCCCTCCGAGCTTAAACCCTAAACTCCGAACCCGAAACCCGTATATTGGGGGAATGTTGAGGCCTGATATCGTACCGTCCCATTCCGGGAAAGGCTCCGAAGCCCAAACATACATCAAAGCTTCCAACCCCCCCAACTTTAGTTACGAGTAATTCGTTATTCTTTTTTAACAGAACTTCAATCGGTTTGTAAAACGAAAACAGTCTTTTCATTACAGTTCAAGGCGTGCTTAAGTCAATGAGACCCAGAGGTCCTTTGTCTACAACGCCGTGAAGCACAAGCTCCTTCCCGACGTGGAGTTGAACCCCAAGCTTTTCAAGGAAGGGGCCTGGCGGGAAGTTGAGTAGTTGGTAGTCAGATACCCCTATCATTCGTATGGTGGCTGCATTTTCGTCACCATGAAAGGATAGCTTGATCTGCCCAGAGACCTCTTCTGACTCTTTATTGAAGGTCCTGGATGATCCGGGAGGCTTAGGGTCTGGCAGCAAGGTGTGGGCTTAGGGAGTTGAGGGTTTGTTTATGTACCCTCTCAATTATACTAGCGCTTGTTGGCAGGGTTGAGCAAGAGCCTGATCAGAACGAAATGCAGCTAAGAATGTTGCTCAACAAATACCTTAACAAATACCTTGCACCCTAAACCCTGAAGCTCTAAAGCCCTGAAGCCTAAAGCACAAACCCTACTGATGAGTTTCAACAAACAGAGACTCTAAGCGAGAACTGACTTGGCCTTCAAGCAGAAGTTCTTGTACAAGCTGTAGCCTTGCGTCTTAGCTTTGACTAAGGTTCAGGGTTTTGGGGTCCCGGCAGTGGAAATAGCCCTGGATGCAGAAGAAGGGTTGAGGATTTGGGTTGGGTTTAGGGTAGGCACACTTGCAGGCTCATGGAAACTTGAGAGGACGTCCTGAAGCTTCATTTGTCTGTGCGCAGCGGTGGATACATCGTGGGATGTGTCCTCATTGGAACCATCGAAATCTTAAGCCCCAACTCTAAACCCTAAACCATCAACCCTTCCCACCTCATCCGGAGTCACCCGGTGCCTGATGCCAGCCCCGCACCGAATCGAAGCTACGCTCTGAGGTTTCAGGTAACTGGTTTCGTGTGCCGCGCCGCTTCGCAGTAATCTTCAAAAAGACCCGCGTGTTTAATGGGGCTTGCAGAAAGAGGGGTTCAGGATGGATTAGGGCTGAGGGGCTCCAGTCTTTTCTCGCGCCGCCGACAGGAAGTTCATACGACGAAGCATGGGCTGATGCGAATCTACCAGGCAGGTCTCCGGGAGAAGAGCTGGGTTGTCCTTTGGGATCTTTGTAAATTTCCCCTATTATTTTGTAGAGAACCATATTAGTAAATAATTTTCAGAGGGCTCAAAGGACAACTCAGAGAGGGGGTTTTTGCTGTTTGAAGGTTTGGCGCTGAGGGTCTCCGTCCAAAAGGAACCCTAAAGCTTGAAAAGCCCAAGCAGGACAGTGGAGAACCGTGGCTGCAGAAGTATGATCTTGGGTCACCAGCTGTTAGCTTTCCTTCGGGCTTGCAATCAAAAACCTCAACCATAGCTTATGGTGGGGCACCTAACTTAACCTTTAACCCAATACTCCAAAGCCGCAAGGTCGGAATTTCGGTCCAAGGGTCGAAGTAGCCCTCCCGAGCCTTGAAAAGGTGCCCAAAAAGCACGTGAAGGTAAGCATCGATGTGTGAGAGCCCCATAGGAAGGTTGCAGAAACCTTAGCCTTACCCGGACGCTGCTTGAGGGATCAGGGGACGTATCGCGACTTAGCAAGTAAGGTGGTCGGGCTGTCAGCTAAACTAGAAGTAGCTGCGTGTGTAGTTACCATTAGCTACCTTGTTTACATATCTTAAAAACCCTGAGGCCCATACCCGTGATTCGGACAAAGTACCCTGCGGTGCGACTCTGTCAGCTGGGCGAGTGGGAAAAACAACCAAGACTCTTCAAGCACATAAGATACCTAATACAGGGCAAAATCCCACATAACACCCGCAGGAACCCGCTAAACAACCTATTTTGGGCCTGGGGTTTCTACCAGCGGTCAGGTGCTGAACGTGTCGCAGGAATCGAAGGACTGGGTGGCGGATCCGGCAAACCGCCCCATGACCTGAAGGATCTTTTTCCGGTTTGCGGTGTAGGTTGCAAGGTTTGGGGGTCAGGGTTGCTGGGATTTAGTTATGTGTGAAACATCTAGGGTTTCTGAGAAACCACAACGTAGACAAGTCGAACAACGAGACAAGTTCCCAGGACCCTGAAGTACCCCTGAACGCAGAAGACACTCCCCGGGCCCCACCTAAAGGAGAGGCGACAGCCTCTTTTGCACCAAGCCAAAAGCCTGACGTGTACACTTCTCGATTTGTGCGTGTTTCGCACTCCTGGGCTCGTGCAGGACTTGGTTTCACACTGATTAAAAAGTTTTCTCTCCTCTCAAGATTGCCCTGGCGCACTCTTCACAAACGGCAGCCTAAGGCGATTGAAGAGCGTTCCCCACCAATCATCCGAACTCATGGGCTTAGTCAACACATCCGCAAGTTGGTACCCCGTGGGCACCCAAAATAGGGGAATTCGCTCTCCAATTCGTTCGAGGGAGAAAGTTTGTCGTAGCGCGGCTAAGTCTATTGCAAGCCGTTTATCCGAAGGGATCCTTGGGATTCCTTCTCTATGTAAATGGTCAAAGAGTGACTTGCAATCAGTGATGCAACGGAGTTGTGCACCGGCCAACTGTTCTACCCTCTTGAGCTCGCCGCTCAGGATCGTCATCATGAAAGATCGTACATATTGGCCCAATTCAACTGCTTCAGAGCATGCGGTAGTCTCGGCACCAAAAGTGGATCTACATACTCTGGGATTCGCTGAAGACTTCCAGTCTAACACGCTTGCTACCCCTCCGCCTTGATCGACTTGAGACTGGTCGGTGAGCACAATCAATATGCCCATCTGACTGGCAACCCTGGAATTAGCCCTCTTAGCTTTGCGGTCCTTGTGTTGAAACGGTCCATCAGTCATAATTCCAGCAGAATGGTCCTCGGGAGACAAGATGAAACCGTCTTCTCCTTCCAGGAGGGCGTTAGCCCAAGCTGAATCATGGTACACGAGGAATTCAAGTGATTCTAGATCCAAAGGGCGCAACCAAATCCCTTTCTGACGATGTTCCCATGCACGTTTGGCGATCTTGTTCGTAAATTTGATGTCCTCAACAGTGGGATACTTCTGGCATTGCTGTGCTAGTGAAACCGAGCACTGCAAGTCTGGTCGTGATTGACTACTAAGCCATGACAGAGCGCCAATCAGGGACTGATTGTCGATTCGTTGTTCCTCCGTCGCCGGGTCGAGGTCGGCCTGCCCCTTTTCAATCTTGATTTCGAATAACCTGGAGCTCGCATAAGCCTCTTGATCGACATGTACGCCGTCGACGGAGACTCGGATGTGTGATCCGATGTAGTCGAATGAATCAACTTCCCAATCATCGACTGGAAACACACCTGATAGACTATCTCTCACGAGTTTCGAAAGATTGCGAGGACCGACAACCAGTAGATCATCTACGTGGACTCCAACATAGACCTTCGGCTTCTTGTTCAAGGCGGAAACAAGTTGGAACAAACACGGGTCGAGCGGGCTCTGTTCGAAAAAGCATTCCTCACCATCAACCTGGATACGGATGTTCAGCATGTCTCTGCGGAGTCGCTTCCACCACTTTCGTGGGCTATCGGGCAATCCGAACACCCCTTTTGTGATTTTAAGAAGTTGCCTTGGATCAAGCCCTCTAAGTCCGGTCCTTGGTTGTCGTAGATAAAGTTCGCGGTCCATATCGTCACCGTTCAAGAAGGCAGCGGTGATATCGCCAGCTGATGCCTCCCAGTCATCAGATTGCCTTCGACATGCGAGAACCTGAAGCAGTGTGAGGATTGTCAGGCGGTTGATGGTGGGGGCGTCGGTTTCGAGGTGTTTCACATCAGGGTCTCGGTGTCCGGAAACCACTAGTCTTGCCTTGTGCTTCCACGGAATGGAGGCGTCGATCTTCCTTCTAGACCAATGTTTATCCCGATACGCAAAACGGGAGTTGAGGATGCGAGATGGGTCAATCTTGGCAAGGATCTCTTCAGACTCTTCGACCCCCATTGGTTTCAAGGCACTGTGATCAAGATGCTCCTGAAATTGTTTGTCTTCGGCTTGCCTGAACGCTTCATGTTCACTTTCGGGTATCAGCTTCCACGGGATCTCTTTCTCAAGGGCCTTTTCGAGAGCCCGATCAGTCTGGCAGCGCTTCATCATATGTGCAGTATGAACGTAGGGTTCGGGAGCTTTGTTACGTACTCTTCTCCGGACTGGCCCTGGCATACTGGGTTCTGTCTGTCCTTCATCACCAAACAGCTCTGGAAACAACTCACCGCCCTCAAGTTCTAGTGCAAAGTCCATATCCTCCACCATCTCCTCATCGGTGACTGGGCGAAGTTCTTGCCCGGGATCAGCGCCATCATGTTCAACATTCATCTCGGAGGGTTCGTAATCCTCGGAAGGGGCATAGGTGTCGGGATCGTCGGGATCAAGGTTGAGCAGCTTTTCCAGATCATCTCTAGCGACTTTGGTGGATAAGATGTCACCGACCTCCTCCGGTGTCGATGGTCTCAAGTGCTCCTCCGCAACGAGATGACAGCGACCCCCAAATGATACCCACCAGTTCCCGCCTTCAGACCCGATGATTGTTCCCGGTCCACGCCAGGATCCCCTTTTGGTGGCGACCTTTTCTATGCGGTAAAAGCTGACGAGCTCTCCAACAGCATATCCCCCTCTCTTGATCCTACTCCTCTGAATGAGGGCCTTCCGGAACTTGGAGTCCGCTTGAGTACGGAAGAAAGCCATCTTCGCCGCCGTCCTGATACTAACTTCTCTTTGTCTTTTCCGATCTGCAGACAGGACCTCGATGTACCGGTCCTCGTCGTTAGCGCCACAAATTTCTTCTGGTGATCTTGGGTCTCGTCCAAACACGGCCTGAGTTGGGGAAAAACCGTGTCTCCTCCTCAGTTCATTCTTTGCCGAGTTAACAGCTTGGACAGCAAGGTACATATCTTCACTGGTGATTGATTTCTCGTCGATGACACGTCGTAGTATTTCCTGGTACCAGAGTCCGTGTCGCTCTACAACACCCTGTTGCCAATGTGCCTGGCCTGCCGAACTGCGCAGATTGCTTCCGAAGAACTCGGCGTACTTTGTGATTCCCCCTTGAAGACCTGTTTCAAGATCAGCTGAAATCGTTCCCGGTGCTCCAAAAGTGTTTCCCCACAACTGTGTAAAACTTCGACAAAAAGCCTCAGCGGAATGCCCCTCGAGTTCACAGACCAAGTGGAAGGTGGTAGCATGATCGATGACGGACAGGAATTCATGTCGAACTCGGTTTGCATCGAAAACATGAAACACATCAACGCTGACCAGTTGATTCATATCAAGTAGAGAAGGAAGAGTGGCTGGCCGAGCGACTTGTGTGGCTTGATTCCGGGCACAGACTTCGCAACGCATCTTCTTGCAAGCCTTGAGTACTCCCTCGTCAGCTCCAGCATATCTGAGGTGCCTTAGCATGTCGACGATTCTGGGATGTCCCAGGTTTTGGTGTAGTCGTGTAAGGGCTGACTGAACATGCTTAGGTACGTCGCCGTCAAAGTGAATCGCTGAAGCGCCTTCATGATCAATGTGATTGCGTCTGTTGTGCGAAGCCACAAATCCCTCCCGAACCCCTTCATGTACTGATTCGTCTCCTTGGTCGGGTAGTGTTGGGACATGCCCAAGTCGTAGAGTTCGAAGTTCACCATGTTCCTCACAAGAGTGGGGGTGTTGTCCTAGGAGATCGCTGAGGGCTCGGGAATTCCAAATCGGATCGTAAAAGAGTCCTTGAAGCACCACGGAACCACCACATCCAAGCTGGTAGTCAATGGTTTGTAACACCCGGTCTCCACGTTGAATAAACTCCCTCTCACCTTGGAACCAAACTACATTGGGTTTCAACGTCTGGATGGTCTGATGCACATCGAACTTGAGGTCACTATCAAGATACTCTTCCCAGGAGATAGGCTCCACGACGTGCGCTCCTGCCTCGGTCATCTGGTAGGTGATGTTAGTGCCACCAATCTCGAAAACGCATGCTTGTTCAACCGCCTTTCCTGAGGGCATGTATTCGCTCAGGAACGAGGAAGCAGCAGCCAACCCGAGAGTGAGGAAAGCACTAGCCCTCTGCGCACCTTTCCACAAGGATTTCCTGATGCTCTTCTTGGGTCGCTTGAAAGATTCTCGATCGCATGGAGAGGAACCTTCATGTCTCCCGAGAGGAAAACCAAAAGTTCGCAACACATCCCGTTCTGTCCTTGAGAGGTGTTGCACACCGCGGGTCGTGTAGGCGACGATTGAGCATCGGTCACCTTCCCATTCTTCTACTGCATGTCTGGTCTTAGGACAAAAGTTTGTCATGTGCTCACGCGTGTTCACGACCTCACCGATTGCCTCAGTCCCATCCGAGAGCTTGACGTTCTGGAAGTCGGAGGGTCCGTCAACCTTAGCATCGGGATCACTTTGAAGCCACAAACGTCCACCACTGTAGTCACCGAACGCAATCGTCCAGCAACGGGTACCTGAGAGATTATGGGCGTCTTTGTGGGGACCAACATGACAATTGTGGCAAAGCTGGAAACTGCTCCAACGACCGTGCGCCCCGTGGGTCTTCATGAATGCATTGATGTACTTTGTGGTCTGATGGAAAGCGTAAGTCTTCTGAATGATGCCATAGTGGTTCCCATGCGAGTAACCCCCTAGTGCAATACTGTCGGTGCCCTGGTTGATTTTCCTCTTTCGTAGATTCTGAGCTCTTTGACAAACCGCTCGGACGATTTTCTCACAAGTGCTGAAGGTGAAGTCCTTCTGCGCAAGGCGGTCTTTTGCAAAATGTTCAACGGAGTTCCCAATGGCATCTGCACCGGGTATGTCTTCACGAGCCTCATAGAAGATCTCAGGGGAGTCCGCCTCCACACGTGTTTCCCGAGAAAGGAAATTGGCAGTGAATGTTTCGCCCGGCTCTTCAAAATGATCTAAGGGAAGCTCCTCATCAAGTTCGGCCTCGATCACAAACCGTGCTTGTCCTTCAAGGCTGCAAGGCGGCTCATCAATGCATCGATCTCCTCTCGCACCTCCGACGGGACCTCCTGCTCCATAGGCTTTTGCCCCTTCACCGTCTCGTCTGTCATCCTCTTCATCGGAGCGGCCTTCGGGAGCTGTTCCGTAGGTCTGGCCATCGCCTTCGCTCCGTAGCCCATTCCTGCATTCATCATCTTGCCCGTCTCTGTCAACTCCGACCAATGGGTCTCCCAGCTGGATCCGTCCTCCGAGGGAAGAGGAACCCTCGCATCGGCCTCCGGATTGTAGGTGATCGTCTCCTCGGGCTCCATGAGACTCCTGGCGTAGTTTGCCAAGCTCACAAGATCCGGCCCTGAGTTCTCGACTCCCCGGGCCTCGACCTCCTTCATCGCCCAATCCAGGTACTGGGATGGCACTTCCTTGAACAACTTTCCTCGGTGTCGTCCAAAAGTGACGAGTGCCTCCGCCTTGTTGCGCGTGGCCGCGTCCCGGATGAGCATCTGGAGCTGGCCCTTCGTCGGCTTGGTCGGGATTTCGATCTGGTACTCCACGGCTTGGGCCTTCAACTGATCGAGCGTCATCGATGCAAGCCCTTTCGGGATTGACGATTCCCCGGATTCCCGCTTGTGGTCCGTGATCACCTGTCTGATTTCTCCCACAGACCAAGTCGTATGAACCGTGAGATTCAGGCGCATTGCCTCTGCCATCAGTTCCGTCTTGTTCATTTTCCACACATTCACCGGGGCGCTGGAAGAGGACATCAGGAACTTCTGGAGCAGGGACGACCGCGGGACTACCGAAGAGAGGGGCCCTAGCAGTGGCTCGAGAGAAGACTGACCTGCCGACCCAAAGAACTGGATGAAGGGCATCAAGGTGATCATGCCAGAGATCATGCGCTGTGCCCAATCCATCAAGTGTACTGCATGAGATTCCTGAAGTACTTCGAATGCCCCCTAAGAAGCCGAGGAGCTTGTCCTTCGTAGCCGATTGCGAAGTGATCCACTTTGTCGGGTCGAAGAATCCTCGACGGGGAATCACATGAATCCTAATGAAGGAGTTGGGGGTCTCAATCCAGAAATCCTTGGAGATTGGAGTCTGACTCCACCAGGTAGCGAATGACTGCACATTGAGAGGCTCTGCACAAAGTAGATTGCGTACGCAGTCGTTGATCTTCTTCGGGTGGAAAAGATTGAGTCCTGGAGTAGGGTCGGGGTTCTTGTTCAATGGTTCGCGTCTGGTAGTCGGATCAACCGGAACACTCGCATCCCCTTCGACAGCACTGACCATGTATGACATGTATTGCGACTCAGCTGAAGGAACGATGATCACCTCAGAGCCAGCCCACTGTTGGGGCGTAGGCCACTTCAATCCCGGAACACGTTTGGGTGACACAGGGATCGCCGGATGGCCGCTGTCCGTCGTGAGCAACATGTACTTGTCAATCCCGAGCTTTTTAAACTGTGCCGAATGTTCTTCCAAATCATAAACCATCCCAAGCTTGCTCAGCGCGTTACGGCTCATGAGAAGTGGCACTTCTCCCTGCACCACAGAAGCCTTCAGCATGAACACCCGGTTGCGAATCTGGATCATGATTGTAGCAGAAAAACTAGCGTGGAACAGCTTCGAAGCTCCGAACCTGAAGTCATCGTGGCAATCCAGGAATTGGACTTCAACGCCAACATCTTTAGCCAGGCGAACGTAGGACTCCAACCAACCCTGTCCCATCACCGACTTCGAACATGCTGTGTCAGTGATTGCAAGAAGACGATCACCACCAAGATCCCCAACCATATACGCAACTTCGACAATGCTAGCCGGAGCATCTGAAGAGACCGAGGTCGCATGCGCTTGGTGGTCCTGGGCGGTCTTGGGTTTCGAAGCTGGGTTTCCATTCTTGTTCAATGGACATTCAGGATCTTTGTGCCAATGTCCGCGTCTGCCACAGCCTGCACAGTAGCTGCGAAGTTTTGCCTGAGCAAGGCGGTCATCGATCTGTTGGCGGGTCACCTCATCGCCACTTTTCTTCTTAAGGGTCTCAGGGTCAATTCCTCGGGCCTTCACAACATCTCTGTAGCGAGCCTTGGCTGACTCCTGTGCAACGAACGCTTCATGAAGTTCAACAGCAACTTCTTCAGAAATGTAGGCCTCCGAACTGTCCTCTTCTTCGATGCCCTTCAGTCCCTCTTCGTCATCAACTCCCGTGTAGAATGCACTCTTCGCACCTTTGCCTTCACCCTTCGGCTTAGGAACCCAAGGCCCGCGAAGCGACTTTTCATGGAGAATGGCTGCCTTCTGAAGCTTAGCAGTGCTGTAGTCATTTCCAACAGAAGCTAGGAGAGATAACTCCTCTGTGTTGCTGAGGCCCAGTGCGTTGAGGTACGCCCAGGCACGGGCGACTTCTGGGAGCTTGCAGTCGATTTCCAGGAGTCGCGAATGACTCCGATCAAAGACCGAATTGAATTCCCTGATCGACTGACCGCTTTGGCGTTTCATCTTCTTGAAGAAAAGAGTCAATGCTTCAGCAATGCGGCTCACTTCGACTTCTTGATACCGTTCACGAACCCATGACTTGAAGATCTGCAACCCACGTTCACTCGCTAGGTCCTCGACGTTCAATTCCTCTGATTCAACCCAAGCACGACCACTAAGATTCTGATAGAGAAGAAGAGCTTGCTGGGCTGGAGCGGTGCGTGTAACTTTGCTCCAGGCTTCGATTTGTCGTAGATATGATCTAGCTGAAACACCCAAATCATCCCCACTTCCAGTCGCCCCGAAAGTAGGAACCGCCATCTTCTCACTGAAAGAGCCCTTCGAATCAGCCTTCCCAGAAGTCTCTGAGGTCACCGAGCCACTGTCACGGCTTTGCCTCAAAGGAGTCCTCGTCGCATCGGTGCTCTCCTGGGTAGTGGTTGAAGGTCTCCGCACATCCTGTGAGCTTTCATCCGGGTTTGAGGGGTCGCTCGAAGCAGGCGGGTCTTCGGAATTCTCATCTTGCTCGCGCTGTGTAGGTTGCTCTGGATCGCCAGAGCTGCTATACTGGTTCCAGGAATCATAATCTCCCCATGATCCAGGATGTTGCTGGGCACTACGGTAGTTGTTGTAGTAACCCCAAGGCTGCCAAGACCAACGATCACCCGAACTCCAGCGATGATCCTCCCAAGAATCCCAACCAGAGTTATATTGACCGTAGTAATCCCGCTGCCAGTTGCCCCACGGAGAACTGTCGCTCGGTTGTCGGGTCCAACCTCCGTCGTCATGAGATGCCACACTGGGCGGGTCGTCGTCAGGAGGAGCACCCGGAGGCTCGGTCGTCGAAGCCACCATGTGGCTGCACGGGGGGGTCCTAAGGCCTACGTTCCTTAAAACCCCACAGACACAGACAAGAAACTCAGCACAGCACAGACCACAAGGAAAACACAAGAAGTCACGATCCCCGGCGCGGCCTGGGCTCCGCTACCAATGAGAAACCACAACGTAGACAAGTCGAACAACGAGACAAGTTCCCAGGACCCTGAAGTACCCCTGAACGCAGAAGACACCCCCCGGGCCCCACCTAAAGGAGAGGCGACAGCCTCTTTTGCACCAAGCCAAAAGCCTGACGTGTACACTTCTCGATTTGTGCGTGTTTCGCACTCCTGGGCTCGTGCAGGACTTGGTTTCACAGTTTCCCTTCATACGTAGCCCAGGGCCTCATCTGGTTGTTATGGGTTCTCGTCGTGTTTTTTGCAGGATATAAACAGTAGGTAGTAGGTGTTTTCCTGATCAGAGTAGGATATTGGGTAGCGGATTATAGTATAAGCATAACTATTGAGACCTTTTGATAAGGGCATGCCATTACTAAGCCTGTGGTTTCCGATTATGGGCCTTCTGGGAATCGTCACGTCGAAGGTTCTGTCGGATTTGGTTCAAGGCCTGCGAGCTCTCGCCGGCCAGCTAGCTGGTTATCGAAGGAGGGAGTCCGCCATTAAGGTATACTGTTCCTTGAACTCTCAGCTGCATGGTTATGGGCGCGGACATTGCTAGACACTTCACACTAAGCCCCTTCAGCCCTCAACCCTAAACGCATGGCCTCGACAACTCTTCGAGTCAATGACAAAACTCTCTGATTTTTCACTCAGACCGACCCTTCCGGAGACGGTTCCGTCGAGGGATATGTTGGGAAGGCCATACAAGGCCACCACCTCGTATACTCCAGAAGCCTATATCTGGAGATTTTCGGGTTATTTCCCAAACCGATAACCCTGAAACCTTAACTCCATAGACCCCAAACCCCAAACTCTAAATGGCGAAGCCTTAGCCGTTTTGGCTCAAGACGGAAATCTTGCCAGGCTGCATTGCCGACAGCGCAAGCGCGCATGTTGCCTGTGCCCTGCACCGGCCGTAGCTGCAGCATGTGCGAATACGTTAACTTACGGTTATGCTCTTGCCTAGCTATAGCCTTGCACTGTCTTGCAGATCAGTGTAATTAGCTTGCGTAGTGGTTGCCCCTTCAGTTACAAACACGACCACTTTCACCGTCCCGGAGGAATACGCTAGTGGGACCTGCGACTGGGAAGTCCTGGACTCGGTCCATCGTTAGCGACTCGGGGTCGGAGTTTGAGGCTGACGCAGGAGTCGGATGGCACCCTGCGTTATGCTACCAGGCTGGGCCTGCCCCATCGAGGAGCAGGTCCACCACATCAAAGTGCCGTTGGATGCCTGCACAAAGTGACCCTAAGCGTACCAGTTACTGGACGAGGCAAGTGATCTCCTCGGAAAGGTGCCGCCGAGCTTGCCAAGTCGTTAGTGGTACACCCATGGCAATCTCCGAATCGATGGGACGACTGCCACCAGATGATCGAAGAGTACGTAAAACAAACCATCACCGAAGATCTGATGCGGCTCGCCCGTGGTTTGCCGAGCAAGAAACGATCAGGAATATTGGGCCCGACCTTCATATTCCAATGGATCCTCCGAGTCAAGGCCAAGGAAAAGAAGCGTGCTTACTCAGGAATGTCGTAGATGCAAGCCAGGACGATTGCCTGTCGAAGGGGAAAAGCGTCCTCACAGGTGGCATGTTTCCAGGATCTGAAGTTGCCGCAGGAACATCCCGATCTGACTCGACACTTGGCGCACCGGCTGGCAGGCGCGGCTGGCAGCCGTGGCCCCGCATGGAAAGCCACGCGAGGTGACGGTCCACTATGCCGGAACCGTGGTGCTTCCACCACACCACGTGTAGTGGTCTGCCCTTCCGGCGCGCCCTTCCGGTGATTATCTAAGGCTTAGCTTATTTATTAATAAAAGTCCCAAGCTGTCGAACAGGCCAATCCTTCGTGGGTTCAGGGTTTGAGAATCGCCGCTCAGGCACAGCGGGACGGTCATGATGTAATGGAAGCACTGGACTCACGAGCTCCTGCGTCGAGGACGGCGTGTGTAGCACGCCTTATGACGCAGGCGCATCGTTTCATGCACCAGCTTCTGGTCCATCTAGCCTCACTGCTCTATCTGTTTGCTTTCCCCTTTGTCCTGCTTGCCCACTCGGTCCACATCTCTCATACAGGTCCACCACGCTGCTCCCCTTCCCGCCCCCATGTGTTTTTCAGCGCGATTCTCGCCTTCATCGAATTCAGTTTGCTTTTGCTGGACTGCCTACTTCGTCTGACTGCTGGCATGCTTACTGTTTGTGCCTGCAACGGTGATACATGATGGTTCCCTTGCTTACGAACGGCACGTCAGTCCTGGGTCGGGTGTTTTGTCTCGGGCCTCCGTCGCTTCCAAGCCCCTGTCGTCTCTTGTCGAACGTAATTGGCTTTGCTATCGATAGCTCTTTGATCTTATCCCGATCCCCGGACTACTTTTCTTGTATACCTTTTCCGCGAGTAACAAGCACCAGCCTGCGACCATGGCGACAGCCATGGCCCTTCTTCCGTGCCATGTCTCGCCATCTGGATCGTTTGCTGTTTGGTTAGTCTGAAGAGCGACTGGACAGGTTTCGCCGGACTTGTGTTTGGTTGTCATGAAGCTTTTGTATTATTACACTGGTACATCCGGCGCCTGGGTTTTGTTGACTGCGGAGTTTCAGCTGAAGATACAAGAGAACAGGGGGAGATATATACACATGATCTTTGTGCTGACGACAAAACTGGCACAAATCTCAGGTCCAGACAAAAACTGATGAGCGAAGAGTAGCCCACAACGAAGCAAATTCGGATCGTCGCTGTCAGCAAGTTCTTTTGTACTAAGGGCACGGTCAAGTTTAGTGGTCGCTGTATACGTGAAACCAGATGTGCGGCTACTGCGTGCATAGCCACTCTTCAAGCTGCTTGATCCAACCCTGCCGAGCCCGTCTTACATCCGCACGGGGAGTAACCACGAATTTTTAAGAGGTGCTGAGAGAGATATACCCACGTTTCACGGCCCGTACTGTGGTTTTCTGCGTGCCTAGTGTGGTAAGTGGCCCAGTTGGAGTCGGAGACTGATGCACCAGGTTTTAGAGTTGAGTTAGGGCTAGGGCATCGCACCTCTGATTTTGCTCGGCTTGAACATGTGATCAAAATATCATTGCTGACGATTGGCATCCGATATTCACGTACGTCCTGTTATGCAGTGTTCATTGCTCCTGTGGTTGATTGTCAGCAAGTAGTCCTGACCAGTCGAAGCACTTCGGACACGAGACCTCGTTTGGAGGAGTCCGAGTTGCGAGAGCGTGTAAATGGCTAAACCTTAAGCTCTAGATCGCTTGGCTGAATGATGAAAAGGACAAGGATAAAGTTCTGCCCAGGAATCTGCGATGCCCCTGGTAGCTGGTACTGCGTCGGGCAGCCACCCGGCGGATGATCCGACCAAAGGCGGTTCTTAAGGCGTTCTGAGTTAAAGTTCATGCGGGGTTGCGGAAGCGGATGTCTTTAGGTTGAGGACCTCTATGTTTCTGTGTTGATGGAGTTCAGGATATGCTGCAAAGCACACATGGTAGGATTTTTGTGACTTCACCTTAAAAACCGAGAAGACTAAAGACTCGAGGTACCCGCCAGCATTGAAGAAGCTCATCGCGAAGCGCAAGAACTTTTCGCAGCTGGAGGACCGGGAAAAGCCCACTTTTCCGCACTAGGCACCATTGTGCATCCTGAGTCTGAACAAACCTAAAACCCTTGGGGGATTAGGATTCTGAGTTTCGGGTTTCGGTGTTTAGGGTTCAGGGGTGTAGGCGGGGTAGGGTTGGGGGTTTAGGGGTTTAGTTAGGGGTTTACGGGCTTAGGATTTAATTAGTAGCCGAAACCCACGGCGAGCTCTTGCCGTACATCCCACCTCATTTCCACGGGAAGGTGCAAGGCCTTGCGTGAGATTGTTGTGCGGATGCTTCGTAGTTGCACCCTCGTCTAATGGTGGTCCCGCCAAGGAAGTAGTACTACTTCAGTAGATTGCGCTACTGCCCTGACAGAGCAGGCATCACCAATCCCGTAAATGCGCGAAGTTCGACACTCAAGCTTGTCCGTAAGCGCCAGGACTTCAACCGCAAACAGACCGAGAAGAGCGATTACACCCGCCTTATCGAGCTACTTGCTTGGGTGGGGTTTCAAGTTTTGGGCTCAGGAGCTGTCATTTCGGGGTTGCCAGACTCCCAGAACACTCTCCTAAAACTGTGGCACTGGAAGTGTTTTCGAGGGCGAGTTCTGGGACTTCAGGAGCAAAGGGAGGTTCAAAAGGGTTTTGGTTTCAGGTTTAGGTTCATGGTTCAGAGTTACTCCTGCACCGCGGCAAAAAGCCTTCGGGCACGATGTGACGGGCCCTAAACCCCAAACCCGAACACCCGGATCGTGATGATGGTGTTGACGACCGGCTATCTTGCGGAAGATGCGGTCCAACCTGGGGGTAAGAAAGAAGCCGGAGTAATTACCAATATCAGTCCTCGGGGCTAATCCGTATGACTACATACTACAGTAACCCCCAAGAACCTATTCTAATTTCCAGGGCTACTGCATTACCGTGTTACTTTCAACCGAAGGCCATGTCTCGGCTGAGTGTTTAGGGCTTAGGACCCGGTTAAAGCCAATGATTGCTGACACATATACTTGGTGTATCCGAGCTCCACAATCCCCATATTTTGAACTCTACTCTATACGCAGCCCGTATATAAGTCTCTAGGCTCCGGGCCCCGGGCTTCAAAAACCAAACCGCAAACTCGGAAATTCCGGGCCCCTACGCCATAAACTGCCGTAAACCCGAAACTCCCAAACCTGCTCCAACATCCGGCCGAAAAGCAGCTAAGGAAACAGCAGGCAGAGACGGGCCGCGACGCCGAGCTGTGAGCCCGCACCGTGTGCGAGCTTTCCTCTCTTTCCTTACTTACCTTTGATTGCGGGATTTAGTAGGATTCAGGGTTGAAGTTCACGGTGTCTGGTTCAGGGCTTTACGGTTCCGGCTTTTTAGCAAGGTAGCTAATGATGAGGACACGGTTTCATATCCCACGTTCGTCGTGGAGTTATGAAGGTGCCAAAACTGCAGAAACTTCAGAAATCAACAGATCGTGTTGTTCTGGGATACTGCATAGCTGTAGCGTAGGAGGTATGTCCCAACTCGTACCAAGACGCTGGGCATCGCCCGCGATGGGAGAAAAGCTTTGCTTCGCGAGGCATATAGAAGGGGGAAGCGGGAGAATTCGAGAAACAGACAGGCACGGGGCGAGCACGCACAGGGAGAGAAGAACGATCCTATAGGCGAAAAGTGGCAGGTCAGGGAGGCTTGAGCGATGCGAGCCGTCCGCGGATGAACTTCCTTAGACCGCGAAACGACGTGCCAAACCCATGTGCCCTTCGTGCCTCAGAACATCAACCTCCGGCTTCTGCTCCTGAAAGGAATCTTGCCACGCTTGCCTGCGGCCAAGCTACGACGAGGTCCTGCTGCAGTTGCACCGTTGCACCCGTCGCCGTCTTCTTGAAGCCTCCGAAGTTTTGGGTGTAGTGTAGGGAAAAGAGTTGGAAACAGCTCATGGGACTGCATGTTGGCCTTGGCCAGAGAGTAAGTTCGTGATATCATGAATCATGATGGTAGTAGTCGTCATCGTCATCCGCAAGGACGCTGGATCATGGAAATCGTCGCAGAACGACGCATGATAAGAGCTTACTGGAAATCCCAACGTCAGCTTTTGCGTGCCATCAGGGTTGAATCCTACAAACGCAGTGCTGCCGTTTCGGGCCAAATATTCTGCGCTTGCAGGAGCAACAATAGGAAGTCGAGTGGCTTTTCAATAGTTGAGGATACAGGAGATGCGAGGTAGTTCGTGATCATCGAGGTTCGATGTGGAATCCGGGTAGGCCTGACCGTTGACTTCTCACCCTTTCTCTCTAAAAAGAGAAGTGAACACCCTCACACTCTGACTTTGCCAACCGACCAGAGCTTCTGACATATACTAGGCAGTGGGGCAAGAACTTTGAACTGACCTGTGAAGCCTTGCCGGCAGGTAAGGACGCGACGCTTCTACGACTGGCACAACTGCAATCCGATCAAGGCCACTTGCTACTTCAAGAATCGAGGGATGAAGGTTAGGAGTGTGCCGGCATGAAGACTTTCATGTCCTTTCTAGCTTAACAAGGATTGAGCTTGAACCGTTCGCGCCCCGGTCCCGGATCTTACAATGCTGCCTTGAGGCGAGGTGAAGCCCCGCAGCATGGGTGGAGGGTGACTGGGGGCCAGGGATTTTCTTAAATGCTTTGGCGTTGACGCTTAAACAAGGGTTGACTTCCCGTGACTCATTGGCAATGGCAGCCGCAACCCGACAACGATCGCGAGCATTCCCTAAGAAGACCGGTCTCTCCGCAGCCGGTGGGCTCAGGGCTGCAGCCTGCCTCGAGTAGAATTCCGATGTTCAGCGCCAGGGAGGTCAGCTTTGCGCAGCCATGCAGCGGGCTCGGGCCCCGACTTTCAAGAGATCGGGGAAATCTCTCAGAAACCTGGCTTTGGTGCTGCTGTGCGGGCTCTTTCTGTGGATGTTTTCGGCCACGGCCCTCTTCGTACAACGGCCTGTGTCGAAGAGGCGGAAGCTACCAAGGACCTGCCAGAACTCAATCGCTCGGTTATCGTGGCAACTCTTGAGGTGTCAGCATGATAGCCACATAAGAGCCAAAGGCCCTGTCCTAAAAGTGCTGTGTGCCTTGGGGTCCTATAGTTGGATCACTACCAGTCGCAGTCGCTGTTTCGCTCGAAGTCGAAGTGTGATGAAGTGTGTGAGAGGACGATGCGTGACGCAGTTGCGAGCTCGGACGTGAGCGACCCGGCATCGCGAAGTATCGGAGGGAAGCCCGCACAAGATAGGTCCGCGAGCCGGGATAGGACAAGGAGCCCGGAGCAAAGAATACGGTTGAATACAGACATGTTCGGTGCAGACGCAAAGATAGGTCAGTGTGGAGGTGCATAGGCGTCAGAGTTCGAGTTTCGTGCCGGCAAAGGTCGTGATGTGGTCTTCATGGAGCGGCTCCGTGGCTTGGCCCGCGAGGCCCCGATGCACGGACGAGCATGGCGGGGCAGTTTCGGGCTCTGAGTTTAGATGGTGAGATGTAAATAGCTTGAGCTGGTGATGAGAGGTTCGATGGGACGAATCGCTAATTTACGGATGGCGTGTTTTGATGACATGGCTTCAGCAAGCTCCAGATGGTACTTAAGCCCATGGAGCTGGTCAAGTTATGCGAATACGCAGGCTTTGGCCTGGCCGTTCCTCGAGGATAAGCAGCGACTTCTGTGGGCTGCAGTTTTGGAATTCGATGCCGTGCCTACGCAGGACGGACACGATGAGACAGTGAAACTTCACGGGGCATGGCTGGGTTTTGAGGAATTCGGCTAGAAGCGAAAGCCTTTGCAGTGCCTCTGATGATCAAAAGGAGTTGCCGCCCTGGTTCTTCGAACGGCACAACTTCACGCGTCGGCATCTAGGCCGGGGGGTGAAGAAAGCATAAACGTGTGACAGCTTTGATGTCCAAAACCTTCCTGCCGCATTCACTTCGAGTTGCTCCTGCCTCTTTGGGCAGAAGGAGCGGACCTCTTCAGCTTGGACGGCGAGCGGGCGATTCTTTGTCGGGCTGGGAACGCCACCAGCCAGGATGTGAAGCGGTTCCTGCGGACAGCCAAGTGCTTGTTTGAGGCCGATGCGTCCCAAAGTCTTCCAACGTGCACATGGAAAATGCATGACCTTTTGACAAGCTTGGCAGGCCCCGTGCTGCACTCTCTGGACGCTCTTCGGCTGCACAGTCTCTGCCGACTCCCAGAAGTGGCTGCGCGACTACGGCGGTCAGCGGAACGTAGTGACCAAGAAGAGCTTGCGCCAGCTATGCCGCGATGCCGTTTCAAGTCTGACATCTGGCCACACTCCCACTGCTGGTGGCCACCTCCCGGATCCACCGCTGCGACCCTGCCAGGAGGCGTGCCTGGAAGCGTGTGCCAAGGGAGCCCGGGTCATTGAGATGGCCTGCGGGACCGGGAAGACGCGCGTGATCTGCGAGCTGGCGGCGAAGCAACCCGGGAAGGCGGAGAGGGGCATTAAAATCAATGTGTATTTTCAGTGCCAGGGAATTCATGTGGCATGTGGACTTTTTGCAACAGGCGTCCTTCAGCTTCTGTGCCCAGGTCTTGATCATCGTCCCCTCCCGGGTGCTCCTGGAGCAGTTTGCTCTGGAGATGCCTGGCCTCTGCAAAGTGGGAACCAGCTACAACGACAAAATCAATATGGCATCAACGGGCTTTATCGCTGTGACTGATTCAGTGCATCTGCTGCAGAAGCTGGTGTTTGAAGCCGTCTTTTTCGATGAGGCCCATCATCCCCTTCCACCAAAAATGCCTGACTACAACAAGCTTTTCAGGTTCTCGGCCACGCACAAGAAAAATGTCGATTTTCGGTACAGCCTCGGCCAAGCTATTGATCAGGGGGTGCTGTGCGACTACGACCTTACCGTGCCCGTGACGACCGAAGGGCATCCCTACATTTGCCTCGCGAACCTGCTGCTATCGCAACAGGGGCGGTTTCGGCACGTGCTAGCATACTGCAATTCCGTTGCTGAAGCCAAGCGGTTCCAGCAGGTGCTGGAGACGGTTGGGGTAGCATCGTGGCACATCAACGCACGTACCAGCCGAAAAGTGCGAGAGCGAGTGATGGACGAGTTTTCGGGTAAACTGCAGAAGGCCGTGCACGTGCTGGTGACGGTTCAGGTGTTGGGAGAAGGTGTCAACATTCCGACTGCCGACACCTGCATGTTCGTTGAGCCCAGAAGTAGTTACGTGAGCATCATTCAGGCCGTCGGGCGGGTGCTGCGGCCTCATCTTTCGAAACCTCTGGCTCACATCGTGTTGCCTGCGATTGTGACGCCTGCCGCGCCGGCCACCCCTGGAAGTGCTCAAGTCGGCTTGAGCGACATCCGTGTCGCCACGAACAGAACTGAGGACATGTCACCATGTTTGGTGACTTCATCCGGGCCAGCCGGACTGTCACCCTCAGCAGGTGGTTGTGAGGATGCGCAGGATGTCCGAGTCCAGGAATCGTCGACATTGCGGGCACAGATAATGCCTCATCAAGGAGACAGCGACGGCAGCATGGCGAGTGGGCCGACCATCACCGACAGCTCTCTCCGGCAGCTAGAGCAAGTTTCTGCGCGTTCTGAAATGCAAAGCCGTAATGAGCGGTTCAAGCTGCGGCGAGGCGACCTTGCAAAGACTAATGGTGCGAGGCCTCGCAGGATTCACGAGGGGAGTTGCACCGATGGCTGGGGCGAGTCGCTTTCGGCCTCGAGGCTGCAGCGGTATGAAGGCAGGCGCGGCGCGGTCAGCGAAGCGAACGGTGGCAGCAACAGCAGAGCGAAACCACAAGATCGCGGGTCTTGTGCACCAGCCGTAATTGAGAGCCTGGATGGTGTGGAGATCGCCGACACGTCGCTTGATGTTTGTGACGGTTGGTTGGTACATGACTCAGAGCAGCTCGAACAGGCACGGCGCTCTTCTGGGGAGCCTGCAGCCGTCTTCGTAAGCGAGTGTGCCAGCCCGCGAAGCAGTGCAACGTTTACGAGGTCGGTGGTCCATCAAGCCGGTCCCGCTTCGTTGAAGTTGGGCCCTGCACGATCACGGGAGCGCCGCCAGCATGCGCAGCTTCACTCGCCACCAGCCAGACAAACCTCCGCTTCACGAAAACTGAAGGTGACGACGGCCACCCATGACATGAGCAGCATGGTGTGGCGTGGAAACACCGACCAGCTTGGCAGGTTCCTCGGAGCAATAGCAAAGGCGGATCGTCGATTTGCTGCCGACGATGCCTGGCATTTGCAGTCTCGTTTCTGGGTGACGGACTGCAGGCTGCAACACGCTATGATGCAGCATGTCTCCGATCGCAGTGTCCAGTATCGGCTGGCTTTGATCTTGCAGCAGTGTGATTCCTGGGATCTGCGGTTGCAGGAAGCTGAGCAATTCGTGCTCGATCATGGCAGGCTTCCGCGTGAGACCACGACTGAGCTCGATGAGTCACGGCTGGCAGTGTGGCTGCAGCAAGTGGGTGTCAAGTTCAAGAAGCAGTTGCTGCCTGCTGCCAGGATGCAGAAGCTGCTGAACTCTTCCTGTGGCAGGTTGGTTGCTCGCGTTGCAAAATGGCTAGATCCGGAGACACCCTTTGAGCGATGCTTGAAGCAGCTGCGGCAGTTCGTTCGGGCTCACCACCGCATGCCGAAACATAGTAACACGGTTCACGACGAGAACGCTTTGGTTCGAAAGTTGAGCCGACTGGTAGCACGTGGGCAGTTAGACCGTGAGAGGCGCCTCCGGCTGCTGGACAAGGAGGGTCCCATCGTTGCGAGGTGGGTGATGTCACAGCGAACACGAAAGCGATCAATCAACGAGAACAAATGGAGGAACCGACTCCAGATTCTTGTTGAGTTCGTGGAGACACACGGTAGGATGCCGCGAGCGAGGCGTGCGGAGGAGAAGGCTATGTCCGCTTGGTCTTGCAGACAGCGGAGACAACTGGACAACCTGCCGGCCGAGTTCCAAACTGCATTGTTCGACTCCCATCCAGTGGTTGTATCCTTCTTGCGGAGGTTAGCAGGTTTCTGAGCGATATTTGTGCCTGCCCTTTGCTCACAGTGACACATCGCCATGGGCCAAATGCAGTGACACGTGGCCTGAGGCATAAAGTGGCGTCACGTATGGAATGTAAAGAAATGAAGCCGCTGTGAAAATAGCACAGATCAGGCGTCAGTTATTGTCCGACGACAGAAAAAAGCCCGTGCCCATACTCGGCTCCAAGCCGTGCAGACCCACGCTTGCCTGCCCCTAATTCTGACCGAATACCGCTTTCACCCGCGACAAGCTGAGCACGAAGCTTCCATTCAATGCCGCCACCAGCAAAATGAACCCTGCGCCCTAAATACTTGATAGCGACATTCCTTGAGTGGCTCTCTTGTCGAAGCTGGCACGATTGATCGATGAATAAATCGGACGTTCTTGGGTTGTTGATCTGCGCTGCCACAATGCAGGACGCAAAGCAAGCCTCACATTCTAAACCCTGACGCATGCTGTCAGGTTCTGCTCTCTCACTGCCTTGATGGGCAAAAGCCCATTCCTCCATTCGAGGTGGGCAAGGCCAGCCTTCCCTCCCTCACGGGAGCCGGGGTCAAACTCTACTACGCAAATAAGCCCTCAGAATAGCCCCACAACTTACTTTTCGAAAGCCCCAAAACCCCTGAACCCTATAAGGCCTAAGCCATCTAAACTCCCGTGAGCCCTAAACCCTATACGCCCGAAGCCCTCAACTCGCAAAGCATAAATCAAACGGCGGGACAGAGTCTTGAGCTGCTCTGAATGCGGTATGCAGTTACCGGGCTAGCAAGGGCTTTCTTGCAGGCAAGAGCTGATGCTCTTGCAAAACCAATCGTAGGATGTTCGGGATATAGTTTGTACACACCCTACAACTTGTCAGGCACCTCTGTAGAAATCAAACATGTCAACCATACGAGACAGCACTCGTTGGACTTAATCCTGAGCCCACTAAACCCCTCCCGCTAAGCATGCGACCCAACTCTTTGTAGGGCCTTCTGCCATGCATAAGTTTGGTGGTTGCGAGGAAGAGCCATAGCCTCGAATCCCAAACCTGGGCATTCGAGAATCGCGAGACGTGCTTGTGATGTTGAGCAGAGCCTATACAGCAGTTGTCTCACTTGTCGTGTGCCCTTGCGCTTGTATTGCACCTATCCCGCGTGAAGTGGGCCATCAGCTACTGAGTAGGGATGTGGAGGTGCACAGGCCTGGAGCTCAGATTGTTCTGCCAAACCCTGAAGCTTAAAGACAACGTGCTCAAACCCCCAACCCAAATCCTCGCCTGCATCGGCCGATTTGCGATAGTCCAAGTGCTGAAACCATACATGTAAAGAGCTGAAGCCTTCAAAGCCGGAGGAGTACCTGCAGGAGAACTCGGCAGAGTGGAAGGATAGATCCGAAAAGGCAGGGTTTGGGCTTTGGGGTTTTGAGTTGGCGCTTGGGGTTTTTATAGAGGGGTAGGAGTTAGACTCATAGGGATTAGGCCTAGGTTTGGGATTTGGGGATTAAGGTTTAAGGGGATGGACTCAGGATCCCGTCACGCACTCACAGGCTGTTGCCTGAATCCACCCATGCCCTGGACGTAGATCCTGCCCGGGCATGAGAGCTTTTGACAGTTTGTAAGATGCCGTAAGTCTTCGTAAGTTTCCGAGTAGTCGGACCCGGTCCTGGATGACACCCGCTGTCACTCTCGCTGCTGGAGTTTCGAACTGCTTCTTGCTTTTTTCTTTCCATCTCTCCCTCTCGACCTTGGTCTGTCTTTTTTCATTTTCATCGTCTCTTTGGCATTCTATCTCTGGTGTAGACTGTCTCCGACAGTTGCGGCGGCTGCCTGGAGAGATCTGGACGCTGCCATCGGATCAGGCGGACATGTTTTGGGGTTCCGCATTCAGGGTTTCAGAGTTCTCTACGGTGACATTTGTTTAATTTTCGGAGCTTTAGGGTTCAAGCTTGTAAAGAGTTGCTTTCTTGAATGCCTCGGCAGTGGACGTGGGGCTGCTGATGAAGTCTCTGCCCGTTCATGCGTGAGCTGTGGATACAAGCATAAGCTGTGGCTCTTTTGGTTGAAGTCCAGAGAGGCCGAAGAGGAGATTTGCCCTCTCATGGTGCCGGAGGCCTGCAAGCGCTCACAGGGCTCGGGGTTAAAAGGCTTTAGGATTTTTCTTTGAGAGAGCGAATTTAAAGTTTTTCTTTAAAGATTGAAGGTTTAGGGTGGGTTCCCGCATTCTCTTTTCTTGTAGATGCACGCGCATAGCGAAACGCTGTGTATTGCGTCGCGACTGACTGGTAACTGAGTCCGTCTGAGAGACAGAGAGGGTGGGTTCAAGGTTTCGGGTTGAGGGTTTTGGATTTTTCTTCGACGATTCAGGGCTCAGGGTTAAGAGTTCAGAGTGTAAGTTTGCTTTTTTGGGGACCGTCGCATCCCGCATGAAATTTGGAACTCCGGCTTGGATAGGCCCTCAAAAGTCCAGTCTCCGAAGAGGTCGAAGATCTGCTGCAGCGTCCGATGGATTGGTTTGGCCTGGTCACCCAGAAACCAACGGGGTTGATTCGTTTCTCGCAGCTTTGGAACTGACTCTGTGGAGGTGAAGGATGTCGGTTCTCATCAGCCTTGGCGTAGACAGCTTCACAGACAAAAGCTTCTGAGGATAGCGACGAGTGAAGACAGGTCCGTGTGTTGGGGACAGGGGCCGCCCAAACAGGTTTTGAAGCCCCCCGAGTCTGCAGCGTTTCCAGTCGCGGCAGTCCTAGCCAAAGCCGTGTTCCTAGGTTAGGAGTTTTCATCACGACTTAGTACCATGCCTCAGGGTTCCGTATCATAACGTACTATAATAGAACCCAAAATCGTATTCTGATTACAAGGCCCCCATATAACCCTGCCTTCTACAGAGGCCAGATCAGCCGGAGTGTGAGCAACTTCGGCGCAAAGCGATCAGGCTGGGTGACCTCAAACCTTGTCGCCCAAACCCCAAACCCTGAGACCTCACTTGGCTTGTCCGAGTTGTGAGAGCGTACTATAGGGGCTTCAATAAATAGAACAGGGTTTTGAAGGGCATGACACCGTTTTCGCAATAAGGAGCCCCCAAAATAGTGTTGGTACTTATTCAGGCCCCCTTTTTCAAGCCAAAACCACTCGCAAGCCCCACAGAGCCCGCCTGGTGTCAGCTCCCACGTCTCCGCGAGCGAAGTCAGACGACGAGCGTTTGAGCTGGAGCCTCAGCGGGCTTCTGAGGGAGAGTCAAAAATTCCGAATTGTGGAGCCTTATGGCTTCAGAGTTCGGGCTTAGGGTTTAGGGTTAGGGTTTCGGGTTCGGGTTTAGGGTTTACGGTTCTGGCTGAGAGTGGCTTTGTCCTGCCGACATGGCTCTAGCTCTGCAGGACCGACCTCACCACGTTCAGAACCTCGCTGAGGCAGTGCATCTCCGAGCACCAAATTTGGGAGTTTCCGATTACAAGGGGGCCCGAATATGGCACTTTAAATAGTGAATTTATTATTACAAGGACCCCAAAATAAGGTGCCCCTAAATTTCGGAAACTCCCAAATCAGAGGCTTGGGCTTGGGGTCTGAGGCTGAATACACTCCTACGGTCCTCAAACCTTGAACCCCGACCCGAAGCCTTGACACCAGGGGTTCAATTGAGCACCAGACTTTTTCGCAACGTCCTCACATCATTTGTTCAGACCCTGTCATAGTTCGACAAGTTTATCCCATAATGATGACTATACCGGGATCTCTGGATTTGCATGCGACCCAGATGAGTCATGAGGGATTCAGAGACCAAGGTATTTTTCGGGAGCTACCATGAAAAACTGCAGCAGCAAGAAGGTTTAGAGTTCAGGGTTTCGGGCAGCCGCGAGATAATGATAGAGAGTATGGTCACGCCGAAAGCAAAGCACTCAGAGACGCCACAGTCATGGCCCGTTCTCCCACAGCTCACCTCTCATTTCTGGATTTTGTAATTTCTATACCGAAACCAGACTTCATTAAAGTGCTGACCTCCAAAAGTGGCCCTTGGGCAAGCCAAACCATCCCGCATCGCATCGGCCGGCAGCGGCGCAGGAGTATCAGTAGTACTGTTCTGTTGTTGCGACGGTCCGCTTCTCTTAGCTATGGCTGTCCTGGCTTCGCTCTGCTGGATGCTTCTGAGCTGCTGGATCCAGCATGGGCGCTCTTCTGAAGGACCACCCCTGTTCTGCGCGTATCAGGCATCTGACAGGGAAGGGGCATCAAAGCTCGTTTGCTTCGAAAGCTCCACCGGATCCCCCTTGGGTGATCCGCTGGAGTCCTTGGCTGCACCAGACTCGGACGGGAATTCCTTGGCCCTGCTTCGAATCCAGCCCCCATGGCCACGGCCCATACGCTTCACACTTGCTGCAGATGCCAGGCAGCCTAAAGGTGCAAGCCTGTTCGATGCACCTTTGTGTGGTTCTTGATCTTTCACCGCAAGGGCTTCTTGGTTTTGGTCTCGTTTAATCGGTACAGCTCAGGACGGGGGCCAGGTGGCCTTCGTCATCAGTCAAGAGGGACGGCGTCCCTTCGTGCTCGCTGCATACGAAGTTCACCGAGCCGACTTCCAGCAGGTGGCACGCGTGGATCTGGATGGCGGGCTGGTCCCGACAGCTCTTTACGGCTTCACGGATGGTCGGGTTTTCATTGGATATGAGAATAGAGTCTGCTTTGTAAGCCTGCAGGAAGGGACGCAAAGAGTGCTGCATGATTTGTCAGACCGTCGAAGCCGGAAGCCAATCGATGCCTTTGCATGGAACGGTGTAACTTAGGGGTACTTAGAATTAGTTTGCAATTTTTGGTTACTAAAATCCCTAGCAAGCAGCTAGAATTGCAAGTTTTGCTAGGAGTTTAAGTTCCATAAAGGTAAACCTTCTGGTTGCAGTGGATGACATCCTCGAGCCGCACTGGATGGTGCTGTTTGACTTGTCTGTCGGTGGGGAGCCACAACTTCTCAATACAGTGAGCCTGCATGACGGCATCAACGAGCATTACGTGGATGCACTCTTTCTAGACCCTCGCTCATTGATGCTGCTGAGCAGGTTCAGTCACATGGGCGGCTTTGGCTCGGCATTGTCCTTCGTATCCCTGGATTCCAGCGGCCGAAACTTCACGCAGCTTGAGGTGGTTGACTACCAAGATCGCGACACCGGAGAAAACGAGACGTTGGTCGGGGACTTCTCCCACATGATAAACCTGGACAAGAGCTCCGAGAATGAACTTGTCATCGCCGCAGGGGAACGCGGGCTTCTAATCGTACCCCGAGAAACACAGCAGGAATGCTTTCGCTTGACGGACAGGCATCAGGTGAGACGCTTGTTGAAAAGGGATGTCAAGGTTGTCAGAACAGCTTTTCCTGCTGTACAGGTGCGCTGCCATCAAAATATGACTGTGGCCTTACAGATTCAGGTTTTGCAGATGTTGGCTGACATGCCTGATGTCAAACAGTTCCACATATCAGTCTACAACCGTGAATGGGAAGAAGTGCACAGATTCGCCTGGCCTGTCACGGTCGCAGACTTGTTTCAGGATGAAGCCGAGTCTCGATTCTAGGGGCGCGCCCCAACTTGCACGCTGGCGTTGGGGCAAAGAGTTGACGCAGGGGCCGACACTGCAAGCATCGAAGGAAGCTAGTAACAGCAAAGGCTCGCTTCTACCAAAGCCGCACGAATATGCAGCCAAAAAGGAGTTCCAGCAAACAGATTTTCAGCTTGGATTATGCTTCTCAGAATAACAGGGATCAAGTGAGCCTGCCCCAACTGCTCAAAGCACAGACGAACCGAAGCCATGCCTCCCTTGTGCGAGTGTGTGAGTCGAACTGCTTAAGGTAAAGTGCAGTCAGCATCAACAACAACAACTGCTACTGCGAGAATAAAACAACAGCCGATGGTGCTGCCCCCAGAGTATCTCAGACACAGCAGCGTAAGGAGTACGACCGTGCCAAGGACTCGAAACAAGGCCTGTAAGACAGTCCTCGTGTCCCGAACTTGATTGACCGTGCTTATGAAGGGCTCTAATGTAGGGTTGCTTCTGCTTTCCCAGGCTGTTGGATTGCACTCGACCCCTTAAGCTTGAAACTGCAGCCGCCAGCATGTGAACCCCAGTCTGTTCAGCAGCGCGCCGAACAGCTCAAAGCTTTGCTGCATTGGGAACATTCGGTTTACATAATTTGAAAACAAGCTGTTGCTTTTCATTGCACCCGAGCCCAGCCGATAGCTCCGTTTCTACATACAAGAGTCCTGCAATTCTAACCCTCCTCCCTGCACCCTACTCGGATTCAGAATTCTGGGAGACAGAAAATGGAAAAGAATACTCTGAGACTCTGAGCCCAAAAGGCGGACGTCTGACTCGTAAAGGAACCCCCTGCTTTCACGAAGCCACGGATGCCTTGGCAGGCGCAGCCTCCATTGGTGGTACCTTCTCTGATAACAGATTCGGCCGGTGGTTCTCATCGGGAACTTCCAGCTGGAAGGGGCTCAGGGTTTAGGGGTTACCCTACTTTTCATTGGTAGTTATAAGTGGAGCTATAAGTCCCCTAATCTGGATTATAGCTATAACCCATGAACCTCCAAGTAAACTTCACAAAAGTTGGTTCAGTGACGCAGACATGCAGAGCAGAAAATTGCCGATTATAGAAGGATGGATCATGGATCAAGGGCGATCAGTGCCGCCGTTGGATTCTCCATGCTTTACTGGAAGGACATGAGGCATGTTTCTTGCTTCTACCGCAAGGTGTAGGATGCAAGGAATAGGAACTACGCCGGTATAATGCATCACGTCTACAAAGTGCCTGGCTAATGCTTTTTTTGGTGTGGTTTGATTGAGAAGGATCTCCACAAGGACACTTTTTGCTTACATTGCTTACCTGCCTTGAGAGACCCAGCGAGAAGACAGTTCTAGGAACACTAACCCTGGTACGGGCAACGTGATAGTTCGAAATGTTTTGGTCCTAACTTGTAACGTCTAATCATATACGGACTTAATAAGGAAAAATTGCGGCTAATTTTTCGAGCCCTGAAACCCGAAGCCCGAAACTCAGCGAATTCGGAAGCATCTCCCAACGGAGGCTTCCTGCATGACAGGCCCAATTTTTTAGGGCTCGCCCTTTGGTCTCCATCGGGTCACTTGACCCCGGGTTTTCTGAAAGCTGATAGTAGTGTTGGTTAATTTTTCTTGTTGTTGGTGCTACTTCTTCTAATTTACTGCTGGCGTTGTCATGCTGACTTACTGTCGTCACCCTCATTGTCCCCGTGTGTTGCTGCAGGTCTTATTGTTCTTGTTCGTGGGATTGTCTTGGCATCTGCATTTTGTTTTGACACGTTGTTTGGTATTTTCGTTGGCATGTGTTTTATTTTCTCATCGCCATGGTCATATCCTGTAGCACTCACTGCTCAGTCAGAGAATTTGCAGGTTTACATCCACTACGAGTGCACTGCTACTGCTACTGGAGCTGCTGCTGCTATCGTTGCTGCTACTGCTACTGCTACTGCCACTGCTACTGCTGCTACTGCTATTGCTACTACGACGACGACTACTGCTGCGACTACGACGACGACTACTTCCGCTACCGCTACCACCACGACGACGACGGCGACGACGACTACTACTGTGGCTGTACAACTGTGACTACAAACTCTATTACCTTACGATCACAAGAAGCTCTGGGCCAGAGTTTGATGGTTCTGCGCTCCCCAATTGGGATCTCCCATCCCTGAGATAGGTTTGCTATGCCCAAGAAACCCTAAAATTGAATTCCGGGCTATTTGGGGCCCTTGCCAAGGCCATCTTAAGCCTCTAGCCGACAACGTGAAGGCGTAAGGACGGCTTTGGTAAAGGGCTTCTTGGGCCGTAGAGCGTTTACTATCACTGCCGTGGTGATGGTGGTTCGCTGATGAGGACAGTGTGCCGAGCACGACGTTGACCAGATGATCATCATGAGGATGTGGGTGATGATGATCTTACATAGGGAGGAGACTACAAGGACGATCACGGCAAACTAGTAACCCCTTTTATCATGGGTTTTGTCGTGGTTGCTATGCAGTTCACGCTGCCCTTCGTCGGCGGCCGAAGGGCAATACCGGATGCCATAATATTTTCAAGGTGCCGGAGCAGCCTGCTGTGAACAGACCATGTGCTTCAATGCTTCAAAAGGGCTGGAGGTTACTGGCTTCAATACTGCTCTGCAGTTCGTGGGCAGGCATGAGTCTGGTTCCAAATCGTAATTAAATGCAGCCACTGTTATCCACGTGCGCTATAGATCTGCATATGATTATCCGTTAACCAAGCCAAGGACGAGCAGGATTTGGGATCGGAGGTTCCGTGGTCTAGAGCCTCCAGGAGTTAATTGTTCCGTAAGGGCCCAAACAAGCAAGAGGGCTCCGTCATGCTCCCTGGTGTGGCAGGCTGGTGTATGAAGATGGGGTCTGGAACGCATGCTCAGCAGATTTCAGCACGGGAGGTGTGGCTGTTCGTCGCAGGCGCAGAGGCAATTCGACATGCAACTCCTGACAGCTACTCCAGCCGTCTTTCTGTTTATGCAGCGACAGACAGTGGGGCCATTTGCACGTCCGCCGGGAGCAACGAAGCTACCATAGGGGCCTAAATAGTTACCTATACTATTTTTGGGGCTCCTTGGTACAATTATATCATAATGGGCCCCAAAACCTTACTCTCATCATTAAGGCCCCCATATTGGTCATTCTTGACAGAGCCGATCAGAATCAGCATTGCATGAAGTCGAGACTTGAGTGCTTCAGGGATTCCTTCGTACAAGGTCTACTGAGAAAGTCGCCATCCTGGTAGTGTAAAGCGGCCCCACTGAGACAGTTGCATCGCGTGCATGTTCCGTTGCAAAAAGTGGGGCAGATGCTTGCAGCCGGCATGAGGGCTTCCATGAACGAGACCGTGCCCCGAACGCAGATCCACGTTCCGCGTGTTTTTGGCTCTGCCGGGGCAGACCCCGCAGCCAAGAAGACCTCGCAAGCTTCATTCACCTCCAGAAGCCGAGAAGTTCACGGCCATGTAGTGCCAATAGCAGGCTTGCAGGAAGGAAGAGGTTTGGGAGTTTCCTTCGCGATGCAGCTAAACATCAAAACAGGATTTTCTCCCCAAGCACCACATCGAACAGCCTCTGTCAACGCCTACAGTACCTACCAGCTCCAACGGCCGTTCTCCTGTGCAGCCCTAGCATAGCATTCCCTGGTACAACGTGACGACGTCGAGTCTTGCCCGCATGCCTTCCTCCCTTCTGGCCTTGCACATGGTGGCCGGCTAGGCACGGGGTGGGGCAACAACAGCTAATGTTATCTCAAAGGAAGGACAAGTATTGTGCTGGTTGCCTCTCTTCTGATGACTGGTACTATGGGCTCGGCTTCCCTCCCGCTGGTATGGCAGCTTGCCACAACACCAACACAGATGCCCACAATAATCCCACCTCAGATCAACTTCCAGCTCTCAAGCCCCAGACCTTGGACCCTATACTCGGAAGGGGCCGAAACCGGTGAAGCACCAACCCCGCTCAACGAGTTATCGGCCCACAAGATTCACCCGCACCATTTCCCGAAAAGCTCTAGAAAGAAATCGGAGAACATCCAGATAGCACAACAACCTGCCTAAGTTTGTGCTGTGCAGACATGGTTCCGAGTGCCAAGTCTCCTTTGGTTCTGAACTCTTGTGCAATCCGCTGGCAGCGTTCAGCGGCGGGAGGAAGGGACTTACAAGCATAGGAACCAAGTGAGACGCTGTTGGAGCTGTAGGCTTTCGGGTTCATGCTGGCGTTCATGATCGCCGGCATATGTGATTTTCTTCCTCCGTTTTGTCCAGAGGCAGACTGAGAAGCCCAGTTTTTGTAGAGATTCCCAGCTCCCAGCCTGCCATCTGTCTGCGATGCCGGATTCTGAAAGGCATCGCGCTCTGCGCCCATCAAGATCTTTGGTTCTCTGCCTGTTGGCGGTGTCTGCCTGGACTTTAGCACCGCAGACGCCCTTTGTTTCACCAGACGTCCGGCCTCGGAGCCGAGGATGCGAATCTTCGAAGTGCAGCCGAGATGCCTGGGATGATGGGATCCCAGACTTGCCGGAGGAGTACAGGAACATCGGCCCCCTGAAGCTTGGGCCAAGACCCAGGCCTTTTGGGCTCTTGCTCATGCCTTTTGTGCTCTACGTCTACTTCATGGCCGATGCCAAGAGAGCCCTGTTTCGCAAGTTCGACGCGGATGGTGACAAGCTCCTGTCGCCGTCGGAGCTCTCTGCAGCTCTGGGTGAGCTTCCTGCAGGCACCTTCCAGGCCGTAGATACGGACGGGACCGGTGGTATCGATACGAAAGAGTGGCTCTTCAGCTTCCTGCACACTGACCTTCCCGGGTCGTAGACGAGCTGAACCTGCCGATGCTTCGCTTGTACGGAGGTGTGCATGTCCCTTGCTTTATCGCAAAAGGTGCCGATGCTTGACTTGCATGACACCATGAGCCTTCAAAATAGGGGACTTGGTACTTTAGGTATACTTTAGCATCGTGTACTTTCCGGCATCAGCCGGATCACCAAGTTGCAAATAGACATTCGAATGTCCATGGCGCTGAAGCCTTACACAGAGGAGAGGCAGCAAAGTAGGAGGAACAAGTGGGCCTTGCCAATCAGAACAAGGTTTTGGCGTTTATTTAGTATAAGTATAGCAAGGAGTCCAAGGAATGAGATTGGTCATGTTTTAGGCTTTATATCTGGTATCGCTTCTAGGGTCCAAACGGAGATTGCTTTCTCCCTGCACCGAGAAGGCGGCAAATGGCTACAACATGTTAAACTAGGAGGCAATTTGGGAAACTTTTTAATTTCCCTTATGGTTCCTAAAGAGGTACCTATTCCGAAATACTTTTCAGAAACCCAAAACTACAACCCAGTAAAGCACTCGCAACGACTAGCAGCATTAACCAAGCCTCAGTTTAACGTTCACAACCTTTGATGCGGACGTCGAGGCCCCTAATGCTTTTCATTGGGTCAGTGCCTTCAGCGCTGAAGCCCACTGGCTACCAAACGCCGGGAAGAAATCAAGAAGCCTAAACCCTAAACCCTCAGCCCGAAGGTCTGCCACGTGAAATCCTGCACCTCATCCTCAAACCACCCCAAACCGGAAATCCGAGAATGCCAAGCCCCTAAAGGCCAAGCGCATCGGAATCCCGAACCCGTTTCGCCTGATCCCTAACCCCTTCGAACCGCGAACCCTTTGCCCTTTGACTCCAGGCCCGCAGCTTGCCTGAGAACCCAAACTCCAAAACCTTGAACCCGAATCTCTTAAGCTGTAGCCGCAAACCCTTATAGAGCCCTGTGAAAACCGTGTACATCCTGTAAAAACCTAACGGAGCCTTCATATCCGTGCCAGGCACGGTTGGCGTCCCCGAAGCTTCGCGCACATTCTGGCGAGCGGGCGAAAAGGGGCTTCTGTGAGGAGTTGGGATGCGGAATCGTTTCTGGAGCCTGAAGATATCTTACTTAGGGGCCCGTATACTCCGTATACTAAGAATCCTACGATTCATGCCTCCCTGGCTTTGAGGTCGCAGGATGAAAGTGCTGACAACACGTATCTACCCACGATCGTGCTATCCTTCATTCAAGCCGTCCTAGTCAGCCCCTAAGCCCTAAATCCTAAGCCCTGTCCGAGCAGGCTTGTCTTGTTTTGAAATAGTCAGTCACATGGGGCACGTGTGGGGTGAATCTTTCAACACTGGCAATTATGTTGTGTGATACTGCGTTTTGTGTTCACCCTGCATCAGCTCTTGCTGTGACCTGGTAGTAGTGATACGATCTACTATGTGGGTGGTTGTCAAAACTATGGTCCCTTTTGGGTCCCTATTATAGTACGGCACCTAACATTTCCGGTTCCCAAAAAGGGACCCTAATTTTGACAACCCAGCCTTGCCTGCCTTGTGCGAGAGTGAGCGTCGACATCGCCTTCTCCCTCGTTGAGGCTTTGCTGCTTCTCTTAGGGGTACTTAGAAATAATTTTCAATTTTTGGTTATTATAATCACTAAGAAACAGCTAAAATCATAATTTTTGCTTGGGTTCTAAGTTCAGTCTAGTTCTGCGGACAGCACAAGGCGGTCAAACACAAAACTCTAAATCCTAAACCCTAAGCAGGTACTGATGAGAGTTCCTGTAGCTGTAGTCTCTATTGTAGTTCCTGTTTTGGTCCACCAGATCTACGCATCGGATCCTATAGTTTCAGGTTCACCAAAAAAGGAAGTACAATGCAGATTACAGGTAAACCTTACTTCTACGAGCTATCCTGCCAGGGTTTCCAAAACCCGACTAAAATTGCCCCTCCCCCGCTCAATATTTGGAGCCTCTGAACACATCCACTCTCCACTGCAACCTCCAGGTCTAGAGCAATTTTAGCGAAAGACATGCTTCAACCGGTTTCCATCGCGCAATGGTAATGTAAAACTGAGGAGCTGGATGGTCACGTAATAGCCACAACTCGAAGTCATGATCAAGAACACATCTAGGCCCTAGGCTGTCGGGAGTCCAATCCCACGCTGATCGGGAACATGCCAGATAACTCGACCTTGAACGAGAAGCCACATGCGGTACAAGCATCCACCGAAGCCCTCAAAGTGGAGTGGCTTGCCTTTAGTAAGTGGTGTCTCGGAGGCCGAGTATGTCCTCAGCACGACCGGTGTGCTCCCCTAATCAGGTTTGATTGTATCTGAGTGCATCATCATAAGGACCCTTAGGGCGGTAGGGGGCGTTAATCCTTATCCTATAACAAGGATTTTAATACTCCCAGTTGCCTAAGTCGTTGCATTTTGTTCGAGGCAACGCCACACCTTCGGGGGAAGCTTTGTTGTGAGGTCGTTGCGTTTCGGTGTGCACATGGGGGAAAGGCTTCCAAGATGGTGATCTGCGTTGTTTGTTTGCTTCGGGGTCCAGGCCCTAAGTCGTCCCAGGTCCAATGTGCAGTTGTGGATTCTGCGAAACCGTGTCAATCGGGATCCTCGGACATGCTGGTGGAGATCGTGCCTCCGTTAAAGGGTGGAGAGTGCGGAGGCGACTGGGACGGGTGTGCACTTGCAGAAGGCTGCAAAAACGAACAGCCGCACATGCAAGGACTTTGCAGCAGTCGTTGCGTGTGTGCAGATGGGGGAAGCATAAAAACCCCGAAATGTAACGACTAAGGCGCCTAGGAGCAAGGCTTACTTGAGGAAGTATAGTCCGCTACCCCCCTGAGGGTCCCTTTTGTGGCATCATGACTGCGGCATGGCCGGTGCAGCAGTGCCTGTCCTGTGCTGCAGCCTCCTCAGGCACGCTGGATCTAGGATCTTTCGGGTTTACAGTAGACTCGGGGGGCTTCGGGGGTTGTGATCAAACGCTCTTGCGCTTGAGTATCATCGCCTCGTTTCGGGTGTGTTTGGGTTATCCGATACTTAGCTTACATTGTCTGCTTGCAAAGTGTCCTTTCCCAAGTTAGTGGAATTAATGGGTTGCTGAAGTCACGACCATCGAGAGCCCACGGCCTCCAAGAGAGGCCAAATCCAGGGCCAACCAAGGAAAAGAAGAGCCCGCCACAACCTGCGCAAGCGATCCTGGATGATAGGCTTGTCGAACTTCTGTGTTTCGGTTGGAGCATGACACGGACCTTGTAGCCATTGTAGCCTGAGTAACGAGTGGGTCTTGCAGAAGATGCCAACGTGGAAGCCTTGCAAATGATGCACCCCTGATGTAACAAAGCCCCGACAATGCTATGACCTGGTATTTCTCGGATGTTTTGAGGCGGGATGACCGGAGGAGGCGCATGGTCGAGGACAGGCTTAGCACGGCTCATTTTCGGGATCAAATCGACAACACGAACAGAAACTTGTGAAACCAACCCCACCGGGATGTTTGCTCTAAACGTTTACGCATAGGTGCTGTTGGGATTTTACACAAGTTTGGACTTTCGGTTCAGAGGTTCGCATCCTGAGCCCACTCTCGGTTCCGAAGGGCTTGGCTTGCACAGACGATGTCGTGCAGCCTTCAGTCGGCAGTCGCCTGTTATTCGCGGTGAACTGGAGTCTGCTTCTGTCTGTGCCAAGACCATTAACAACCTGCACCGGAATCAGACAGAAACATAACCTGTGGACCTTGAGCCGTTCAGCCCCTGCTTGCAGCAAAGCGCCTTGATGGGTTCTTGGTGGACAGAAGCCCATGGTGGCGTCGGAGATTCGCAAACGGATCTTTTTGGAACTTACTATATCTTGTTGTATAAATGCAACATAGTCCCAATGAGTTATGCCAGGACTGGTCGCAAAATGTGTTGTTTGCAGTATCTCTATGCCAGGCGGTCTTCCGTTGAAATATTGAAACAAGATTTTTAGAAAATTAGGGCACGCAGTGCTAAGCTATTTCTACATTATGCCCAAGCTGGCCTCTCACGGCCTACTAATGAACTAAGCCTTGAAAGCAGTGTAAAACGTCAAAACACCAAACGAACCTCTATCAGCCTATCAAGTCTCATGGTATACACATTGATCATGTAATTTACAAAGCCGTGTCACAAGCCGTATAAAGCTCGACGTACGAAGGAGAAAAAGTTTTCAGCCCGGAAACCTCTTCGCGCAGTACGGACCGTCCGTAACCCAAAAGTTATTGGTTTCTTTAACAAAGAAGCTGGACAAGTAATATAGGGGCCTGAATAGGACTCCTTACTGTAATTATAGTATGATTTACCACTGAAAGCCTTCTCTGATTATTAAGGCCCCTACATTAGGAGAACAATTTCCCGAAAGGCTCTCCGGGCCGCCAAGCTCACGGGGGAATTCCTGGATGCCGTGGATGGCCGCGAGCTCCAGGCCTCTGCCGCTGCTGCCCCTTGTCTGGATTCCTGTTAAGGGATTTATTTTAAGTTACCATAATAGCAAAAAAACAGGTTTCATAGGTTTTTTCTAGGGGGGCTAAATAATTACCAATACTATTTTGGGGGTTCCGAAATATAAGTATAGTATAATGGGACCCAAGACATTATTCTAAATTATTACGGCCCCTGTATTAGTCGAACCGGGGGTTTAATATAGGAGCCTGAATGTCTTGTAGTCGTATTTAGTATTCCCTCCGGATCCTTTTCGTACTTCGTGAGTATACAGTATACTGCCATTTATCCCAAACCCTTTCGGACCAACTCTTGCCGAGGTGCCGATCTACGGCGGCTTCTTGGCTCAGCTTTGGTTCGATTGTCTAAGGGAGTGTTTCGGGAAGATGGAAGAAGTCCACATTCAAGGCACGACCTGTCGGGTATGTATATCGGAGCGGTTGAAAGGGTTCGTAGTGCAGAACCACCCACACAGTCAGCATGACTTTTGGATGGCCGAGGATCTACATAGTAATCCTTATAGCACAACCCCGATACTGACCTTTATGCAAAACCCGCTAGTACAACTCTGATCGTATAACGCTGAAAATACTGACCCTAGAGTATAGTCCCGCAGCCTTCAATTCTAACCCAAACCCTGGAGACAGGGCGTACCATACTGAAACCCTAAACCCTAAACCCTGGGAGTGTGAGCGTCGAAACCCTAGGTAGGAGGGAAAAAAGAGATTACCTGAAGGATGGGACTGGTCCAACGACGACTGGGACCAGGAGATGGAGCCTACTCAGGAGAACCAGCTGCGAGGCGAGGATGAACTAGGTTTTACGGCTTAGGGGTTGGGGTTTAGGCTTAAGGTACGCCTTTGGGACGTTTTCTGTTTGCCGTTGTTGAGCCTACCAGGATCTTATTTACGAATATTTTCAAAGTTTCTGGGAGTCGGGGTTTCAGGGTTGCTGGCAGAGGATATTACGCTCCGGGCACTGCCGAAACAGAAATCCAAAACCCTGAGATGTTAACCATGACAAATCCTGCCTCGTCCTGGCGAAGTAGGAGGGAAAAGCCGTTGACAAATCCTGCAGCTAGGCTGCAGCCTAAGCCTTGTAGTTGTGTTGGTGGAGCTCCCAGTCAGCGGCAACCTTCGACCCTGCAATGCAGACCCAGAGAGCCCAATACCCCCTCTAAGGAACATACCTCACTTTGTGAGGGCTTCATATTATGATTTCAGCCATATTCATGCATGGAGGGGCATCCGGCTCTTTGCGCAGGTGGGGAAATCTACCACTCATACTTTTAGGGCTGGATGCAACGGCAGAGAGAGACAGAGAGAGACTCTGTTTCACACACAATGTTGTCACACTACCATAATTCCTCCTCGGGAGTCCGGGGGACTTGATCGTCTCCCATGCCTGGGAGAGAGAGACAGAGAGACTCTGTTGGGCTTCAGTGTCCTTCATTCCAGTTATACGATACTACACCCAACACCCAGTTCTACTCATTTTGGCCACTGTATTATGCTCTTTTCTGACACTCCAGACCGCGGCTGGGCGCAGCCATCTCTTCCGGTGCCGGTACTCAGGCAGAAGGGGTTGAGGTACCCAGAGAGCCCGATAATCCCTTAATCAAGAAGTGTGCCTTGAATTATCGAGGAACCGTCCACATGATGTAAGGGGTCTCGGTCATTTCAGAGGTCTTCGGCTCTTGTGAGCAGCTAAAGCCTAGAACCTCTTAGAATCAACCCATCCATGACCCCAAGAATGGTTTGTAAGCCCTAGGCCGTGAACAGTTTGAGAGGAAGTATTGTCTATGTTTTTGCATCGCTTCCACCGTCTGCCGAGAGAAGGGGATGCCCCTAGAGACTCATCATTTGTGTGCCACCCAACCTTGCATGCACCAAGGACGACGGCGGCGGTGGCGGCGACGACGACGACTACCAATACTTCCATTATACTTCCCTGCTGCTGCTGCGTCTGTGGCCACGGCTTCTGCTACTGCTACAACGGAGACTACTTACGACGACGACGGCGACGAGTGTGACGACGGCGACGTCCGCAACGGCCGCGGCAACGACGGCGACGGCGACTGCTATTGCCAGTACCAGCACACATGGAAGCACAACTCATTATGCAGAAAGAGTAAAGATTTTAGTAGCAAATGCGGAGCCATAGTTCTTTTTGAAGTATTTGCAACTACTCGCAAAAATTGCTTGTACCGCACCGCTCTGCCTAAAACAAGCCCTAACTATACTTTAGCTAGGAGTCTGCACTGCAAACTCTACATTCTACGCCGAACATTTAAATCTGAAGCCCTAATTCCTGCACGAGTCTTGAAGTGGGAGACTCGCAGAGTTCCTGAAAGGCGCTTGGCTCCTTTCTACAACCGGCCGATGCGCTGGGGCGAGGCATGCTATCGGTGGGACGGTTGAGAGGGTTAGCAGGATAGAGGGGTGGAAGGTCTGGCTGGACTGGAGCCGAGTGGTAAACAAGGGTTTAAGGTGTAGGCAAACACTTTAATTAGGGGTTTCCTTTCTGGGTTCCGTGTTCAAGAGGTTTAGTGGTCGGGGTGGCGAAGCAGCCTGAACGGTCGGTCGCACTGTCCCTTCATCCAGTGGTGTCTGTCTGTCTAGTATACACCCCAGCCCCACTCCAAAATTTCAGGCCACCAGCCAGTGTCATCGAGTTTCATGGCTTTTGCGGTTTCGTGTCTGGAGCTTGAGGGTTACAGGCTTGCGGTTTGTTTGGGGCTTGGTGCAGACATAGGTTGGAGATTCCACGAGTTGCAAGGAGTTTGGCTGGAGGGCCTGCCATGCGGGAGCAAGAAGATGTGCCTTAACCCGTAACTCCCAAACCCCAAAATCAAAAACGCCGTAAACTCTAAAACCATAAAGCCCTGAATCTCAACTCCTCAAGAAAGTTTGACTGCCCACACCCTTCAACCTCCAACTTCAGGCCCCTAAACACAAGGGCCCCTTACTGTACTCGGAGAACTTCTCTCTGATTTTGAGCCCTTGTAGGACCCCTATATCATACATTCCTTCGGGAAGCCTTTTTTGGTCCCCTTTAGGAGCCCTGAGAATACAACCACCTACAGAAACCCAGAATGGAGTCTTGTAGAACCGAGTAGAACTCCTTTACATGGACTCCTATACTTTCGTCCGTTTTAGGAACCTCCAAAATACTACCTCAAGAAGTCCCTTAGACAAACCCTCCGGGACCCCTGACAGCGAGGTCGCCTGTGCACTGACGCATCGAAGAGCTTGGCTTCGGGCGCTCGAGATGGGGCCCGGTGATGCACTCGGAGATCAGAGGAGACAAGCATGGGTTCTATAAGGGAGTTTCCGAAAACTAGGGGTACCTTATTTGGGGTCCTTATATAAGGATCCATTTGGGGTACTTTATTAGGGTCCCCCATTTTCGGAAACCCCCATAAGGGTTCTAGAAAGGGCACTGAAGTACTTTTACAGTAGCACCGTGTTGGGGGCGTGAGTCAGGGATTAAGGCTTCGGTGCTTTTTAGGGTTTAGGGCTTCAGGGTGTTGTCACGTGGGACCATCTGTGTCCTACAGCCGGGCTTGACGTTTCGAATGCCTGGGAGAGGGAGAGGTAGAGACACAGACAGAGAGGGCTTTAGAGTGTTGACCTATTGGGTCGAGCGCTTTCGGGGCTGGAGAGTTCAGCGTTCTCGGGCTTTGCCGTTGGAGGTTTCGGGTTCAGGACTTTAGACTGGAAGGCTTTGGGGCTTGAGGGCTGCAGGATTCTAGGGTTGACAGTGTTCTACCCTACACCCTATTTTTACCCTAAACCCTCAACCCTAGATTTTTCCTTAAGCCATGAAGTCACGGCCTGAAAGGCCCGCAAGATGGAAGACCCTCGTAGAAATCGGGTAAATCCTTATGAGACCTTTGCAACCTGTTACAAAACCAGCAAGGGCACTTTGTGGAACCATTTCTGAAACCCCAAACCCTAACCCCTAAACCCCTGCAACGGCACACCTGAGAATCCGCTTCAGTCCTTTTCACACCGACTCAGCACCCAAGAACCTCGCCTGGCTTCGTCCGAGTTGTGAGAGCGTAAACCCCTGCAACGTGGGCTTCGTCCTTGCCAAGTAAGTAGGAGGGAAAAAAACCCCTAAACCCCCAACGAGGCCCGACCTTGATTCTGGAAGACGACGCGCTGCCGGCGGCGCGAGCCGGACCGTTGTTGTCGGAGGTTCTCGGCGAGCTCCCGGAGGATCCTCGGGCAATCGGGGCTTTGGGGGTGCTCTTTGATGAGGGTTTAGGGTTCAGTTCTTGAAGGTGAGTTTCTATTGAGACGGAACTCCTAGGGTTGTCTTGGAGACGGCTTCTGTGGGTGCTGTCCGACCCAGCCGAAGTGCGAAGCCTGAGGGTTCAGTTCTTGACTTCCCCAGCGCGAATGCAAAACGGGTTCAGTTCTCTGATGGTTTTTCGTGATGTCATAGGCATGGCCATCAGGCAGGCAGTCCTTCCAGTTTCGCCTGACCCAATGTTTTGCTGTTGCTGGGACAGTCTCCGTAAACTCCTGCAAGCTGATCCCTAGCAAAAAGAATGCCAAGCCCTGCAACAAGAAGCCCTGTAAACGTTCAACCCTGCAATCTCAACCTTAAACTAAACCAAACCCCGAGCCCCAAAGTCACTCAAAGCTCCGGCCCCAAACAGCCCTTTAGAAGAAAACCCGAAGGAGTGGGACGTTTGCTTCCTCGCGCCCACAGAACTCCTTGGCGGCGACATGGAAGGTCGGCCCGCGGCAAAGACAAGCCGGAGGCGTAGATTTCATTGATTTCATCATGATTATCTATCTATGCGGCGAATTGACAGCATCTGTTTATTTAGTTCTAGTTCTCTCTCTCTCTCTCTGTCTCTCTCTCTCTCTCTATCAACCGTCCCCGTGGCTTCGGCGAAAGTTCGGCTAAAGGCTTCACTGGTTTTAGGCCCACACGATCCGAGCCCTTGTGACACTTTAGGCCCTAGGCCTTGGATTAGATCCTCGAAATACTAAACCCTATACCTTGAAATTCAACCCTAAGCCCTCAAGCCCTAGAGATCCGACCCCCGAAGAAAGTCTCAACTCCAAACCCCAAACCCCAAGCCCTAAACCCCAAACCCCAAGCCCTAAACCTGAAACCCCAGTAGGAGGGAACAAAAACCTGAAACCCCAAACTTTCCCAAACCCCAAGCCCTAAGCCCCGAGGCCTCAAGCCTAAGCAACTTCCCAGAGACTCCAAAACCCCTTAGTTAAGGAATATACCTTAAATCATATTGGGGATCCTTCTATAATTTAGGGAATATTCCTTAAATCATAATATTAAGGCCTCTATCATTGATGGGGCCCCGGCCCACTAATAGTTCAACAATAGGTTTATTATCAAACAGACAGGCCAAAAGTAGCACAAGGAAATCTGATCTCATTCGGTTTTCCAGGGCCAGGCAGTGTTTTGAATCCAAATATGTTTGGCATAGTTTGGCGATTAGGGCTGTGAGATGGGGTCGGACCGGCGAAGAGGTTGGGAGGAGCTATCTGCAACTTACCAGCGCAGAGGTTTGGAACCACGGTTTCGTTACCATCGCAACCTGGGCCAAGAGACCTTCTTTCAGACGGCCTGGACGCGGGGACTGGACTGGCTCGGCCGCCAGAGAGACAGAGCAAAACTAGCACCAGAAAAGCACAAAAAAAAAAGCACAATCGGACCGCGTCGAGCACAAGAAAAGCACAACAGACAGAGACAATTTTGCACCAGAACTGCCGCGCACCAATGTGTTTTGAAATCATGGAGCACAAAAAAAAGCACAAACATACAAACACGTTTGGTTTTTGGAACACAAGAAAAGCACAAAAAAAAGCACAATCGGACTGCGTCGAGCACAAGAAAAGCACAACAGCCGGGTCGTTTCGAGCACAAGAAAAGCACAAAAAAAGCACAACCATACAAACACGTTTGGTTTTTGGAGCACAAGAAAAGCAAAAAAAAAGCACAATCGGACCGCGTCGAGCACGAGAAAAGCACAACAGCCGGATCGTTTCGAGCACAAGAAAAGCACAAGAAAAAAGCACAAACATACAACCACGTTTGGTTTTTGGAGCACAAGAAAAGCACAAAAAAAGGCACAATCGGATCGTTTCGAGCACAAGAAAAGCACAAAAAAAAAACACAAACATGCAAACACGTTTTCGGAGGCGAGCCCCCCAAGCCTGCGTAGATTGCAGAAAGAGTACAGGCAAAGCACAAGAAAAGCACAACAGCCGGATCGTTTCGAGCACAAGAAAAGCACAAGAAAAAAGCACAAACATACAAACACGTTTGGTTTTTGGAGCACAAGAAAAGCACAAAAAAAAGCACAATCGGACCGCGTCGAGCACAATAAAAGCACAACAGCCGGGTCGTTTCGAGCACAAGAAAAGCACAAGAAAAAAGCACAAACATACAAACACGTTTGGTTTTTGGAGCACAAGAAAAGCACAAAACAAAAGCACAATCGGACCGCGTCGAGCACAAGAAAAGCACAACAGCCGGATCGTTTCGAGCACAAGAAAAGCACAAGAAAAAAGCACAACCATACAAACACGTTTGGTTTTTGGAGCACAAGAAAAGCACAAAAAAAAGCACAATCGGACCGCGTCGAGCACAAGAAAAGCACAACAGAAAATAGGTTTCTGTGATCGAAATGTCGCGCCCGGGTATGCCTCTCAGTACCAAACTTGGTCGAAGAGGCCAGACCCCGGCCCGGCCCCAGCCCGCCCCCCACCCCCTGCGTCCGTTCAGCTTTCCAGCCCAGCCCCCTCAGCCGCCCCCCAGCACCCCCAGCCCCCCCCGCCCCGCCCCCTAGTCGCGCAGAAGCATTGCAGCTCCTGATGTTTGCTCAAGATCGAATCCGAGGAAACAACAGGGGTGTGACTGTGTCTGCAACTCATGGGGTGGCAGTTTACTTGTTGTCTCAGTCTTGCGTTTTCCATTCATGCGAGCATGATCACAAACGAGTCAACATTTCAGCATTTCCCTGGTGCTTCATCTTGTGCTTCTGTTTCTGCCCACTATTAGTGAGGCGGGGCCGCACACAACCTCTATCATTTATGGTACATTCCTTAATTAAGGGCTTTTGGAGGCTCTGGGTTGAGAAGCCCTGAACCCAGGCCTGGTCTCGCGCGTGTCGGCGATGTGCTATGGGACAAACGCCTACCTCTGCTCCCAACAGGCCCCCGGGGTCCCTGCGTTCAGGGGTTTAGGGGTTTAGGGTTTAGGGTTTAGGGGGTTTAGGGATATGTCCGTGCTCAAAAAAGGGGCTGCATATCTAACCGGGCTGCTGGACAACGAGGCCGGCTGCAAACAAGGGGCTGCAGATCATACACTCACATTCGGGGTCCTTCTATCACTCATGGTATACTCCTCGCAGTGGTGATGTCTGAAGAACTTGGTTCGGTCGTGAGTTTGCTGCAACAGTGCAAGAGATGGAAACCTAAAATCCTAAAACCGTGAACCCGAATACCGAAACCCTCTCCAAACCCCTAAACGCTTCGGATACCTCGATTGGATCGCCCGAGTGTGAGGAAGCCTTAATCTCTCCGTGTGTCGGCAGCCCTGGCGACAGGGTGCGGCACGCCTTCTCCGCGCCACGGAGGGAAAGGATTGCTTCCCGATGTCCGTGAGGAAAGTTTCAACCCTGAGCCGTTGGCTGGCATAAATGCAGAGGCCGGTTAGGTTTAACACGTTCTTCTTGTCTTGAACACCGTTATTCTAAACATTCAGGCCTCTTTGCCAAACCCAGCCGAATTAAGACCACCTTGAATCTTGCTTACACTTCAGGAACTTTGTTTTTACAAGGGCCTCCAGGAACAGCCCAGTAGAACTAAGAGGACATCATCCCTGTCGACGAGCTGATGCCAGCCCTGGCACTTCCGAATGGCCACCCGCGCCGTGACTTGGAGAGCATCCGGCTTAGGATGTTCTTTCATCATGGCTTGGGGGCTTAGAGCCTTTGGGTTTAGATCTTTGCTGGTTGAGGGGCTCAGGGATTTCAGGGTTTAGAGTTCAGAGCTTGCAGGGTTTAAATAGGGGAGTCAAAGGTTCTTATCGGTCGGAAGAGGCTAGGGCTAGGATATTCGAGAGGTGGGGAGGCATATATACTGTCTCCTTGCAGTCTGTTCATGAATACCCCCGCCCAGCCCTATACTACCGAATGACACTGGAGGAGGGTGGGGTTTAGTTCAACCTCAACACTAATAAAATCCTAAATCATAAATTCCTTTAGCCCTAAACCCTAAGCCTAAACCCTACATGGGAGTTTCCGAAAATGGGGGACCCTAATATAGCACCCTAAATAGTAGGATCCTATTTTAAGGACCCCAAATAAGGTACCCCAATTTTCGGAAACTCCCAAATCCTAAACCCTAAAACCCTAAACCCCTAAACCCTAAGCCCCCTTAAACCCTCCCTTTAAAGGAACCCCTAAACTCCTACATCCTAAAGCCCGGACCATAGGCTAAGGCGATGTGGCGGCGCTGCTGGCCGGCGCACCGAGACTCCGACTCTATCGTCTGAGGTGGTGGCCTCAAAGCTTTTTGGAGACGTCGTGATCCGTTCCCAGAGAGCCCAATAATACGCAGTAAGTGGCAACAAAAATAGCCTGAACCAGGGTGTTGTTAAGAGCCCCTTCAAACCCTAAACCCTAAACCCTAAACCCTAATCAAAATGTCAGGAGGTTGCCTCACGGGTTTGGTGCGTCGTCGCTGTTGGGATCGGGCTCCCGGTCTGCTTCGTAGCTGTGAGGTGCCGTGATTCGCCTCAGTTCTTGTTGAGGGTTTAGCTTAAGTTACCATTTAGATCCACCTTTTGGTAATTTAAAGTTAAGTTCCTTAAGAAGAACCCAGTAGCAGTCACATGGATCGGTGGTGCTGCAGAAGTTAGAAACGACACTTACAGACAGCCTGAAGCCACGATCTCTTGGTGCAGGCCTGGCACGAACCTCATCCTACCTGCGATGCAGAGCTGGGACAGTGACACTGAAGCCTGGCGAATGGTTGAGTGTCGAAGCTCACAAAATGTTACTCCCTGGGCCCGTTCCCAATGCCCCTACATCCCCAAGAATGGCCCTTTTGAGGGCGATGCAGCAATGCACTTCCGAAGCACCCGGCTGTGAGCCCCGAGCCATAAAGTAGGACTCTGCTGGGCTGAGGGAGGCACGTTGCCAACATGATGGGCAAAGAAGCGTCTGAGTCTCATCCTACTCAATGACATCGAAACAAGGGTCATTCCCATGACGCGGGGTTCATTCAGGGCCTAGAAGAGTTCAGGAATCTCATCAGCGTCCTCTTCTGGGGATGAGGACGCTGTGGGAACTTATGTGTTGCACTGTTTGTTACCTAACACGAACACAAGATAGAACATAACAGAGGCCCAGAGTTAACAGGTCCTTCTGTCAAAGGGTGCAGGGATTCGGATAAAGTAAAGTGGCGTTATTCCGCTTTCGAGGGTTCAGGATTTCAGGGGCTCAAGAGTCGCTCGTCCTCCCTATAAAGGCTCTGGGACAAGGGTTTAGGGGTTTAGGGTTTTGGGGTTTTGGGGTTTAGGGTTTAGGGACAGGCCCCTGCACTGAGAGCCCAAGTCGCAGTGATAAACAAAACTGGTCGGGTGTGAACGTCACCCACGAGATTATTTTAACACAAGCTGACAGGCCAAACCCTAAGCTGAAACCTAAACCCCAAACCCCTAAATCCTAAGCGATGAGATAGTCGCTTGAGTGGGAGGCAAGTGTCAGTGCATGGACGCACCCGACATCTGGGTAGATGTTCTGGGCATGTGGTATGTGAACATCGCCTACCGTTGTTAGCCAAACTGCTTCGTCGTGCCAAAATCCTCGCCAGGCTTGTCCCAGTTGTGAGTGCAGCAAACCAACCCCCGAAGTTCAAAACTCGAAGCCTTAAGCTCTAATCTCTGCACCTTACACCCTTAGCCCTAAAGCCCTTTATGAAACCCTCAACCCTAAACCCTAAACCAAGATTCCCTGCAATGCGGGCTTCGCCCTTGCTAGGTTTGGTAGGAGGACAAAAAGCCCTTTAAATGCTGAGCTCCAGGAAGTTTCGCCTCGCTAGGCAGGAAAGAAAAAAGCCTTGTATGATGAGCTCCAGGAAGTGTCCCTTCCCATCACGGCCGAAACCTCCAACGCCCGGCCCGCCTGCGGAATCTGTGGCGGGAGGCAGGCTGCCGACCATCCGCCGGGCGAGGCTCCGGCAGCGGTCTATAGGGGCTACTATAAGGGATCTATAAGGGTACTATACTATAGGGAGCCTCCTACTAGTACAATTAGAATAGGCCCTAGGGTTCCTTTAAAGGGTTCCTTAAAGGGGTCTATAAGGGATCTATAAGGGTGCTAGAGTGTAGGGGCCTTAATGGGTTTGGGGCCCATTATTATACTATAACCTATAATTATAATAAGGCACCCCCCCAGATACTGGTAGTAATTATTACGGCCCCTACTGTATAGGATTTCCTCAAGGTCCCCGGAAAGAATAACTTTCGGGTCCCTTTAGAGATTTCCATAAAAGGGTTCCTGAAAGATCTTCTTTAAAGGGCTCCTTAAGGAACTCCTCAAAAGGGTTCTGTAAAGGGTTACTTAGAAGGTTCCTTGAAGATTCCTTTAAAGGGTTGGGTCCAGGGTTATCTGACGGGTTCATATTGAGTTTGGGGATTGGAGGGTCTTGGGTTCCTTTCCTGGGGTTCTCTAAGGCTCGGCAATCCATAAGGATTCCACAACGTGGTTGTCACGTTTCTATGGTCTAAGTTTAAAATCGCTCACAAAGGTTTACGTTTCAGAACTTGACGATTTAGTCAGGCTAAGGGGTCTGCGGGATCTTAGGGGTTCATTTAGAGTCTGGCTTGGCTTTTTTTGGGATCGAGTTTGGCTTGTTTTCGCTTTGGGCTTCAGCTGCGGTTAGGGCCTTCAGGTTATCAGGAAATCCCTAAACCCTAGACCCTAAGAAGCCCAAAAGTTGGAAACCCCATAGCCTCAATCCTTAAGAGTAATGTGTAGGGAATCCCGGCACCATTTGGCCTTGGTCCGGTTTCCAACTTTATGGTGTTTACTCTACACCCTAAAGCCCCTTCCTCGCCGCGCAGGCCTGTATCGTGGTCCGGGGCATATCCTCCGACCCACTGCTGGCTGCAATGCGTCGGAAAGGCTAGGGGATTCGGTTCAAGCTTTCAGCGCTTCAGGGTTTAGGGCTTAGAGTTTGCACAGACTTGTATATGCCCGCCTGGATGTCGAAGTCTGTGCAACAAAGGTCTCAGCGCTTCAGGGTTTAGGGGTTCGGGGCATCAGGTTTGGGGTTCTTGGTTTGATCTTTTCGGGATGCCGGGATACCCGGCAAAGCGTTTGGAGTTTGGTTTGGGGGCAGCAGGGTTTACGGCTTCCCGGCAGTCGCAATGGGCCTGGATGCAAAAGGGTGAGTTCTAGGTGGCGAGAGGTCATGGTTTCGGGGCTCCGACTTTGACGGCCCACTTCGAGCGGTTCGCGTTGATTACTTAGGGCTTCAGGGGCTCAGGACTTGACTCAGGACCATTGCCAGAGTCGCTCCGTGGGTGGCGCCACCTACTTAAAGCGTCACTCAGCCTGTCCTAAACTCTGCAAGCACCACTCCTCACTCCTCAATACAGCCCTAAACCCCACAGTTCATATCCTGAAAGTCCTAACCGGATCTTATAAACCCTCAACCCTAAACCACTCGTTGCCCGAGCTCGGTTTCTCAGCTTGCGATGCGGTTCAGGGCTTCGAACAAATCCCAGGCTTTTGCACGATGCCACCATTGCATCCTGCCGCTTGACCCAGTATTGAGGCGGGGTAGTGTGTTTAGTGTTTAGGGCCTAGACTCTTTGCGTACTATCGGACATTGACAAGTGCACGAGGAGGCTCTTGGTCGCTCTGTGTGGCTTCAACTTGTCTTTCATGGTTTCGACATGGCTCAGCAAGGCTCCAGAGTCAGTGTCGAGCTTGTGCAGCTTTGTCTACAGTCCAACTAGGTTGGGGGCCTTCGGATTCGGGAATCATACACTCGTCGTTTGCCACGCCACCATGAAGGTAGCTCCAGACGCTCTGCATGCAGCCAAAAAGACTGAACAGGGGTTTCATCGACTCACAAGTGCAGATCTCCGCCGTCCTGGCCTTGTACTTGAGCCATGGAGCTGGCTTTCACGGTCTTGGCCGTAGGCCTGGCAGCGGCGGAAACTGGGTTCTTGTTAAGGGGTTCTACTCAAGTTGCCATAACAGGGATCTATAGTAAATACTAATGGTTCCTTGTTATGGCAACTTAAACCCTAAACCCTAAATCCTAAGCCCTAAACCCTAAACCCTAAACCCCTAAACCCCTAAACCCTAAATCCCTTAACAAGAGCCCAGGAAGGGGAGCCCGGCTTTCTGCCGAGACCGACTTTTCGGAAGCCCTTCCCGGATCCCGCTTCTGGGCTCTTGTCAAGGAGTTTGATTTAATTTAGGGGTACTTAGAAACAATTTTCAACTTTTGTTTATTATTTTCCCTAAGAAACAGCTAAATAAAATTCTAATTTTTGCTTGGGTTCTAAGTTCAATATAGTTAAGTTACCATATAATAGGGATCTATAGTACATAGTACGGATTCCTTAATAATTATGGTAACTTAAAATAAAAAGCCTTTCAATTCCGTATTATGGTGACTTAAAGTACAAGTCCCTCACTTCCTTCTTATGGTAACTTAAAATATGAGTCCCTTTATTCCTAATTATGGTAACTTAAAGTAAAACCTTAAACCCTAACCCTAAAATCCAGGCTTTGTTTCGTCCGAGCCAGAGCCGTCGTCTGGCGCAGGAGGGGGGGAAGCCGGAGCGCCTGCGCTTCGAGGTGGGTGGCTGTAAGGGATCTATAGGGCTCCTTTAAGGGTCCCTTTAAGGGATCTATAGGGGTACTATAAGGGCTTAGGGTTTAGGGGCTTTAGATATAGTACCCTAAATGGTAGGATCTGTGTTATAAGGACCCCCAAGATTACCCTGAAATCAGGGAAGCTTTGTTATAAGGAAAATGGAAGGATCTTTGTTATAAGGACTCCCCAAGATTACCCTAAATGGCAGGGTCTTTGTTATAAGGACCCCCAAGATACTCAAATATGGGTGATTGTAGACTGCCCTAAATGGCAGGATCTTTTGTTATAAGGACACCCAAGGCCCAAGATACTCCCCATATGGGTGGCTGTCAAAATTACCCTAATTGGTAGGATCCTTATTATAAGGACGCCCAAGATACTCCCAGATAGGTGGTTGTCAAGATTAGGTTTCCCTTTTCGGGTCCCTATTCTAATACGGCACCTATCATTTAGGGTACCCAAGAAACGGACCAACATTTTCGCAACTACCCAGGTGGAGGATGGAGGCTATCAGTTCAACTACGAGTTCGCAGGGGCTCCCAAAGTAGAGCACGTTTTCAACTTGGACTCTGAGGGCGTGGAGGGGATCCGCTGCGCCGAGGGGCCGGAGGATCGTCTGGAAATCTTCTGGGCCAACCTGACCGTAGCGACTGCAGCAGCGCTGAGGAAGGATGCGGTGATCTCAGGTTCGCCGGAGTGGCAGTGCAGCTTTTCGATCCCTAGGAACTCTCGAATCCAGAGCTCTGGCCCGCTCTTGCGTATTTTGGAGGTGGAGGCCTTAGCCACATCCAGGTCGCTCTCCACTCTCCTTCGGGTTGTTCCCACCAGCCCCGTCGAGATCTTCCGCGACCTTTACATCGACCTGTCCTGGCATCCGGTTGCACGTTCAGCCGACCGTCGGCTCCAGGCGTGTTCAACAGACCACCACTACAGCTTGAACTACGATTGTGAAAGTCAGAGAGCCTCGCAAAGCCATGTCATCGGGCCCTTTACGTGCTCAAACTGCTATGCATTGCTACTGGGTTCCTGGGTAGTATCGTTTTTGTTTTAGGGTCCCCTTATTAGAACCGAACAGGCAAAAGTGTGGTGCCCCTATTATAAAGGGGCTACTCAGACGCCCAGGCTAGACATCACTCCAGACTTCAAGCTCCAGACCAACAGTCTCGGCCAACCGACGAGGATCTCCTTGCAGCTGTCCGCGACAGTCGAAGCCAACCTTGAACTGGGCTTCAACGGACTCGAGTCCGTCAGCGCTGACTGGACGCAGCTTTTCTCTCAGAGGACGGGAAACCTGGTGAACACCATAGGCTTCGTGATGCCGATGTTCGGTAGCCTCGTGAGTGCGATCAACAGCTGGACGGTGAATATGGGCATCTATGCCAACTACGAGCTCAAGGGCCAAGCAGACGTCCGGAGCATTCTCCAAGGCGTTTTGCAGACAAAGCGGGTCTATGAGTGGACTGGAGCGGAGGCCAGGGACAGCAGTAAGTGCTAATGTGGCTAGTATCACTGCTGACATCGATAGCTCACAATTGTCAACATTGTCACCAGCATTTTACGGGAACCCGTGCACGGCACGGTCTAGGCAGGGGGTTTTGGATAGCATTTTTTTGGGCACGCCGAGGTCGGTTGGACCAGTTCCCAGGGCTTCTTTTACACCTTAGGCGCCGTCTCAAGCTCCGGCAACACGTCCACGCCGGACCTGAAAGACTTCTCGGCAGACCTGGCAGTGGCCTTGGCTCCCTGCGTCTCCCTAGATCTGACGCTCAGTGGCTGAGTAGGTAACCTTTGACCTTTTGGGGTTTATATATATATATATATATATATATATATACAGCCCTAGCATAACTGAAAAGGTTAACCTCGTTTTGGGGCGTAGGTACTCAGCCACTAAGGAATTACGATCAAGAAACCATGTCTTCAGCCTCCGCTTGCCCGGGGCCCTAGTTGAGCCGCGACATGCTTGGGCTGAAGCTGGGTTCTTGTTAAGGGATTTAATCTAAGTTACCATAATAAAGAACCACTATTATTTACTATAGAGCCTTATTATGGTAACTTAAGCTAAATACCTTGACAAGAACCCAGGAATGCTTCCAGGAATTCCCAGGGCGCAGATCCCGTCTGCACCTTCCTGGAACCCTCGCCTCCATAACATGAGTCGAGAAGCCAAGGTCTTGAGGGCAACGTGGCTTATCTGACGGAGAGGGCCATCACGTCAGTTGCGGCAGATGCAGTTGCTGGTACCTCCCAGGCAACTGACGAGCAATTGTGTGTGGACCTATACAAATTCGAAACCGATGGAGACTTGGAGTTGCTGGGTTCGAATGATCCCTATGCAGGGTGGTGCTTCATGGGGAAGTGCTACTATACGGGATATAAGCATATGAGTGGCGGTGAGGCAGCTTTTGATGACGGATGGTCGTGCATGAACATCCGCACGGCTTCTTTGCGTGAGAATCGGCTCTATGTGGAAGTCTGGGAAGATGATACGGGTTGGGACCAGGTCTTCACCGAAAGAGGGTCCATCGACTTGACCAGTGAGGCTATGGATTTTGACAAGAGGGTTGCCCTCACCCCAAGCAGCAAGTCAGGTGGGACATATGCTTACTTGTCAATGAAAGTGCGACGGTCCCCGCTGCGCCTGCTTTCGCAGACTGGCAATGAAAGCTCCACAAACGGTCCCTGTGGCCAGAGCCTTTATGCGGGAGCGGGGATGAGTGGGGGCCTGTCAGGATTCAAGCTTCCAAGCGTTTGGGAGCACAACGGCACGGTGCTTGTCGACCCCATCTCGCTGGGCAGTGTTCGTACGGAGATGCAGCGGGTTATTTGCAAAGACCTTCCAGCTGGTGACGCGGTGGTCAGCTTCAGCACCAGGTCTGATTGGCTTTTCCTCCCAGCCGCCCTGGTGTTCACTCTCTTAACATGGTAGGGAATGGAGGAATGGGGTACAACTATAACTACTATTACTACCATTCTTCCATTCCCTACTGCCCAAAGGTAAGTCTCTTCACATGAGGTGCGCTCGAAGGTGCGATTGCTCGCTTGGAGCTCCCGCTGTTGGAAACCAACCAAGCGGTGTTCGCTTTTCGCAGAGCCGCCTTTCCATATGATATAATATACTACTTCCATTACGCATGATATACATATATATATATATATACACAGATATATGTGAATTTATGTTTATTCTACGGTTTCTCTAAAATATTTGCGCCGGACCTTCGAAGAAGATGGCAAAGCACGCCTGGCAGCGCGATTCGATTCGTTTTGTTAAATCACTCCAGGGTTCATGGCTCGAGGTTTCAGATCTTCGGCTCTTCTCTTTGGTGTGAGGCGTTTGAGGTTGCGGGTTTCGGGTTGTGAGCCTTGGCCCGGGCTGACAGATGCCTGCCGTTGCTCCCAAAATCACCGCAAGGCAACGTCCTCAAAGGTATATCGGTGAAGTCAAAATGCCAGAAAGCCAAACACTGTAAGCTGAAGACGCTACACCCTCAACTGCCAAAGGCCCCCGACTGCTAAAGCTGCCAGGTACCGAATGTCAGAAGCGAACCCTCATAGCTGACATGCTGTTTGCTGTTCAGACTTTGGGACTCCAAACTTTCATGTTGCAAGCCGGCTGCTGCTGCTGCTGCTGCTGCTGGCGCTGCTGCTTATAATCATGGCGGTGGAAGATATGGAATAGGTAAAGCGGGATGAGAGATGTGTCGAGTGAAGCACTTGCACCAACACAAGCACTATTGTTGGCACTCGCTGTGACGCGTGCGCCGTAGACCTGTGACCACAATCCCTCCCAGCCCAGTCTCCAAAACCACAAAGCGGGGTCCGCCAAGGAGCTGCCGTACCAGGTCTCAAGTGAGGTCGACGCGATCAGTGCTGCAGTCCGCGCCGGGCGTGCAGAGCAGGCCTGGTTTCGGGGACGACATCTATCCGAATCTATCCACTACGACTGCGACTTTCAACTGCCACTGCCGTCAGCACAACCAACACGGGGATGCCGATGATGGTTGGTGCTTTTGCTCGTGCTATTGCTAGTACTGCCACTGCTACTCTCCGCGATGACTGAGACCAAAACAGCCACGCGACGGCCACAAAAGCTGCAAACTACCCCCAGCCAACGCCACGATGGTACCCCAAAGCACACACACAGTCACCATCAGCATGACTTGCACCATCGCTGTCACCACCATCTTGATTACCGCCCTATGACCTTTGAAACCTAGCGTGCTTTGCAAGCTGAGGCCACGGAGTGGCTGGCGCCCATCCACGAAGCACGGCTCCGACACGACGTCAAGCTGCCCCTGACTGCTGCTGTAGTGCAGCTTCTGAACTCCGTGATCCAAGAATATGGCTGGCTGTTCCGAGCCCTCCAGCTGCACCTGAGGAAAGCACACGAAGTCCGTCACCTCTCCAACAAGCAACTCACATCCTAAACTTAAACTTTGAACTAGTCTATATCATTGTATCGATTCTTGTTGCAATTGTCTACAGCCTGTAATATACGTAGTCTGTAGTCTGGAGGTGCACAGCTGCCGAGACAACCAGGGATGGTGGGTCCACAAACTCTGGAGGTTGCCAACCCCAAACCCCAAAACCTTGTGTAGGTGAAGTCGAGGGTTGGATGTGCGAGTTGGATGAGGCATTTGTCGGGGACACCGCGAGGCTCATCGAACTGGGCGCTATCGTCGCTTTCCCAGGTGGGTCGGTTTAACGGCTTTGAGGGCTTGGGGCATCTGTTCATCTGAGCCGGCATGAAATCGCATGCAGCTGACATGAGCGAGGCAATGCCCTCCTGGCAGGGTCTCTTGTCCAGCCCAAACAGGGCATCTGAGCGCGCGAGTTGTAAACTAGACCGCCCGCATCGTTGAAGTGGAAGGACCGCTTGACCGCTTCATCAGCTTCGACGACAGTTTGGATTCCACAACCCCGAACATTCACACACCCCGGTTCAACTTGAAGCCGGCACAGTTGAACCTGAACTGTCATATCTTCTGCCGGGACCCCTCATTCCATGCTCTCCCTGCTCAGACCTGGTGAATACTTTGGGATTTCCAGTCAGCTGCGCTTATCCCAGTGGGCAGTAGCCCTGACTTTGTGCAATGCTCTGGGACACATGTATTTGGCTTCCTGCGCGAAACCCTGAAGCCTGACCTACGTAAGCAGTTCAGCTTTCCTTGCACAACACAAACAAGCAAGACACAAGCAAAGTCTCGAGGTGCTCCCCCACAGCCTTGGCATTCGGACGTGGACTTCGACGACGAAGAGCGTGCTGAAATCATACAGGCGGGCTCGTGCCGCTTTGGGAGTTCGAAGTTTAGCATGAAGGCCGAACAAAGGCGCATGGGCAGTTCGACAGGCTCTTCACAGGCATTGGTCAAGGGTTTGTCGTCCTGATGGTTGCTTACAGGCTCATGGTGAGCTATGAGCAATGCGCAGGGTTTTAGGTGCCGCTGCCTGCCTAAAAGATACCGTGCTAGCCCAAAGTTACCGCACTTGTTGCCCATTATCCGGATCCAGGCTCTGGCTAACTCTCTCCGCCCTATGGTTTTTTTTGAGGTCTACGACTGAGGGTTCAGAAGTCTCGGGTCGACAGCTCTACACTACTTCAGTCCACAAGTCCTACAGCCTTGAGCCGCCTAATCCGAACCCTGTCCTGCCTTGAACTTCAAGACTTGCAATCTACAGCCCTGAGAACGCTGTAAGGTGTCCTTCCGAACATATCGGGGATTCCGAAAATTAGGGGTACCTTATTCTGGGGTCCTTATAATAAGGATCCTACTATTTGGGGTACTATATTAGGGTCCCATATATTCGGAAGCTCCCATAAAACAGGCCCGAATCTCGTTTCTCCGCAGTTCCCGTAGGCCCCACTGCCTACCTCAACTGGAAGTCGCCATGCCTTCATCAAAGAAGCCCACGGCCCTCAACCTGGATGTTTGTCAAGGGGTTGAATTTAAGTTACCACAATATGGATTCCATATTATTTACTATAGATCCCGATCATGGTCACTTAAAACTAAACTCCTCAACAAGATCCCAGTGAACCCTGCAAGGCTTTCGTCGCCCTCCAGGATATCTCAGAGACACATGGGCCGACACAGGTGGCTCGGAGTCTAGGGGACGAGTCTTGGGGTTAGGATTCGAGCTTGTCGGGGTATGCGTCTTGTGGTACATAGACAGAGAGTTCAGTGGCTTGGGCTTTTCGGGGATTGGATTTCCAGCCGCGCAGCCCGGAAGCCTACTTAAAGGATCAGGGGACTTAGTAAGAAGGCTATAAGTAGGGTTGTAATACGTAGGATAACTTCATTTAGGGCACTTAGAACTCTACCTGACCCTCCCTCTGACCTACTTACTCGATGCCCTGATCCTTCCGGTGCCGCGGCTGCGGGGGCCTGAGCGGCAAGGTGCTGCGAGATGTAAGCTATACTTTGTGGGTTCCGGGCCCGAAGGCTTGGGCCCTCAGTGTTTTTCTGTTCCTTAGGGTTCCTTGATCTAACAGTTATACAGTTATGCGATAACAGCCCCCCAAACCCTGTTCTACATGTTGAAGCCCCAATATTCTACACTCCAGGCTTCAGATTGAATCGCGAAATCCTGAGTCCTGATTCATAATTCTTTCTGTACATTCCGCCGCGTGAACTTTACATTAAGGGAGGTTCCCACTTCCAACTTGGAGGAGGGCTTGCATTTCTGTTCTATGGATACTTAGATTTAGGGCTTCAGGGTTCAGCATGTTGTAGTTTGAGTTTTGAAGAGCAGAGTTAAGGAGTTCATGGCTTGGAGTTTCGTGTCGAGTGTCCAGATTCTCCTCCTGAAAAACTCACATAAGGTGCTGGTAGGCTCCCACACGCGCAGCTTCCACCGCTCGTGGCCTGAGGCGTGGGGTTCTCCATAGAGCTTGTCAAAACAGTTGAAGCCTAAGATTTCTACACTAAATGCTGGAGTCTACTAGATAGAGCCTCAACCCTACCTTGGTACACCTTCATTCGTAAGAATACCCTAAGTCCAAGAGCCCTGAACTTTACATCCCAGCGACCCGATGCTGATATAGAAGCTTCTATACTCAGCGTAGGGTGATAACTATAAAGGAGCCCGAAACCCTATTCGATTTATTGAGGCCCCTACTTTAGGGTTCCTTCTCAAGGGCTCCGCGATGGCTCCGAGGTTTCTAGCCGAATAATTGTCGTCGGGCTGCCGGGATGTCGGATTCGGATTCAGAGCTGGGGCAGTCAATGGGACTAGGGTTTATACTTAGGGTTTGACATTTGCGGCGTTAGGCTTTATTTCAAGGGTTGTCGGGTTTGGGGTTTTGACTTTGCGGGCTGGAAACTGGCTAGAACCTCGCAGCCACTCACGAAGCTGAGCTGTTTGTTCCATGCCTGTTGGGGTATGGCCACCGAACTTAGGCATCTTGTGCGGTTCAATCCGCAAGCCCGAAAATCGCCAAGCAGAACTGTTTGTTTTGTAGTCAGGGTGTGGGTCTCAGGTACAGAGTACAGTGTTTAGGGCGTGAGGTGGTGCAAGGTGTAACGTGGAAGGTTTACTGGTGAGTATTTGAGGTTTGTTTCCAGTTTGAGGCCTAGGAATCTGTGATGTTCTTCGCCCAACATTCTGCACATATTCTACATCCTCAGCCCCCAAGCCCATGTAAGCAACAAAAGTTTATCAAAAGTCGCCCTACTCGTAGAGCGCCAGGCCAGACCGGACCCGGATGAGCTTGAGAGGCGCCGCTTCAGCGGTTACTGTATCAGGTATATTCTAAGGACCCAAGACTTTTTTGGGTAAGGGCTTTCTCAGAGCATGCTTTTCCCTTGAATGCAAGCTCACGTTGGCAAGGCCCAACGCCTGGACTATCTCTACGTTCGGCAATCGAAAGCGAAACGCACTGTGTGAGCCTGGTGGTTGAACACCTTCCAGAGCTAAGCCTTTGAAGGTTCAAGTGCACACCTGATGCATTCCACTGATGACAGGGAGTCGTTGACGCTGGAAGCGGGGGCATTGGCAATTATGGCTGCTTTGCTGAAGATTCTACGGCATGGGCTTGGGGTTCAAGGCTGGGCTTCGGCTTTTCAGTGGCAGGTTTCCCGGCCAAGTGCAAAGAGCTGCGATTGGAACGCTCTTTCTATGCCCTGGGCATGTGAGACGATGCTAGAAGTGTTTCCAGTTTTTGTGAACGCAAAGCCCTCCGCCGGTAAGACTCAAGATCCAAACGGCAAAAGCCCATTCTAGTCCATACCAGCCAGCGAGAACCCCATCTGGGTGTTGTGGTGGTGGTGGCGGTGGTAGTTGCTGAAGTCAAGTCTCGCAGCCAGGCCGGCCATGCGTACCACAGGGGTGCCGGGAACATGTCTGCAGTGCCGCGCCGGCTGCTGCACTTTGCATTTATGTCCGCAGGCCCGTGGGGAATTCGGGGTTCAGTAGAGCGTAGCCGAGAGCATGTGAATCTGAGCCGATGAAGCCAACCCGGAGACAGTTCTTGGGTGTTAATGATGTGCAATCGCCGCCGTCCAAACCGATTAGTCGATATGACAAGTGCATGCCTGCCTGCATTTTTGCTGAAGCCCCTGGTCGCATGCTAAATGCTGTGTTTCGAAGGATTTGGTTTACTTGCCGTGGTGCGTCTTTAACATCCGAGAAGCCTTCTTCTGTAGTGCACATCATGTGCTTTACCTGTATCGGGTTCAGTATCTGGCACTCACAATTTGTTCTAAACATGCCCCAGCAGATGCTTCCAGACAACATCTAGAACGTGCAGAGCTGGTTTTCCCTGAGGAGCGGCAGCCACCCAACACCCTAAACTCTAAATGCAAACAGTGGTCTTTGGACTGCCGGCCCGAGCATCATAATTCCGGGATTTACGGCCGACTGAACATCGTATCCTAGACATGCTATGGCATTATGTAGATCACTGATTAATAAATCTCTTTCCCTGACGGGCCTTATTATTAGGAGCTTCATTATAAGATCCATAAAGCGGAGGGGGGTTTTATGCATCCGGGGCGTGCCATTGTCTGGAATGAGAACGTGTGTGCTTTGTTGTTGTTGGTGGTGGTGTTGTTGGTGGTTGTGGTGTTTTTTTTTGCTGTTCTGCTCTGCGGCTGAAGCCCGGGCAAACCAGCGAGTGAGTGAACGGCCCATCCGGGCCCAAACAGCAAGAAAAAACACACCCCCGAACCCACAGCAAGCAAACAGCACCCCACATCACTTGCAGCATGTTTTAAAGTTGTGGTTTGCTGTTGGTGCGGAGGGTGTTGTTTTTTCACTGCTTGTGCGTGTGTGTGTGTGTTAGTGTTTTTTGGCTGTTGCTGGGGGGAGGGGGCAGGGGGATGCTTGGCACAAAAGGCACCCCCACTTCCGCACCAAAGGCAAAAAGGCATTTCATCCCTCAGCAACAGTGCCCCTCCCAGGAGCAACAGCAAACACAAACAGCACTCCTCGCCCCTTAAGAAGCGGCAGCATAAACAAGAACACTCTCTGCAGCAACAGAAGCACCAACAGCAAAAGAAGCACTCTTGCCGTCTGGAATGCGTCCGACTCCCGGAAGGTCCGGCTCCCGTTGGCTTCACCTACCACTTGGCAACTTGGCCTTGGCTAGGGTGTCGCGAGCCTTTAGCCAATGCTCTCAATCAGAAATTTCAGTGCAAATATGTAAGCACAAACATTTAGGCATATGTGTGTGTGCGCACATGTATATGTACACATATATATATATATATATATATATTCACAGAGTAGCAGACATTCCTGTCAAATTTATTCGCCACTTGTTCCAAGCAGGCTTCAAAATCATAGAATTCGTTTCTGGACATTTGGCCCGAGAGGTAAGAGTGGACATCTTTTGGCAGCTTGGGCAAACGGGGCAGGCGCTCCTTGCACTAGGCGTATCAGGAAGGAACAGAAAATTGGATAGTTAGGATGCATTGGAAAAGGCACGGTTTTTTGCCTGCCTGCGTAGGAGCCTGGAGACTGGCACAGCTGGCTTTAGTGCTGGATGCGGCCGTCCGCGATGTCCCGAGGTAAACGAGTTGGTTCAGTCACCCGTCATGCTGGATCAGTTTCCTCTGGATCTGGGGTGCCGTGGCTTTGAAATCTAGAGGCTTTCTCAACATCAAAGGATCCGCAAAAATTCACAGTCGCTCGTGGCAAGCATCGACATGCTGAGGCATGCTAGGCTACTGAAACTTCGGATTTTAAGTTGTACATGAAGTTCTTAGCGAGCACCTCTAAAGGGAAGCCACAGTAATGCTTTCAGATGCTAGTTCCAAGCTGTAGATTCTGAAGGTTAGGTCTTCAGGCTAGGATGCAGGGCTTTGCGCTTGCGTTCGGAACTGGAGAAATGAAGGGCAAACCGTGAGGCTCCAGATAAAGGTAGTCGTATCCGCAAGTAGTAGCAAGCGAGCCATGGTTTCCTATGAATGGTTGGAGGACGAGGCGGGCTGTCCATCGGCTGCCGGAAAGACTGATGGTGTCTTGGAAGATATCGTAGATTGGGCCGGCAGCACGCCGCGAAAATGGTTCCTCATTGCCGGGGCGATGGATCCTCCCACGAGTAGTGGTGCCACACGCAGGGTCAGAGCCAATGGCGAGAAGGGATGCGAGTTCCTTGAGGGCATTGACTTGGACTTCCGCCGTATGACCAAGGCCGTTGGAAGTGATCTGCACAACAAAGTGCTGGATATGAAGCTCACTTTGAAGGAGGCCAAATCCAAGATTCGCGAATTCTTCCAGGCTTGCCAAAAGCTCAAGTGTGTCCCGATGTTGTATTACACCGGTCACGGCGCAGTCGGCTCTGGTGACTGGTGTTTCCAGGATGGCTGCCTAGCTTTCTCAGACATTGTGAAGTTGCTCCCTTCCCGAACAAAGTTTCCCTGGATTTTTGCTGATTGCTGTTTCGCCGGCCATTGGGCAAATCAAGCCCGATTGCTGTTTCGCCCGCCATTGGTTCGAGTGGTGGCTGCCACGCCGTATTTCATGACTGCCCTGGACACAGACGATGGCGGGGATTTCACCTACTACATCACTGGCAACAAGCCTGCCCGCAGGTTGGAGCGACCGGTGATTTGTAGCAGAAGATCAATGAAGGATTTTCCGTTGCCAGCCTCCGTTGCTTGCTACCCGTACGCTGACCGCGTCGAGGGTGAAATCGGCTTCGGCGATCGGTTCGTCATGGCCCAGCACTTCCACGAAGAGGAATGCTCCCTTTTTTGTGCTGCAATCCCGTGCTATGATGTCGGCAAGTATCCTGCGAAGACGTGCACCATGTTTTCGTACAGTGCCCTCAGAACGTGGATAGAAGAAGACTGCTGGGCTCACGGGCTGAACGTAATGCATATCTCATGCAGCAGCGATCGTCGTGGTGCTGGCTTTGGTGCTTATGCCGTGCATGGCTTTGGATCCAGACAGCAAATCTTCGCGGGCACATTTCAACACATCCAGGGCTGCATCCAGAAGAACGGGTGGATGGATGGATGGAGTACTACTTGTATATGTCCTGGGATTGGACAGGACTGGGTGGCCGTCGTAACTCAGTGCAGAGGAGACTACCTCTATGGAGATTCCCAAGAAAGCACACAGTTTCTCTACAAAGCTTCTAGCTGGAAGAAAGTGAAAGCCTTGATTAAGGAGGAGTACGATGAGGGGAACATCGTTACGCAAATTGCGGTTTCATATGGAACCTGGGTGCTGGCTACTCATGAGAGCCCCCGAAAGCAAACGTGGATTCGGGGAGATAAAGGTACCGGCCTGCGGGACGTGAGCCACCAGCTTTGCGACCGTGGCTTCGATGTCACTCTGCTGCTGAAAGATCCATCAGACAGGTGGCTGGTGTTCGGCACGCGAGGTCTTAACGCATACAATCGTTCCTACTGCACGGGTATTGCCCAAGTATCTGACGAAGCATCCGATGACGACTCAGGAATATCCTTCTCCGATGAATACAGCGAATACAGCGATGAAGACTCGGACTAGTGACTGAGCGGCTTTTCGATTACGGTAAGTAAAAAAGTCTGGGAGGGTTCTCCCAGTAGGGGCGTGTGTGGAGGACGATGTTCATTCTCGGACAGATGACGTAGTCTGCAAATGGGATGTCTTGCACAAGCCAAGAGCATTCTCACCGATGCAGTGGGAGTTTCTCACTAGAAACTAGAAGAACCTAATTACTAGGCTCTATTGCGGCAACAATGGGAATCGCAGCTATCTTGTTTCAGGATAGCATACGGATTGTGTTGAGAAGTTCCCCAGCGCGAGGAGAGACCGACAGGTTGAGGGACCCCTGCCTCTCTTCTCAAGATAAGCGAGTGAGACACCACGACCTGAGCTGTAATACCGCAGAAAATCGTCTTGGTTGTTGAAGGAGGGGAGTTACGACGGCCTAATTGTATATGGCGAGTTGCTCATGACGGAGCTGCACTTTGAGCTTGCATGTGCTTGATGCGATCCGACTCAGAGTGTGTTTGGTTAGATGCAGGTTATCGTGCAGCTTCCCGAAGCTCGAGGGCACCAGCTTTGCCACCAGGACAGTCTATTGGAGTTCGGTGCAGGGTTGTGGATAAAGGTTTGCGCTCAATATTCGCCAGCCGGCAACCCCGATCCTGAGTCTTGATTGCAAAACGCAGCCAGTAAGATTCTGAGTTGAGGGAAGTTTAGGCTTGCGGTTCAGGTTCGGGGTGCGAAGCTAGAAGGCCAGACCTAAGACCCCAGACAGAGGTGTCCTCATAAGATCTGCCTTGGCATCTGGATACGGGCTCATTCCTTTGTTCCTTACTAGTACTAGCAACCAGAAAGTAAGCAGAATCTCAACCGTGGTGGTGTCGAAGCACCTTCTCAGTTTGAGTGTGGGCGCGACTTAGGAACGTTGGCAGCATTGCACCGTAGGTGTCCTGCAGTCTTGAAGAGCACTCACCCACTTTCCACAGATTTCGAATTTCATGAAGCAGCGGATCTCATGCAATGACAAGAAGCCGGAAATGTTTGGTTTAGGGTTAAGGGTTGTCAACCGTAATTTAACCCTATACTCTCAACCTCTCAGCCCCAAGTTCGGAAGGATTCAGATCCAATGCACCTCCTCCTTGCCGATCTTGCGGGAGCCCTGTCGCGCTTCGAGCGTCGATGCGGATGGTGCCCTGGCGGGGTTCAGGGTACGGTTCCGGGACCTTTATCCATGTAACTTTTCTATCAAGCGCGGTAGATTGAACGTGCCATGCATAATTTTTTGACTGTTGTTTGTGAACAGTTGAATGAATGCCTCAGAAGCAGACACAGACCAGGCATTGAAAGGAGGAAAACGTTTCACCTGTCACATGATAGTAATTAAGTGCAAGAGCGTGCAACATCAGTCATATTTCGCCCGGTGCGACTTGTCTGCACAGAGGCTGCGTAGGCTTCTATACTTAGCGGGCGCAAGCCGCCTCAGGATCCTGCCAAGTACAAGTAACAGCTTTGACAACAGTGGGACTCTTGTATCAGTTCCAGCTCGGGTTTCACTTCCACCGCAGACTCTCAGACCATCACGATGCATGTCTCGCGCTGATAGTGCTAATGTGAACACCGAAACCCTCTAAGCTACACATTTTCTTCAAGAGCTCATGTGTGCTTCTGCCGCCATTGCTAGGAGACTTGGACCTTAGCCCGGCGCCGTCGGAAACATCACCTCGCATTTGCGTGGATCCTGGGCCTTTTGGTTTGGGAGAACGGTGCGATAGGGTCCAGTGACTTTTTTCCGCAGGATATCAACTTATTTTATTCAGAGGTTCAGCGACTAATGGGGTGATAGGGTAGGGTTCAGTGACCTTTTTCCGCATGAACCTCAGCTGTTTTGCAGAATGAGTGCAGCTGCTTTAGCAGGCCCATCTTCCAGTACACCGGCGTGGAAGGCAGTTCAGTGGGGCAAAACCTGCTTCTGAAATTGCTAGCTGCAGTCGTTTTTCCCGCGACTACTTTAATACCGTTACTAGTAACTAGTAACTTGCAGAACCCACCGGGCAGCTTCCTGGAAAACTTGGCGAGATTTCGAACCCTTACCTCAAGCCAACAATGCAAAACACCGTCATAAAAGCACCGGAACACATGCTGCCCCGGAGCCGGACCAAGGAGATGGAGATCAGGCTGCGCCACCCTGGTGGGACCTGGCAGACGTCAGATGTCGCCGCGCGTCTTAACCTGGCCCCTGCAAGTTATCTGCTTCATCTTCCTTTTGTGCCGTTGCCGACGATGAAAACTAGGATGCCGGTCAGGACGTTGACGACATTGATAATAAGGGCGATGGTGATGATGATGATGGTGATGATGATGATGATGGTTCTGATGTTAGTGTGCATCTCGTGACGACGATGATGTGACGAAATGTCCCATACTGTGAAGCCTAGTTAAATCGTAATCCGTTGATATAATGTCGTCATCCCCGCAAATTCTTGGAGCTTTCAGGGTATTGAAATTTCGGACAGCCATTGAGGAAACTTCAACTACACTGCCGGCTGGCCTGAGCCTTTGGGCTTGCGATGTGCGCTTGGCCGACGTGCCCCGGCAATTGTCTTCAGGGGCGGGTGGGTAGTTGTTTAGGATCTGGAGTTTAGGGTTCAGGCTTCTGAGGGTTTCGTAAGAAAGGGTCTTGAAGCTCTTTTCAGAAAACCTTGTAGGACAGTGTAGGACATGGAGGGTGAAGGTATCAGCTTCAGGGTCGGGAGGACCGTGGGGGTTGCGAACCTGAAGTAGTGCAGAGCTCAAAAACAAGTAGCAAACGTGTTCTGGGAGAGAAATATCTCTAGCGCAGATATGCGAGATCGTTCAGCCAAAACATCTTGGCTCCTGGGTGCGGCAATTGAATTGAACTTGAAGTGGTCGGGTCATTTCATTCACGATACCACCGGAAACGGCTGCGATTATCATAGCGAGAGCCGGTCTCCTCACGACATCTCACGACGGGCCGCAAGCTGAGAAGAACCCTCACCAGCAGCCCGCCAGCTGCTTAAGTTCCCAAGAACTTCAGCCGGATGGCTCCGAGCCTGCAGCATTTGAAGCCGCACATCCCGAGACCACACAAATGCCGAATCCCTGGAGCTTCCCGAACCTGACAAGTTTCGAAAGCTCAACTGCCTGCTTCGAGCACGAGCTTGTCTCTTCCGACAGATCGAGCCCAAAGTCCCACGCAGCATGAGATCTCTCGCAAACTAACTTCAGAGAGGCAAAGCATGGGAGTGAAGATGCGAGTTGATCCCAAACCGGAACTTGAACCATACACATCTTTATACACAGGGGCCCCGTTCTCGGCGTTACTTGTTTGTATGGTTATAGTCATTGTTGTTACTACGTCGAAACCCTAAACCCGTAACCCGTAAACCCTAAACCATAAAATCCTAAAATCCTAAATCCCTGGAAGCTGGTGTGAGAATATGTTGCATGTGCATGCCGCTCAGTAAAGCAACAGGTGGTGAGCTTGACCTACCATTGTCATTAGCGCTGTTATTGGCTGCTCTGCAAGTGGTGACAACTACACACCACCGTATGGTGGACCACATTGAGTACAAAGCTTGTGCATGGTATTCAATTTGGTCATGCCAGTGGTGAACCTGAGCTGTACGTTGAGGGTTGCAAGCTTGGAATTCATATGCATGTGATCGGTCTGCCGAATCATGAGGTCTTGTATTAGATGTGCGATGAAGTTTAGGGCATTTAGGGGTCAAGAGGGTCATGCAGTTTTCCGGTCCATGGTAGTCACTATAGCCAAGCCCGACTGTGTCTTATATCATTTACATGTAGCTCCACGTATTCCGTAGTTTCACAACACTGCTTGCAAGTAATTCATCGTGACAAGTCGGTAATACGCTGACTAGTGTGGCAACATGGTACTCATGTTCCAGCAACAGGTCGTTAAACACCCGGGTCGTCCCGACCCAGACCTCCTATTGGTTTAGTATATTTTTGCTTATATCTTGACATAAGGCCGTATTCTACCAAAGCCTGCCCCCAACGATCTGTCCGAGTGTCACCTTGGAGTCTGGTGATCAGCGATGCTTCAGTGCAGGACTCTAAGGAGAGGTTTCGTTGGAGGACACAGTCACTTTATGTGTTGATAGGTTTTGTTGCTGACATATCATGACGGAGCCTCTTAGTGATGTTTCACTTTGCAGACGCGAACTCATATGCCTCGCCTGGATTGTCCGAGTGTGAGCGCCGAAAGCCCGAAATCCCCTGCCTCGGCCCGAGGAGTGTTTGTTCGTTGCCAGGTCCTCCTGGCAAGGCCAAAATTGGCGAAAGGCCGGGTGGCGCCTGGGATCTGCAGGTGACGTCGAAAGTTTAGCGCTTAGGGAGTTTAGGGTTCTATAGGGTTTAGGGTTTGCCGTTATAGGTGTTGAGGGTGTTTGTTTGCTGGCACACAATCCAAGCCCATGCTGAAAAGGGTTAGTCCGTGCTGAAAGGGGTTTAGGGCAGCAGGCTTGAGACTTCGGATGTTGGTGAGTGGGGTCCCGTAAAAGGAATGAATATTCACCTGTCTTTCATAGGGACTCTACTACTATAAACCGGTTTCAAGCTAGATCATCAGAGTGAATCTGGATGTTCAAGGGTTGATATGGAGGTCTGAGGAATTAGTCATAGTACTCCTTGTATAATGGCGGTACTGAAATAAACGCCAAACCACATTCTACCTATTGAGGCCGCCGTGTCAGGGACTCGAACAAAAGCCCGAGCACTGTTCGAACATGGTTGCATAGCATGGCTAGTTCAAGGATCGCCCAGTCTTAAGAGAGTCTTTAAGAAGGAGCAGAGAGTGTTTTTTGAAAGGCTTCGACTTGAAGGAATGACATGTTGTGGTGTTGTGCATCACGACGAAGGGTCACTGACGGATGCACTATCAATCGGAAGCCGTCTCCCTTCGATCCGAACCTGACGCCGGAATTCCGTTTCAACACTCGCTGACAGACAACCTGAGCCCCGAACTGTGGAACCTGACAGCAACACTCAGATTACCCCGCACACAACCTCTCTACAACCCTAACAGCCGTAGCATAAGGTCTTGGACCTGGGCTGTGGCTGTGCCTTGCCCTCGGCGCCTGGCTCTAAATCTTACGTCCACCCCTTGTAAGGTTAAGGGCTTGAGTTTAGAATTTGGGTTTGGGGTTTTGGTTTTTTTTAGGCTTTATGACGTTTAGGTCCATCGCGAGGCTATTGTTGTCGCTTTGGTTGTCCTTGTGGCTCGCCGTCATCGCATCAGCAATCTGATGGATGCAACCAAGCATTCGGAAAATCCGGCAAACAACTACTGTACACCCTGCAATAATGCTTGTGATACGTTCGCTAGAGAGTTGTTGCAGTATACACCCCCCTACAATCACATTTTCGGCCTTACTCTTTATAGCCTTCAGATCGCCGCGGCTCGCGTCGCCAAGCACGTCTTCGCAGCGGACGCCGAGGACGCGGTGCTCCGAAACGCGGCTGTGCCTTGGCGGCGGCTTTGCCTCGCTTTGCTTGCGATGAAGCTTTTGAGGCGACGCAGAGATCTACAGCACCGGAATCCCACAGCCGTATGCAATGTTGCCATCAGAACAACAACTAAACCTGAAACCGACATGAACGGTCTCTTGGGGCCTTTTTCTCAATCTTTGGAGCCCCCTTCTGCACAAGTACAGAGCTGCATACGCCACATTCGAAGCGGTTGCTGAGCGGTTTGAAGTTCAGGGTTTTTCGGGAACCGTATTGTCTCAAAAGAAAGGTCAAGCTTCGCAAAACCCCGAAAGCAGACCTGAACACGGCTCAGGGTTCAGGGATTCGTGAATAGTGCTTAGGTTCAGGGTTTATGGTTTAGGGCTCTCACAGGTCAACCTGCGCCGGAATGGAGCTGGTGCGGTGCTGTTGCGACACTGGCAAGGAGGCGGATGATGCCAGTAGGTCTGCTGCGGCTTCAGGGCCCTGCAGCCCTTGATCCCAACTCAATAGCTGTAGCAGCTTATTCTGGTTCCTCGCCCTCAAGTTCTGCTTCTTCCTGTTCTTGTCACTTTAGAGCATTGTTCTCGCTGGCAGTCTCATTTGTCCTTTCACTGTCGTCAGTCTCAAAATTCTCCCTGTTCTGCGTCAGGACTCTTGCCGTTTAGATAGCCCCAAACCTGAATCAGGCAGTTAGCCCTGAAGAAAGCAAAGTACAGTGTCCCCAGGCATGCAGCACAACCGTCCTCGCAGAGTTGCGAGCATGTATGTGCCGGAAGAACTATGGAGTCCTCTTACTCAACCAAGCCCGTCAAAACATTCGTCGCACTTGTACTACCACCCCAAAAAGCCTACATCAGACACATCGGAGGCGTTAGGCCATTGGTTCAGGGTGTAGTTGAGGGCTCAGGATTTCGATTCTGTAGGGGCCCCTGAGGTGTATAGGACTTTCGGCTTGGTGCTATCCGGCTTTGGGTTCTCGGTGTCTGGCTATAGGGTTGTGGGGTTTAGGGTTTAGGGTTCAGGGGCTTAGGGTTCCTTTAAAAGAAGAGGCCTGGATGCAAAAAGGGTTCCTTTAAAGGGATCCATAAGGCTTCTAGGAGGGTTTTGGCAGAAACGTTCAACCAGGTAGACTTCGACATCGCCAAGGAGTTAGTGCCAAACTCTAAACCCCAAACCCAGAGACTCCAATATCCCTTAATTAAGGAATATTCCTTAAATCATATTAGGAATCCCTAATATGATTTGAGGAATATTCCTTAATTAAGGGATATTGGAGTCTCTGGGATCCCCAAACCCTGGACATGTGCCCCTGAAACTGATCGTGTCATGAGGGGATTGTACATGTCCTGCAAAGTTGGACAGATGCAAAGAAGACCCCCTGCTCAAGGATGACACGCACGGCCCGAAATCCGGGCCCTAAGCCCGCGATCAGAGGCCGAGTTTGAGAGCGTAAGCTCGAAACCTCTAAAAGCCCGAAGCCCGAAGCTCTGAACCAGAGATCTCAAAACTCCCAAAAGCCCGAAACCCAATAAGCCCTAATATAGGGGCCTTAATAATTAGAATGCAACGGCAGAGAGAGAGAGAGAGAGAGAGAGAGAGAAATAATTAGAATGGGGTTTGGGGGCCCGTTATGCGAGACTTATAATAAGGAACCTCCAAAATAGTATAGGTAATTGTTGAGGCCCCTATATTAAGCGCATGCCTCGATGCCGCGAGGTAGCCTTTCGGAGTTCAGCTGGCGTCGGAAGGTGGGCTGATGTATCCAGGGTTTCAGGTCTTTTGGGAGTTTAAGGTCCCGGTTTTGGGGGTTAAGGTCCTGGTTTTGGGGTTTACGGTCCTTACAGTTTTACTTTTTGTGATGTCTTTAGGATTTTGGGTTGGGGTTTGAGGCTAGAGTCTCATGGCTCATAGTCTTGGACTTGCCTTAGAAGGTCGGAAGCGTGATGATGTACTTCAGCCACGGAGCTCGCTTTCGGAGTTTGAGGGCTGTTTTTCACTCTCGCGATCGGTGCGATTTTGTTTCTCTGTATGGCTTGAGGTTGGGCCTGCAGGATGCAACCGGGAGACAACAGTGCGCCAGAAGGATTCTGAACCCAACGGATGTTCTCCATTGCAGTTCTGTTTTGGTTGCTTGATCCCTTTCTCATGGATCAAGACCATAGAACTGGATAACCGGATCGCCAGAGCAAGGAACCACATTGGAAAGTATAGCTGCGAAACTACAAACCCCAATAGCCGACAAACGCTGAAGCCCGAAACCCTGCAGCTTGACACTAAACCATAAACCCAAAATCGAGTGTGAGCGCCGAAACCCGAAATCCAAACCCTGAACACATAGAGCCAGGACGTTCGCAATCTCCGTCGTGTCGCGCTGCTTCTCTGCTCGGACCCGCTTCGCTCGGAGGGTTCGGCAGAGCTCCTTGGGTTGCAGTCGGAGCCTTTTTTTTGGGGGTTCTTTTTTGGTGTTTAAAGGGTTCTACACGGGTTCTATCGTAGTTGTATATTGGTTTAAAATAGATCTACAAGGGTTCTGGAGTAAAATATTACGTTCTACAAGGGTTCTATGGCAGTTGTATGCAGGCTTCCGGGGGTTAGGGCTCGAGGAGTATCAGGCCTCGGAGTTTAGGGTTACTGACTTACTTACCTTTGGAAGGTAGGGAATGGAGGAATGGGGTACAATTATAACTACGATTACTACCATTCCCTACTAACCAAAGGTAAGCTTAGGGTGTCAAACTTGCTATCTTCCGGCTTCAAAGGGGTGTCTGGGGTCTAGAGACCAGTGGAGTTGGACGGTGTTGGATGCTAAGGCTTCAGGTCTGGATGTAAGGTCAATAAAGGGGACAGACTAGATTCGTAACAGTAGTCCCCGTATGAGCAGTATTATGTCTCCCCAAACCCTCTTCTACTTATCAAGGTCCCTACGTCAAGTAAACTATTGCAAGCCCCATACATCTGCGTGGTTGGACAAAGCGTACATCAAGGAACACTAAACCACTTTATAGGTCATAGACCTTGCCAGGCTTTGTCCGAGTGTGAGTGTCAAAAAAAAACCACTTTATTCTGCTTGTCGCCGGCCCCTGGAGCAAGCAATCGTCACCAGGAAGGCCTTGACAAATCGGCACTTTCGAGGCTCAGTCCCCAACCGGGTTCTTGCAAAGGGATTTAATTTAAGCAACCGTAGTAATACAGCTTTGCTGAGTTTTCTCCCAAAAAAAAAGCAACCGTAGTAATGAAACCATATTATTCACTATAGATCTCTATAATGGCGACTTGAATTATGAATCCCTCAAGCAGCACCCAGCCAAAGCCTCTGCGCAGAGGTGCTTCATGCAGACCCTCCTGACGATTTCGAGGCTGCTCCGAAAGACTTCCTTCAGTTCTTGGGACGACCTGTTCGCGAGCTTTTCCGAAGGGGTTATTCGTTCATAGTATCTATTAAATTTGTTTGTGGGTGTGACGTGGGCCTCTGAAGTCTTGTAGAAAGAGGAAGATGGTGAGCTGAGTGATGAGGATGTGGAGCCCGCCACACCTTCTAAGTCCTTGAGAACTCATTTTTGCATGCAGGGCCGGGCCGTCTCATCCGAGTCAGCCTGTTTGCGGAATAGATGCAGATTGCAGCAGCACCCTAATTCGTAAATCCTGAAGTGCGAATCCTGAATCCGGAGAAGGGGCTCTCAAAAAGCAAACAAAGAGCCCCCAAACCCGAACTCCTTGACTTGTAGCCTTTACCCGGTAAGCTTGGACTTGGATGGAAAAACTTGGAACCCTAAAGCCCAGCCAGCCCTTTAGTATGTTTCATATTGTCAGACTCCGAACCATATGCCTCGCCTGGATTGTCCGAGTGTGAGCGCCGAAAGCCCAGCCAGAGGCTTTGTCTGAGTGTGAGCATCAAAAGAACCGCCAACCCTAAGTCCTAACCCCCCCAACCCGAGGTTCGACCATAGGGTTCCCAAACCCTCACTGCCCTGTGCGAATGCCTAGTAGTACAGTAGGTAACCTTTAACTTTAACCTTTTTTTGGTAGTTGGCCCCTATATAATCCCTATATATATCCAAAAAAGTTAACCTTTAGTCCCCATGATACCCGACAATTAGGTATGTGCGAGTCGAAACCCCAAGCCCCCCACCCCCCACGAAAAGGTGGTTCCGAACGCCTGCGCGGTTTCAGCTTGGCAGAGCCTCAGTTGCCTGATGCGTTGTAGTCTCCTAGTCTTGGGTACGGCCCCCACTCAGCAATAGTTGAATAATACTCATAATATACATAAATTAGGACCTGCATAGTCGCCCTCTTTTAGACTCTTACCTAACTCATAGTCTGTCAAAAGGTGGCTCTGGAATCATGCCGGGATTAGGATTATTGTGGACAAAAATCTCGGTCGCTCGTGCTTCTCAGTCATGACATCACTGATTGTGACCGTGGAAGCTGTGACTATGATGACACATAAAGTCGTTCCTCTTGTTGCTTATGGCTCTGGAACTTTCTATCATTGGCACGGGTCGATGTCGGCTTCGGTCTTGTCAACACCCTAAACCCACAACCCTAACACCCTCTCCTTTGCAGTGTGGCTTTTCGCAGTTGTGAGTGCTGAAACAACATGGGGTTATAAGTGTGGTTATAGGTCCCGTAATGTTGGATTATGACAACAGGTACCTACTTATAACCCCACTTATAACTCCCCGTGAACCTCCAAGCACCCCGAGCCTGGGCTCCTTGGACAAGGATGCTGGGGAGCCAAGCTGCTCATGGCTGTAGAGCTCCGGCGACGCTTGGCAAATAAGAGCACAGGACGGGTTAGTACAGGGGGGGTACTTCGGACATGAGATTGAACAGTTCTGAACCGATAGACGCTTATTTTACGAATCTCTGACATTTTCTGCCCATGCAGCAAAATTGATTCATTAGTATATGTTGTGGGATGCTGATAGGTCAGGGCGGCTGGCACGCAAACAGATTTTCTGCTCAGGTACTAAACTGAGTACTTTGGGCTTCCAGGTAGATCCAGTGTTTTTTCTGTTCGGTGCTTCGAGTTGTAGACGTGCCCTGCGCAGGACCCCATGCATCTAAGGATTAAAATCCCAAAGCATAGACGCCTTTTAGTGTTAACATGTGGAGGCCACCGCGTGCGAGTGCAAAGCGCCAATCCTTAAACCCTAAATCCCAAAGCCCTAAACCCAACACCCTAAACCCCTACCAAGCCCCAGAGCCCGAAAATGGAAGGTTACTTTTGCATGGCCACACTGCGGGAAGAAGTTCTGGAGCTGCCCCGCTTCATCGCGCTTTGCCGACGGAGGGGCTACGCGGCAGTTTATCCTACTTTACAGAATAGGGTTTAGTAGGGTTGAGAGGTCCTGAAGCCGAAAACCTTTAGCATTGAGGGACCTTTCCGGAACCCTTAGGACTAGCTCAGCCGGCCTGAAGCACTACAGTCGAGGCTTCTCCTGCAGGCGCCTGGCTGCCGCTTCGTTGCCCACGCATCTCGCGGTCCCGCGGCCACGCGACTCGGCGCAAGGGGACCTGGCGGTGCTTCAAAACTCACGCGCTGGAGTTTAGGTTGCGGGAGGGTAGGTGGTCTGGGTCTCCCTTTCAAGGTTTCGGGTTTGACGTTGTAGGGCTCCAAAAAGCCTGAGGGTTCCATTAGAATTTTAGTGCTCGGGGCGTTAACGGCATCTCTTAGACTCTAGATCCAAGGCAATGTGGCGATCTTCTCTGTTCGGCTGGGCCGCTCTGCCATCGCACAGAGGAAGCGGAGGACTTCGCCGTGGGTCGGGATAGCGGGATATCACTTTCTAGACTAAACTGTCCACGCTTGCTTCAGGGCAGTGACATTCGGATCCTTGTAAACCATAGGACTGTGAACCTTGGGTTCTGTTTTGACCCAGTGACGACACCAGGAGAAGCAGGAGGGCATAGGCCAGATGTGGAGTGTGCGGCCAAGATGACTGCAAGGCGAGCAGCTTTTTCAGGGCTCAATTTGTGTCTTGTAAAATGTTAAAGGTTAAACGTGCGGGTAAGATCCCCACAGACCACCTGCCCTAATGTGGGCCGGGGCTCGATCTAGAATGCCTGCTGCTGCCTCTTTCCTGAAGCGTTCTGAACCCAGAGGTGGCAACTCCGAGTCAGGGAGGCTGAGATGGATGAAGTCCCAAGCAAGTGCAGTGAAGTTTGCTGGGCCGCCAGTGACGTTTTTTCCTTCGAGCAGCCAGTGATGTGATTTTCCTCGAGCAGTTCCTGGAGGCCTGGAGGTGAAGATGCCAAGGCCGCGAAGCTTGAGCTCGAGCCTGCGCCCTGGGATTTTCTCCTATTCGGTGCCCAAGCACGCCTACGGAGAAGCTCTTTGACTGTGGCCAGTGGTACAGAGACAGTGACCACAACCACGACGACGATGTCCATGACCGACGTGACGCACACGATGGCCAGTAAGATGACGGACACACATGACAGCAACAACGGACCCCAACACCACGACGACCAGTGGAGGAGGACGAAGCTTTGCCAAGCAGCGCGGACCAAGTAGCAACTCGGGAGGCGAAGCAGAAGCAAGAAAGAAGCGACCGACACCAGACGGTCCTGGTGCAGCAGTCCAATCTGTAGAAGGCCCCGGCTGAAGTGGACGGTTTTATCCTCAACACAGCGGCATTCACAGTGATAGCTTCGATGTCCGTCTTTTGGCGGTTTGTGCCGAACCTATCCACTCCATCTCTCAGCAAAGAAGAGTGACAGGCACATGGCCCGTTTGCGCGTCCACTTCGGCGTGCCCCTACGCGCGGTTTGAGCGCGAGGGTGTCACACGGAAATGTTGCACTGTGCTTCAGATCCATGAACTTGCGGAGACAGACTCGAAGGATCTCGAAGGCACGTGTTGCTCTCAGACACGGGCAGGCCTTGACTTGCCGAAACCAGTTGGCCTCGAAGTGTCTCAAAATCCCATCTGACTTGCCTGAGCTGTCGACTTTGCTAAGATGCCTTTTGAGCCCTGTTGCAAGAAGGTTTGTGCAAGTCAGAGTTAAAGGAGAAACGCAGTACGTCGGCTGCGTATCGAGGGCTCGTGCGTGCGCAGCCTTTGCCACAAATAGTCACAAAGAGCCGTGAATTGTAACTGGCCAGCACTCCCATTGTCAATCCAGAGCCTTTTGGCTCAAGTAGACTTTGGGTTAGTTAGTTTCTTATCTGGGGCCGCATCAACAAGCTCAACATACTCGCGCGTGTGTCCATGCGACTCCGCGAAGCTTCAGTCACACAAGTCTCCGCTTTGACTGCGGAGAAATCACCCTTAAGATAGACATGCCTGCAACCAAAGCCCTAAAGCCTAAACCGACGTCGACATGGTTTCCTGTTGCAGAAGCTGCACCGATCTTTGTCTTAATCCGAGGGTTTAGGGGTTTGGGGTTTAAGGGGTTAAGGGTACAGGGTCTTGGGTGTTGGACTTCAGAGGGAAACTGCCATGGCGACGCACCGACATGTGCTTTGGCTGGTGCTTGCGGCCGTGATCTTCGATTATTCTTTCGTGACGATGATGCGAGTATGCCTTCCCTTCCATGCGAAGGCCTTGGGAGGCTCCAGCACCATGATTCTTGTCAGCATGCCGAGAGATTGTCTTTGATGGACAGCACTAGCCCTTCTGCCACGACCCTTGGCCATTGCAGTTGCTGTAGCTTCGGGTGAGGCGGCCCGGGCCAAGCCTGCTGTAGACCTGGACCCCCCCCCAGTCTCAGCACTTACATCCTACAGCCCGGAAACCCTCAACCCTAAACCCCTAAACCAATAAGTCTCGACCATCGAACTCCGGAGCCCTCAGCCCCAATCACGGAATCCCGACACCGGCGAGTCCTTCGGCCGTCCCGTGGCCCTTCTAGTCATTCTAGTCGGTAGGAGACTGTTTAGACCCAAAGAAGCACGACGTTGAGGATCGGGAGCCTGGAGACCGTCTATGGCCTCGGTCAGTGGATTGGTGCCATCGTTCTGCCTCGGCTCTCGGACAAGTGGGGGAGGAAGGCCGGGGCTGTCCTTCAGCAGGGAATCCTTGAAGGCTTACTTTAAAACGGGTTTTGTCAGGGTACTATGAGGTGGTCAGGAGTTTAGTGTCTTCGGTTTCTTTGGGGTGTTGGGGATTTCTCGGTGTTTTGCTGGGTTCCTCAGGGTTCTTTAACCAGGCCTTGTTTTTCGAGAAGTTCTCCTGGGACATTCAACCATCCTTGGCCACACCACTTCCTCGGGAATGTAGTAGGAATTCCACTACTGGAAAGAAGCAGGGTTTAGTACTCATGGGGTTACATCATCTCTTCAAGGCTGCAGCACACGAATGAGCCAATTGAGACAAGAGCACAGACTCGCCTATGTCGAATCAGGCCCCTCAACCCTAAACCCAACACCCGAAACCCTAAACCCATTCGCCGACGTGTAAGCCTGCAAACGCAGGTTTCCTCGAGCGGCAGAGCGAAAGGGACCAATACACTAAACACAAAAAACACCTAAAAATCTCAAAGCGTTAGCCTCCAAGTCGCAGGTGATCCTGGTCTTGTGTAGCGCCTGCGGAGCATGTGGCTATGGGCTGGCCTCTCATCTCCATGGATCCCGCGTAGTGCCTTATATTGGGGTCCTAACATGAGGATCCTACTTTTTAGGGAACTGTATTAAAGTCCCCTGTTTTCGGAACCCTCCCATATGCATAACACCCGACGCCCGAAGCCGTGTTCCTTTTTTTGTCCGACCCCTCTCTTCGTTTTCGCCAGGCTGTATTGGTGTTCCTGGGCCTAGACCCCCTAGGCCTCAGATTTCTGCATAACATCGCGGCGTCTGCCCGGACTAAGCCCCGTAGCAACGCAAGACCCCCAAGGCCTAACTGCTCGCACACCAGCCCTGAACTCCAGAAACAGGGCCGAGCCTTATACTGTTGAAAGTTGGGTTTAACATTACCATTGGCTCTGATTCGGGTTCTTATCATGCATCGTATTGCTTGGAGGGCTTCGAAGCAGAGCTTTCTTTTCAGGACATACGAATCCTGCAAGACGCAAGGCCTTGGTGGGCTTGACCTTGGCCAGTCCTGCGTTGCTTCTGATCAGCCGACTGCCCGTGGGCCTGGCAAAGCAGAGTCGTGGCTTAGAGTTGAAGGGGCAGTGGGTCACAGGTTACTTAAAACGATTAGCGACTTAGTCGATAGCGAGACCCCAATTCGAGTACCTGTAGCTCCTCTCAGTAGGGCTCAGGCAGACTTGGATGCAGAAAGGGGTTCATTCTGCTCTATTGCAAAGGTGTTTGGTGGATAAGAGCTGCAGCACTTACTTCGATATCCTCATATGAGTTTGGTTTGGGCTGTTTGGCTTTATGAGCCGGGGGTCCTACTCACAATGCCAAGACCATTCTTTTGGGGAGTCCTCATGTGGACAGCAATGCCCCCCTGTTCGTTCAGATTCATGCTTCAGTGTTCTAGGCTTTCGTTTACGAAGGCCTGAGACCTAGAGGAGAGTTGGGTCTTGAGAAGCTGCCGCTCAGATGAAAAAGATGTGAAGCCGAAAGAGACCGACTCATTTACACCTCCAGCCCGAAGTCCTGGAATCTGAATGAAGGACGGTCACCGTCAGCCGCGCAGTGGTCGCGGATTGCACAGAGGCCTCTTTTCTTCTGGAAGGGCTTAGGGTGTGGGAAGGCACGTATCGCCCCCCTTCCCAATTTCACAGTGTACGTGTGTTTTTTGCAGGGTGTTCTAAGCATGGAGAAGGCTCTGTCGGGTTCCCAAAGCTGGGGCAAAAGCCCCGCCCGTTTGAAGCTTAGCTCGGGCCGAAAATTTTCAGGCAGGGGTTCAGTGTACCTTCAAACAAACCTCCAAGCTTAAAGCAACATGCCGAAACCCTACGGCAGAGCCCTGCGATGTCAACCCGGTCGCGATGCTCCTGCCAGGCCACTGGCGACCGCTCGCGCTGGATGGCCTACCAGTGCACTGCCCTCGCGCCCCTGGGTCTGATATTGACTACCTAGATTAGTCTTTGAGGTTCCGTAACATCAACTATATATAGGGCAAGAGGGACGCGACGTCTTGAATGAGACGTAGTAGAATGACCTACCCCAGAACCCGATTCTAATTACAAGGGCGTGTAAGTATTCAAGGCTGAGAGCTTAGCATGGACGCCACGAGATGACAACAGGGTTCTTTTTTGGAGGTCTTGGATAAGGAATAGACACAACGCTTCCGGTGCCTTCTTTGAGGGACTTTTCCTACAGGGTTACATAAGGTATGGGGCCCCATCTGTTTTCCATGAAGATGACATCCCTGTCTGTCAGTGTCTCTCTGTGTGTCTGTATGCCCGCCCGTCGGTCCGTCCGTCCACCCGTCCGTCCGTCTATGAGTCTGTCGAAGTGTTTGTCTGTCTGGAGGCAAGCTTGCGAATATGCCGGAGCTTGAGTGGATATCACCATCAACTCCTCGGATCTAACAGCAGTCTAGTGATCGAGAGCTCCCGGCATCAGTACTACGGTTGATGATATAATTCCTGCATGACCCATAATAAGGAATATACTATAAATCCCATAGTTTTCGGTCATTAAGGTCATGCAGGATTTATATCATCCACCGTACCTGGGCCCCTTTAAAACTTTAGGAGCATCCTCCGAGTCGCAGGACCGGCTGCACGATTGGACCTTTGCTGGCCTCCCAGGAGGCAACTCGGAAAACTCTAGTTCCTACTTGGAGCTTCATCGGGGCCTACCCTGAACTAAGTATCCATCCCTTAGGCTTAGACCCCCACATCCCAAAAACCAGGTAGATCCAGAAACTTTATAGAGTTTAGGGTTTATATACATATATGAACCCAGAAAGCCTATAGACCCCTAGAAGATAAGAATGCCTCCGCATTTGTTTAACTAGCCGAGGCCCTCGGGGAGTTCGGCCCCATCGCCTTAGCTGCGGTCGTCTTTGCCGTGCTCGCCCCTGTGGGATCCCTAGAGCAGTCTCTTCTTGGACTTTCTGGCGTGTTTTTTGTGCGTTTTGAGGGCGTATAGCGTCCATGATCCAGGTGAAGGTTGAACGTGAATGGTAGGGTCCAAGAGCACCTTTCCCCCACAGGCCAGGAACTGGTTTAGGGGCCAGAGCTGCAAAGCCGAAAGCTCGGAAGCCGGAATCCTGTCCAGCACCTGCAGAGGACCGAAATTGGGCGGGTACCTTTAAAGGGATCCTTAAAGGGATCCTTAAAGGGATCTATAAGGGTTCTATAGAGGGTTTAGGGTTTAGGGTTTAGAGTTTTCGCAAACTAGGGGTACATTACTTTGGGGTCCTTATATTAAGGATCCTACTATCCGGAAACCCACTCCTAGCCCGGAACCTCCAGAATCCTACTGTTGATGGACAAAATCCTGCATTACCCATTATAAGGAACATACAATAGTTTCCATAGTTTAGAGTCCTTAGGGTCATGCAGGATTTTGTCCATCAGCAGTAGTTTGGGAGGAGTTGCATTGCGGCGCTCCGAGGTTTACTTGGCCGAGCTGTGACGGTAGTGGCAGTCGTCAGAAGTCCAGCGAACCCTAATGCCCTAATCCTCAACCGAACGAAGCGCTGGAAACTCTTGTTCATGTCTACTCTTTTTTTGCCATAGTTGGGTAACATTTTACATGTTTATGGGTACTTAAACCCAATTACCATTTAAATCTTCAATCCTATACCAACCATGAACTGGTCTTTTTGTAGTAATTTGAACTTCTTGATTTAATCGTATTTGTCTGACAACTCTTCTCAGACTTCTCATATCATAGTCTCTGTCTGGTGAATCGGCCAAGTCTACCTGTCAGCTTCCGTTCCCTGCCTGGCAGCTTGAGCTAGCCAGGTCTGGCTCAAACACACGACACCCCGAAAGCTATCAAACCTGAAAGTTAGCTTCCTCCTATATGGAAGGGCCTCGCAACCGATTCCAAGCACCTTCCACAAGAACCCTTGAGCTAGTTCGAGTTGAAGATGGCAGTCCATGTCTGATTGCCTGTTTAAGGCCATGGCGCTGGTACTTCCGGAAACCGCCCCGCAGAGGAACGAGAAACAGAGCCAGGCCGTGGGAACCGCTGTGGGAAGCAGGGGCTGACTTTATTATAGAATTCCTTCAATTAGCCGAGCTCTTGCACTAGGGCTTCTGTTGTTTAGATTCTGTATCAGTGTCCTAAGGCCATATCAGGGTTTTGAATCTGGCGCCGGCATACAGGAATGCTGTGGAATATTGGCGAAAAAACCTTTGCCTCGTGAAGACACTGAATGCAAGTCGCAGACTGTTGCCGGGGTTTAGGCTCAGGTTTTGGTTTTGGTTTGCAGGGTTTGGGCTTGAAATCTAGAGCCCAAAGCCTCTATACGGCCAAGCAGGAAATCTCGTTGTTTCCGAACAGCACAGTCCCATCGCGCAAAGCACCGTTAAACAAATCCGAAGATTCTTAAACCCTAAACCGCACAAAGCCTACTATAGGAGCCTAAAAAATTACACATTCTATTTTGGGGGTTCCTTATTATAGTTACAATATAAAGGGCCCCAAGCCTGGCCCTGAGCTTAAACCCGAAACAACGATGAAACCGAGGCCGTTCCCACAAGCCCTTTGATCAGGTTGCTCAAGTACCCCTCTGGCAGCAGAACGAGGCTCGCGAGCTTGTGGTTGAGGGGCCCGAGCTTCCTTAGAAGTCGTGGGTCTTAGGTTTTGCTTTGAGGATGAGAGCCGGTTGAGTTGAGGAGTTCAGGGATGGGGGTGGTGGGGTTTACGGTCGAGCGGGCACTCAGCATCAGATTATGGTCTGATATCGTTCAAAGAATAGGAACAGAAGTAAACTCGACTCATGAGGGCGCTAGGCCATAAAGCAATGGCACTTGCCAAGCTGCAGGCATAAGATGGCTTAGCAGCCTCATATTAGTCACACAGTATCCGGCCAAGGCCCTGACCCAGCAAAAGCGTAGACCTCAAAACCAAGAGTCCCAACACGTGCTGCGAGAATGTCGACTCCCTTAAACGAAAACCAAGGTGGGTCCGTTTTTGGGGCCTTAATAGGTACCCAAAAAGGGACCCTAATTTGGACAACCACGCAGGTGCTGATGATCTTGCTGCTCCTAGCCCTTCCAGAGCTTGGTTTGGTGTCTCACCAGGCGAGAGGAGGTGTAACATGCTGGAGGGTCGAGGCGTCGGTCTTGTCTCCGTGAGCTCGGCCATGAAGATGGTGAGGGTTCTTTCAGGATTCTGACAGGGTTTAGGATTTATGCGTGGAGCTGGCCGGGCGAGCTCCAACAAGCCTGTGGAAAAATGGTTTTGGATGGCTTTTGATGTGCTTTGCTCCTGTATTCCTTTGCCTTCAATGTGTCTCACCACCCCTGTCTGTTGTCGTGGTGAGCAGCTAGATCAGCTTTCAATCTCCGGACCCCTGATGAGCCTTTGCCTCCCCCACCGCAGCGGCGTCTGAGCCATTCCCGCCTATTTTCCAGCTTCAGCGACCGGTACCGGGGATACTTTGCGTGAGATCCAGTCCGTTTGAAGCTTGTGAGCCAGGAACTTTCGCGATAGCCCACTATACCCCGATCTCCCTTCGTCTAAGTTGCGAGAGGTGATGCAGCAACACCTCAAATCAGACATCGCCAGCGAATTATGGCCTTCAGCTCTCAACGCTAGCCCATCCTCAATCCCCCCAACCCCGCCCGAGACCCTTTACACCCTTTACATGGGAGTTAGGATTAGGGGGACCCTTGGGGAAATAGACCCTCTCAATAAGGCGCCTTTTAAGAGAGCCAGAAGTAGGGTTCAGAAGGGGTGCCCTTTAAGGGGTCTCCCCAATAATACTACCTATTACACCTCACCTGCGGTGTCCCTAACCCTACGGGCGACGCCTGCCCCAGAGGGCGTGGCGCTGAACACCTACTCTATGAAGCTTGGCATGGGCTGCTTGGCTTCAGGTCCATTCAGCGTTTGGGGGATGTTTAGAGCTTCGAATAACACTGGTACTAAGAATAATCAAAACAAGAATAAAAGCACAAACCCTAAACCCTAAACCGTAATTGGCCTTCACAAACAGTATTTTCAAGTGGCCTTGTTCTAATCATTATCGCTCCTGCATGCTCCTACATGCAGCACTGTCGGCTTTTCAGCTGTTAAGATTTGGCGGTATGATACCCCTAAACCCCGGTCCAAATGTTCTGGGCTTTTACTTGTACTTCGCAAACCCCAAACTCGTGCAAACCCCTTTCAATCATGATGGGGATTGAAGGCTTTAACACCCTAAGCTCTCTCTGGGTAGTTCTCCAAAGTGGGGTCGCTTTTGGGTTCCCCAAGATAGTACGGCACCCTTATAAAGAGGAGCCTAAAAGGGACCCTAATTTAGAGAACTACCCATCTATCTTCATGCCAAAAGAAAAACTCTACTTCGTCAAGGCCCTGCTTTGTATCAAGCCTTGGGTCAACAACCGGCCTTTCGGATTTTGGTTGCCCGGGTTCAGGGGTTCAGGGAGTCCTGGCGGAGTCGCAGCAGGCAGTTTCAAGAAGGGTGGCAGAGAATGAGGAGGTTTGGTTGAGGTTTTCGAGCTCTGAGCTTCCAGCATTTCTGCTTCCTCGTCCGAAGTCCTGAAACCCTAAACCCTCCAAAGCCTTGTTTGGCAGCACATGTACCTTGACCCCGAAGTGTACCAAGTCAAACCCCAAATAGGTTGAAATGCTCAAACCCTCAAGCCAGGCTGCAAAAGTCTTAAGCCTCACAGCCCCAAACCCAGACAAGCCCTGCAGCGCCAACGTCCTAAGCCCACAGCGCCCTGAAGCCTAGCAGCCCTAAGCCCCAACCCCACTCTCAAGCCTACAACCAGCACCCTTACAAAAAGTCAATAAAAGCCGCATAACCCCGGTTATCAGCTCCCACGAATCCCTATACCCTAAACCCCAAACCGTCTGTAGAATGCCCTACAAAAATCCCGGGATGCCGTGGGACGTTGCAAGGAAAGCCCTGGATTGCCAAAGTGAACTCCGCCTCCGCCGTCCTCCAGGCTTTTCGGGCTTTCGAGCCTGCCTTTTCTGGAGCCATGAGCAAATCTTAAAGTCGTTATCGCCTGCTTTAGAGCTTTGGAGTTCTGGGGTCTCTTGTAGCTTCAATGCCCCAATCATCATATAGTCGTTGATCTGATCTGTTGGTTTCTGAGCTTGCCTTTGTCTCGCCTGGTTTCTTTGGAAGTCTAGGGGCATATGCGTCGCCAGTGAGTTGCCGCAAACTGTTGCAATTAGAACTCCGGCTGGCCCGAAAACCGTGAAGCCTAAATCAGCCATCTCGCACCCCAATGGGTGATTCGCACCCACGCCCTGTGCCTTCTGAAGCCATCGTCTTCGGTAGCTAGTAGTTTACTTGCGACCTCCTTATGCTTTTTGCCAACATGACAACTTTGATCTGTTTGGGCCCGAGAATTCAGCAATTGGGCTGTGAGTCCGTCGCTCGTCTGCCGCAGCCCTGACCCCAGCTCTTGCTTTACTCATCTTCCATCCTTCAAACCTCCTCGCCAAAACAAACCGTTACAAAGACGGTTTGAAGTTTAGGGGTTTGCCCACATTCTAAGTCCTCAAACCCCGCCCTGAAACCCGCAAGGCTTTGGTTGCTGGCACTGTTTGCGCCAGCTTAGCCCGCCGCGGGTGGAGCTGCCTGGAGCAGTTAAAGAGCTAATGCCCCAATCCCGAACGCGTAACGCAACTCTTGGTGCGTTAGGGCTACCCTAAACCTATACCCCAAACATGCGTTCGGGCGAACGGCCGAGGTGACACCAAATCCTAAAGCCCTCAAAGGAACCTTTGAAGGAGCCCTAAAACCAGACTCTAAAGCTCTAAAGAAAGGGCGGCGCAGTCTTGGAAGTGTTTCACCTCAACCAATATCCTCGCCTGGCTTGTCCGAGCGTGAGCGCTAGCGCCGAAAGCCCTTTCTTTGCCCATTTTTTGGGGCCCGAGGTGACTCCACATCCTAAAGCCCTCAAAGGAACCCTTGAAGGAACCCTAAACCTAAACCCGTAAAACCCTAAAGCCCTCATTGTTGTGGAGCCGAGGTGACACCACGTTAATGCAGATTGGCTGTGGCAGCTTCGCTGCTGCCTCCCTGGCGATTTTCTTCTGGCACCTGGCCGGAAACCGTGAACCCCTAAACCCTAAACGGCAAACCCTAAACCCCTAGACGGAGGTAGTACCTCGCTCCTCTTTTCATCACCTGATTACTCCGGGGATCACTGTGGGCCGTCACCTTAGTTAACCAGCTTGAACCCTCGCCTGTGACAGCCATGGCGACTTACGTTCGAACGAGGATCTCTGCGATCAGAGCTCCCAGTTGACAGACAGAGCTGTTTCACTGGCTGTGATACCACACCCTGCTTCTCGAGCCACAGGGCGCAGTACACCCACCTGTGCAGCACTGCTCCGGACAACCTTGGACATGGACTGCTCGGGGCTCATAGGGGAGGATGTTCCTGGTACCAGGCTGCGACTCGGCACTGCGCCTTAAACTTCTCCACGATGACCCCGATATCCCTGGACATAGGCCGACGCCAGGACACTGGGGCATGTGGATGTTGTCCAGGCCGAGCTCTCGCTCGGTGCTCACCATGCACTTGAGGATTTCAGCTGCAAAACTGACCAAGTGGATGTTCCGAGCTGGTGCGGCGGTGTGGGGTCAGACGCTATGCCATACAGTGGTGACTGGTGTCTGTAATACCCACCCCTCGGGCAAGTGCCGCCATACTGCGGCCGTCTGAGTGGCAACCTACGCTTGCAGGCGACGTGTGAGCACAGGCAGCGGTCATTGCAATCTGGTCTTTACTGCAGACTGCCAGCTTGGGGATACAAGTATACACAGATGGTCAGCCACGGGGGGCCAGCCTATGGCATGCATGGGTTTTGCATGATGCCTCTGCATGACAACTTTTCTTTACTGCACGACGACAATGTATGACTATGCCTCCTTTTGGGGCGACGACACTGAGTGAGAATACGGCACCACGATAAACCGTGTGGAGATAGACTGAGACTTCGCTTTTGAAACAGCTGAGGTCGCGAAGGGTACACAAGGTAGTCACTCGTGATCTCTCTTTCGTCGTGCAGCTTACTAACATGGAGTGCTGCACCAAGAACAGCCGGTCTGTTGTGCCCTGAACCGTACTTCCCTTTATGACTTTCACATAGCTTATGCATGTCGTACTTACTCTTACTTTTTCCGTCTGCACAACAGTCTGGACTGCCCTACAGTAGTAACGGTAGCAATGGACCCTGGAAGCCGTGCCTGCGATTGTGCGAGTGTGCGAGTCGAAACCCCTAGACCCTAAACCCTGAACCCTAGCAACTCTGCCACATCTGGACCTTGTCAGCTATGCCTAGCCCCAGTTTTGAACTGACTTTTCGTGTTTGTTTTTGCTTGTCTGGTGCTATGGTCTTCTTTTGTATTAATTATCTTCAGCAGGCATAAGATTGCTTACTTCCTACGGCAAGTGGAGGTACAAGAGCCCCTTACAGCCTTAAGCATGCCCTCAACAATACTCAGAATAAGGACCCTAAGTGCAGTTTAGGATCTGTATTGGTTTCACTGATGATTCAAAACTCCCATGAACAACAGTATTGACGAGAAATGGAAAGTAGTTGGCATTCGGCATCCAAGGTTTCTGCAGTATCAGGGACAAAGGGAAGCTTTTTGCCTTCGAGGGATGCTTTCTCTGAAACATATTCAGGTGTTCTGCATAAAGAACCCTAGATAAAGATATCCTAAGCCCGACAAAACCCTGAACATAAGGCCCACTCATGACGCCCCAAGCCCCCTTTGGGCTCCCCCCGCTCCCCTGAGCCTCGAACCCCGAAATTTAAGCTTCTGTGACCCTAAACCCTAAACCCTGCCATTTTGGCTCAAGCCATTTTGGCTCAAGACTGCCGGCAGCTGGCGAGTGTGCCCCCCCGAGTGCGAGCCGTGCTGGCGCCGGGGCATAGCCAGGCCGTGTCTTGAGTCGGACCCTCTCTCGCAGTCCTGTTCTGAGGCCTCCCCGGTGCATCATCTCCGCTGCTTCTCCTCGTCTCGTCGTTTTCGTCGGTGATGGCGGGGTCTGAGGACGAGACCTTGCTTCTTCCGAACCTGCATAGAGCCGGGCCGTTAGGGGCTCCCGGCACAACGGATGAGGCGGGGACACCCATTAGCTCGGGGGCTCTCCTGCATGCGGGCGACCAGCCCGATATGGACATGAAGGATGCTGCACGGGAGGCACTTCGTGCTGCTATTGGGGAGGGCGACGGCGCGGGGGTAACGGATCCGGGGCCGGGCAGGGGGGTGGGGCTTGCTGAAACTGAAGCCAAGCAAGCCGAAGCGGCGGCGGTAGCAGCTAGTCTCCTAGCCAAACATGGCACCGCTCGAAACCCGAAGCCTTCTCCCAAAACCAGTCCTGAGAAAAAGGCCCGCCCCGCCCTAGTGGAGCCCTATCCCACCCTCGCCAAAGGACCGCCACTCGGGTTGCAGTCGCCGCCCCTGTTTGGAGGAGGTGGTCCGCCAGATAAGACGAAACGACCTCTGCCCCAGGAGTACGACATCGGGGATGACGTCCCGCCGCCGTGGGCAGCAGCACTACAAGCCGGGATTGATAGATTGAACAGGGGTCACCAAGACCAGATGCAGGCCATAGAACGTAACAATGAGGCAGTTCAGGGGATTGCCACGAAGGTCCAGTCATTGGAGTCCCGACAGGATACGCATTTAGAGCGTACCTCAGCCTTGGAACTGCGCCTTGCTGCATTGGAACAGGAGCTCCGTGATTACAGATCCAAGTCCCCCAGTGTAGCGTCTGGCTACACGCCGGCCCACTCGCCCCGCGGGGGCGGGGGGGCGCCCACCCATGACGACTGGCAAATCGTCCTAGGGGGCTGGAAAGATGCCAAGCGCGAGGACATTGAGCGGGAGGTTCGGGAGTGGTTTGCACGTGCGGAATGCGGGCCCTTACTTCAGGCCATGTATTGCAGCTCGGTGCGGTCTAATACATGCAGGGTTGATCTTCTGTACATGCAAGACGTTTTGTCGCAGCGCCGCAAAGTCCAGGGAATGTGTGTTGAAGCCCTCAAGTCGGTAGCTCAGCCTAGCGGTATTCAAGGACAGCCGACAGGGGTCTTGTGGGCCAAGCGTAATCGAAGCCCAGAGGAGAGGGCTCGAATTCGGGCCATTGTCTCTTTGAAAAACCTCGTGTCCAAACACCTTTCGCCCCGAGATTTCGAGTTTGACTGGCGGGGCAGATTCTGGGCCAACGGGATCAGTGTCCTGGCACATGTAGATCAAAAGCGCCCCGATGACGGGGCCCTCCTGCTCCTCGACGTTCGCGGATCCGAAACAGGCTGGTGGGTGCCAGGCCCGCTGCTTGCTCGGACACTGGGGATTGAACTGAAGGAGATTTACTCGCACTTCGAGGTTGATGCTTCGAGCTCGTAGGGGGGTGGCCGGAACAGAGCGCGAGGGATTGCCCGAAAACCGGAATTCGTAGCATGTACTTGGAATCTTCATGGTAAAAGCCTCCGTGAAGTTGCTGACCTTTGGCAGGGGAATGTCTCATACCCCGACTTTTTGTTTCTACAGGAATTGGGTGCATGTCCAGGGGCCACTCCTGAGGTCCAGGCTTCGGATTTTATGCTGGGGTCTGTGCCTTTCAAGTTGTATCATTGTGCTTCTCCTGAGGCTCATCTGAACCAAGCCATCCTAGTCAAAACTGAGCTCGAGTTCCATGCCACACACAAAACGGGGCTGCCCGTAGGGCTCATTCTGCATGGTGCATGTCGAAATCACAGAATTCATCTAGCATGCTTGCATTTGCCGCACAGTAAACGCACTAGCACGGAAGCCCGTCCCCGATCGTCGGCAGAGGAAGTCTGGAAAGATACTCTGGAGGCCCTGGACTTGCATCTGCAGGACGCCGCACCCCATGACTCCGTCATGATTGGCGGAGACTTCAACCAGGACCTGCATGCGTCTTCAGATTCTTTTGCGGGTATGGGTTTGCTACGTGCTCTCATGCAGCAGCATGTGCTCACCACTCATCGTTCTGTTGGCATCACATGGACGGCCCGGGGGGCAGAGAGTGAAATCGATGCAGTGCTTTCGCGTGTGTCCCCCAGTAGGATCCGCGCACACAAGCGTGATGACATGAGGCTCGCTCTGCCATCCGATCACTCTCCGGTTTTCTTGACAGTCACTACACCCGAACCCCTACTTTTTAGAGGCACTCGTCCTCGCACTCGATGCGGGCGATGGCTCCCCAGCATTGAGGAGCTGGAAAACTATGCTACCTCGGGGGAGCCCTTCTGTCCCTCGCGTCTATCTGAGATTTGTCAGAAAGACCGTAGGGTTCCGTCTCTGAGGTACAAGGACTCCCAGGAGCTGAAGAGCTTTATTGCTGAGCGTCGGGTTTGCCAGGACCCCTCAACGAGGGCACACATGTTGTCCGAAATACGAGTTAGGCGCACACATGACAGGCATGCTCATCAGCTCGAGATTCTCCAGCGGGCACGTGATGGGGACCGACAGGCCATCACGTATCTACGTAAAAGTGCAGCGCATACTTCCTTCGAAACCAGTTACATCGAGCACCGTGGGGGTCAGCAAGCTGCTGGCCTGGAGTTGCGCCGCTTTTATGAGAGGAAGTACACGTCGTCCCTGCCTCCCCCCACTGAGGAGTCGATTCGTCGTATGATTGCCACCCATACTTCGGTTCGACCTATGCCTTTCTCGAAGGACGACCTTGACCAGGCCATTGCTAAGTGTAAGCCGCGCACTAGTGCAGGGTTGGATGGTGTCTGTTATGAAGCCATCAGAGCATACCACAGGGTCGATAAGCAAGGACGACTGCTGCAGTTCATGAACCGACTCCTCTTTCGCCAGGAGTCATTACCAGAGGAATGGTATGAGGCTAAGGTGGTGCTTTTGCCGAAAACTCCCCAGCCGGCTGGGCCCGCTGACCTTCGGCCCATCTGTTTGTCGCCCTGCCTTTCCAAAATTTTTGGCAGGTTGCTGATGGGGAGGATCGCGAGCAAATGCCCTCCGTATCAGAGCGGTCAGATGGGGTGCAGACCGAAAACACAAACGGTGGACGGTATTCTTGCTGCACAAACGGTCATAGGTGTCTTACGTAGGAAACACCAGGTCGAAGCACACGTGGCCAAGCTTGATATTCGCGCAGCATTCGATAGCTTGTCGCATGCCTCTATTGTACACTACTTTCTCCATTGCGAGGTCTGCCCAGAGATTCTCCTACTTTGGCGCATGTGTTCCCAGAACCGGTTGCTTCTAAGTTTGGGCACAGATTCCTGGCGCACAGAGGTCAAGCAGGGGATCATGCAGGGCAGCAGCTATTCGGCTGATCTCTTTTCCAGGTCAATTGATTTCCACTTGCGGGGTCTACAGGCACGCTGGAACACGATGTTCCCGCGATGGGCAGACGCAATCGAGCTTCCGCACTTCCTTCTTTACGCAGATGACATAATGCTGTTTGCCATGGATGCGAGAGAACTTCAGATCAAGTTGCGAGACCTTACTGACGTGTTGGCAGCCATAGGCCTTTTTGTCAATCCCGCAAAATGCAGTGTCCTAAACATCTCAGGGACGACTCCGGGGGTATGGCTTCGTGGCTCATGCACGCCTCTGCAAGGGCGTGACCGCCTCATGTTCCTGGGAGTTCCACTCGCTCACACGAATGCACC